CTAGACAAAACAGCAAGTAGGAAAAATTGGCTAAATAAGGACACAGATGGGAACACATGGGAGACAAGGGGAATCTTGGGTCCCAAAAGCGAGAACAACAGGAATGAGGAGAGAAGTGAAGAAAGCGCTGGGAAAGACTACAGGGACAAGGAAGGAAAGAAAGGAAAGAGGAGAAAAACTATCCTCTCCCTCCCAAATGCCGGAGACCTGGAAAGAAGCGCGGTAGTGGAGAGAGAATAAGGAGACAAGTTGGAGACAAGTAGGAAGGTAAGTAGGGCAACATGTGGTAGAGACCGAGGGTAAGGGAATGTGACCTGAACAAAGGAAGAAAAGTTAAGGAGAAACACAAGAGGCCAGGAAATCCATTCTTCTCCAAGCAGCAGCAGCAATGAGGAGGGAATTAAGGATACACGTTGGAGGGAACAAGAAAGGGCAAGTGAGGAACCGGAGAGAATCATGTGTCCAAATAAGCACCTAGAGAGAAGAACAGCAAGAGAGAGAGAGAGAGAGAAGTAAGGGCATGCCCCGGAAGCACCCAGAGAGAACAGCCACATATGAGAGTGAAGTAGAGAGACGAGTACGAAAACAGATGGGACTTGAGTCCTGTCCCCAAAGCCACCAGAACGAAGAACACTGAGCAATGGAGAGAGAAGTGAGGAACGGGAGACAAGCAGATTCCTTTGACCGAAAGCACCCAGAGAGAAGAATCGCAATGGAGATAGAGAAGTAAGGAGACAAGTAGGGAACAGACAAGGAGACAAGTATGGAAACAAATGGGAGGCAAGAAGAATCCTTTGCCATCGAGCACCACGAAGAGTATCCTGTGCCCAGAAGCACCCAGGAAGAAGAACAGTAACAGGGAGGGACAAAAAGAAATGAAGAGGTCCTAAAGCCTAGACAAAACAGCAAGTAGGAAAAAATTGGCTGAAGAAGGACACAGATGGGAACACATGGGAGACAAGGGGAATCTTGGGTCCCAAAAGCGAGAACAACAGGAATGAGGAGAGAAGTGAAGAAAGCGCTGGGAAAGACCACAGGGACAAGGAAGGAAAGAAAGGAAAGAGGAGAAAAACTATCCTCTCCCTCCCAAATGCCGGAGACCTGGAAAGAAGCACGGTAGTGGAGAGAGAATACGGAGACAAGTTGGAGACACGTAGGAAGGTAAGTAGGGTAACATGTGGTAGAGACCGAGGGTAAGGGAATGTGACCTGAACAAAGGAAGAAAAGTTAAGGAGAAACACAAGAGGCCAGGAAATCCGTTGTTTTCCAAGCAGCAGCAGCAATGAGGAGGGAATTAAGGATACACGTTGGAGGGAACAAGGGAGGACAAGGGAGGACAAGTGAGGAACCAGAGAGAATCATGTGTCCAAATAAGCACCTAGAGAGAAGAACAGCAAGAGAGAGAGAGAGAGAGAAAGAGAGAGAGAGAGAGAGAAGTAAGGGCACGAGTTGGAGAGAACAAGGGGGACAAGCACGGAGACAGACAGAGGACAAGGAGCATACTGTGCCCCGGAAGCACCCAGAGAGAACAGCCACATGTGAGAGTGAAGTAGAGAGACGAGTACGAAAACAGATGGGACTTGAGTTCTGTCCCCAAAGCCACCAGAACGAAGAACACTGAGCAATGGAGAGAGAAGTGAGGAACGGGAGACAAGGAGATTCCTTTGACCGAAAGCACCCAGAGAGAAGAATCGCAATGGAGATAGAGAAGTAAGGAGACAAGTTGGGAACAGACAAGGAGACAAGTATGGAAACAAATGGGAGGCAAGAAGAATCCTTCGCCATCGAGCAACCACGAAGAGTATCCTGTGCCCAGAAGCACCCAGGAAGAAGAACAGTAACAGTGAGGGACAAAAAGAAATGAAGAGAGGAGACTGCAAGAAGGCGGTGACGGAAGGGACACGAATGAGGGACTCGGTAATGTTTATGGCCCCCAAAACCACCTGAAGGTCCTAAAGCCTAGACCACACAGCAAGTAGGAAAAAATTGGCTGAATAAGGACACAGATGGGAACACATGGGAGACAAGGGGAATCTTGGGTCCCAAAAGCGAGAACAACAGGAATGAGGAGAGAAGTGAAGAAAGCGCTGGGAAAGACTACAGGGACAAGGAAGGAAAGAAAGGAAAGAGGAGAAAAACTATCCTCTCCCTCCCAAATGCCGGAGACCTGGAAAGAAGCGCGGTAGTGGAGAGAGAATAAGGAGACAAGTTGGAGACAAGTAGGAAGGTAAGTAGGGTAACATGTGGTAGAGACCGAGGGTAAGGGAATGTGACCTGAACAAAGGAAGAAAAGTTAAGGAGAAACACAAGAGGCCAGGAAATCCATTCTTCTCCAAGCAGCAGCAGCAATGAGGAGGGAATTAAGGATACACGTTGGAGGGAACAAGGGAGGACAAGGGAGGACAAGTGAGGAACCAGAGAGAATCATGTGTCCAAATAAGCACCTAGAGAGAAGAACAGCAAGAGAGAGAGAGAGAGAGAGAGAGAGAGAGTAAGGGCACGAGTTGGAGAGAACAAGGGGGACAAGCACGGAGACAGACAGAGGACAAGGAGCATACTGTGCCCCGGAAGCACCCAGAGAGAACAGCCACATGTGAGAGTGAAGTAGAGAGACGAGTACGAAAACAGATGGGACTTGAGTTCTGTCCCCAAAGCCACCAGAACGAAGAACACTGAGCAATGGAGAGAGAAGTGAGGAACGGGAGACAAGGAGATTCCTTTGACCGAAAGCACCCAGAGAGAAGAATCGCAATGGAGATAGAGAAGTAAGGAGACAAGTTGGGAACAGACAAGGAGACAAGTATGGAAACAAATGGGAGGCAAGAAGAATCCTTTGCCATCGAGCACCACGAAGAGTATCCTGTGCCCAGAAGCACCCAGGAAGAAGAACAGTAACAGGGAGGGACAAAAAGAAATGAAGAGGTCCTAAAGCCTAGACAAAACAGCAAGTAGGAAAAAATTGGCTAAATAAGGACACAGATGGGAACACATGGGAGACAAGGGGAATCTTGGGTCCCAAAAGCGAGAACAACAGGAATGAGGAGAGAAGTGAAGAAAGCGCTGGGAAAGACTACAGGGACAAGGAAGGAAAGAAAGGAAAGAGGAGAAAAACTATCCTCTCCGTCCCAAATGCCGGAGACCTGGAAAGAAGCACGGTAGTGGAGAGAGGATAAGGAGACAAGTTGGAGACAAGTAGGAAGGTAAGTAGGGTAACACGTGGTAGAGACTGAGGGTAAGGGAATGTGACCTGAACAAAGGAAAAAAGGCAGGGAGAAACACAAGAGGCCAGGAAATCCATTCTTCCCCCAGCAGCAGCAATGGGGAGGGGATTAAGGATACACGTTGGAGGGAACAAGAAAGGGCAAGTGAGGAACCGGAGAGAATCATGTGTCCAAATAAGCACCTAGAGAGAAGAACAGCAAGAGAGAGAGAGAGAAGTAAGGGCATGAGTTGGAGAGAACAAGGGGGACAAGCACGGAGACAGACAGAGGACAAGGAGCATACTGTGCCCCGGAAGCACCCAGAGAGAACAGCCACATGTGAGAGTGAAGTAGAGAGACGAGTACGAAAACAGATGGGACTTGAGTCCTGTCCCAAAGCCACCAGAACGAAGAACACTGAGCAACGGAGAGAGAAGTGAGGAACGGGAGACAAGGGGAGATTCCTTTGACCGAAAGCACCCAGAGAGAAGAATCGCAATGGAGATAGAGAAGTAAGGAGACAAGTTGGGAACAGACAAGGAGACAAGCATGGAAACAAATGGGATCAGAAAGGAGGACGGTCGCATTATACCAAAAGGTCCCTGCCACATATATATATATGTATATGATATATGATATATAGTAGGTGGTTAGTTCGAGTATAAATGCATGTCAATGCCAGGACTTCATTTAAAATGCTGCATATGCAGCGATGCAAGGTTATTTCTACTTTCAAATGGGGAAGAATTCTGGTTCCCAATGGGGTGGTCGATGAGAATCACCAAGGTCCTACAGAAAATTGTGACGCACCTCACCTGGCAGAGCTGTGGCTTCGTTGCTGAAGAACTCCTAGACTCAGCATCTCATTTTGCTCGGCATCGCTTTGGTTGTCGCATCTTTTGTCGTTTGATCGAGTTCCATGCGGAGCAAAAACCCACCTTGATGCTAGTTGAGGAGGTCCTGCAGGAAGCAGAGGATTTGTGTTGCCATCCATTTGGGCATCACGTAGCTCAATCGGTTCTGGAACATGGCATTGATCAGCACCGTGACGTGGTGGCCGAAACCATTGACCGCAATCCTCTGGGCTATGCCAGGAACCAGAATGCCAGTTATCTAGTGGAGAGAGTTCTCTCATCTGGCTCCAAGTATCAAGAGTCTCTCTTGTCTGAGCTCTCATCTTCCCTGGTAGACCTAGCACTTTCCCGCTATGGTTGCTATGTAGCCAGAGCTGTGGTGGATCATCCAAAGACCAACAGACCTTTGGAACTGTCGAAGTTGACTGCGATCCGCCATGAATTGAACAAGACCAAGCATGGACAGTATCTTCTGGCAGATTTGGGTTTGGGCCAGAAGTATGGCTCCAAAAAGCATGTGCATTAGTTTCAAAACAATGCGACCAGCTTGTCTCCTTCCAATCGCCTAAGTGGCGCTTCCGGTGGCAAAAATTGCACAGACCAGATACAGGGCAAATACCGCAATTTCAATGCAGCTTTCCCCTGCGCACAGCAATGCTCTCTGCGCATGATTGGTTCGGAAGTGGAAGGAGCTTAAACTTGTATGACCTGTATGTAGACATTTTGCACTGCACTTCTGTACAGGTGGACATGTCCGACATGTTCCATTGAATTCGCATTTTTCGGACCGCTTTCGGTCACAGATCTGCAGTGACAGAAGCAGAATCCTGCAACACTCTGTCAATTTTCAGCCAAAGGGCGCTGGTAGCCAAATTGGCTCAAAGAAACTGAGAGACCAACAAGACCAACGAGACCAACGAGACCAAGCTTGGTCGAAAAAATGGTGAAACTAGTCGCAAGTCATCACTCACATGGATATGGGTTTATCCAAGTTTTTGACGATGAACCCATGGGATTTGGATGTTTTTATATGTTTTTCCCCCATTTTTTCAACGAGCGTCACCGACCGTCACAGGGCATTGCCGCGGAGTTGCGAACGATGTTCGACGTTCACGACGTGACACGCGGGGCGACCTGCTGGAGAACAGTCAAATTTCTTATAGTTACCATATCTCTTTTTTTGTATCATATTATAGCAATGGAACCACTTCTGTAGATATTATAGAATTATAGATATTATAGTTATACTTATACTAGATTCTATTGAATAGGATGAATAGGTAGTTCTATTTATAGATCTCAATCCACGAATTGGGAAATCGGATCAACTCGCCCGCGGTTTTTGGCGCGTTTTTTTCGCAGCCAAGGAATTTGCTGTGGCTGATGGTGTCTTCTCGAGACCGTTGAGCTTGAAACGCCTTGGAGTCGAACAAGCCAAGCAGCTCAGCCTAGAGAGGTGACTGTTGCAGTTATATCCCATTGCGGTATTCCGGGGATTCCAATCTGTATGTTGATTTGTTTCCACATTATTCCACATTTTATAGATGTTTCGTTGCATGTTTGAGATTCGGTGGTGTTTTCAAAGGTATGTTGATGGAAAGACAGAATCCACCAGAAGACAGATCCAAGAGCCAGATATCAGGTGATTTGACCATATGTATAACCAGATATCCTGAGGTGTTGGGTAGGGATCAACCTTTGAGACCTGGTACGAATGGCCCCACGGTTTTGGCGTGACATGGCGTGACAAATTTGACCCATACCCCCATGGTTTTTCACATGAAACCAGCCACTGTTTAGGGTGACCAGTTTGACCCAGCGAGGTTTGAGTTGAGTCTGGATCTCTTTGCCAAAGAAGGTGGATACACAGGCCTGCCATGTAGCCATGATCCAAAGTTCAAGTACCGTGGAATCTCAATCTTTCCGATCTTTCAGCTGTTTGCATTTCTTTTTGGTGATCATTCTCCCAGGCATGGTCATATCAATTCCCGTCAGGTCTATGGGATTCGAGTGTCCTGAGCACCTCATCGCTGCTGCTGTTTGCTGCTCATTGGAAGCGACTGCTGCAGTTTTTGGATGCGGAGCTGCGAGCCTTTGAGCTGCTTCCGTTGGAGAGGAGCTGTTTGGACATAGGGACATGGGGCAGATGGTGTTTCTGGGGGTTGTGGTTGTTTGGACTGGGATTTAGCTTCTTGGGAGGTGGAAAGCGGAGTTTCTGTGGGACGTTTCACAGGTTGAGTACTAGACTCCACAGGTCTGACATCCAACTGCGACCCCAATGGAGGGAGGTGATCCATCCACAGTTTAGCATATCTGTCTTTCCGATTTTCGCCGAAGCTCAGCAGCTCCAGTGCTCCAGTGGTCAGGCATCAGTTGCACCAGCGCTCTGCTCCCAGCCCTTCGCTGCCGGAGAGTTCGGTCCAGCAGCTGATTCTGCAGCAGGGCCAAAGAACTCCATCAAGTACCGCGGTGCAGCTGGAGGACGTCAGGTGTTAGGTCACCTCCATTTGTCATTGCCAATTGGGTATGGGTCAAGACAGTTAACCCCAAACTCGCAGTATTTAAGTTTGGGTCCCAGAATTTGAACCTAGAACCACCTGTAGAATCCTGTAGTTCCTTTAACTTTGACTCTTCACCTGCTGGTCTAACGGGAGGATGGCTCTCGCCTTTCCTTCCGCACCTTGCTGGAAGCGGCCTACAGGGTGGCAGCCAAAGTCATAGATTGCTGTGGCCAAAGAGTCGGACTTATGCTGGAGAAGGCGGGGCCAGCAATGGTCATTATGGTCATCATGGGTTGCTTTTTCTGGTTGTTTTTGCTTTGAAATTTGTTCCTGGACTTTCCAATGGACTTTCCAATTGTGCCTGGCTCTCAGCCAGAGCTGGAATTTCAATGACTGTACGGATACAGACATGAGATAAGATCGAGCATTTGGATGCGCTTTCGCATCCTGCTCCTTTGCTCCCTGAAGAATATTTGCTGAGCGCCAACAAAACTGATAGCCTTGACCTGCCATCAACAGGGCCTACTTCTTCTCCCAGCGCTGCTGGGAATCCTCTTTGCTGAAGCTGCTTATGTGCCACTGCCCTTTGCATCTTGGCTGCACAACCAGTGGCGAAGAAATGATGCATCGACATGTATCGCAATTGTACCCGTAGACCCGTAGCTTGACTCTTGGCAAAAGCCCTGGGTGCAGCAGAATAGCTCGTACAATCAACAACGACATCGACCACCAGGAGCTTGTCATGACCTACAAAAAACACGTGGTCTCTCATTTTTTTGATGCATTGACAGAGTTGTCAGACCATCTCAGCCCGATGCCGCCTTGCCACAGTTCGACCCTGTGCAGCATAGTGTGTCAAGGACTTGCCCTTGGAACGTCTTCATTTCATGCTGGAAGACGCCAATGTGAAGGTCATCTTAAGCAATTTGCCGATAGACGTAGATGGTGCCTCGGAACAAGTTGATGCAATCGGTGGTTGTGCCATGACTTTGGCTGTCAACATTGACGACACTCAGCACTCCCGTTTCGAGATTATGAGTCTTGAATGCCTGGTAGCATATGAGTTTGGGATAGTCTTGGCAAGTTTGATAATTGCACAACGGTGTGCTGTGGGTTGAAAAAGGTTTGCCGGCTTCAAGTGAAACTGCGAGCATGACGCTATGAGGCGTAGCGACACTTCTACTTGCAGAAGAAGAGGCTCGCTTGCTCGGATGAAGAAAACCTGTCCTTTTCCAACTGGGCCTATTTTGGCTATCCATGGCTATCCAGTGGGATGTCGCCATGATTTGGACATGAATCAGCTTCCAACTGAAACAGGTGTTGTGGAGAGCTGGCCCTGCGAAACACCGCATCGCTAAGGGGAAGTCAAGGACTCAGCTGATCCTCATTGGAATCAACGTTCCAGTGGCTTTTGGAAGTCCAACAGTGACCTGTTGAGAGTGACACCTTTCAGATCTAACCTAACCCCGGTTGGAGTTGGCTTAGGTTTACATCAAACTCGTGTAATTACCACCCCCAAAATTGTCCAGTTCGCCTCTTTTCGGCTGGGTCTTCACGTAATGAAAAATGGTCAACCTTCAATCCCATCCCCCAGAATTGAAGGGAAAAACTGCAGAACAACGGATATATTCTGGTAAACAACTTAAAAAACATGGTACCACTTCCCTTCCCATCCCATTGACTCATCCTTTTTTGCGTGGCTGGTAGGTCGGGCCTCCGGACTGATGAGATGTACGTGCTGTTTACCTCTGGTACTACGGGCCGCCCCAAAGGACGCATGAAAATTTGGTACCCGGTGGATGGAAACATTGGCGTCCAGGAATGGGTTGATTGATGTTGATTGATGTTGGTTGGCGTTGTGAACGGAAAAATGATGATGGCATGATGGCATGATGGCAATGTAATCAGTACTCCATGTCTGCTGAAAAACATCCGAAGTGGCCACCAGGAGTTTCAGTCTCCCACAGGGCGGTTTTGAGCCACGTGCTGTGCTGCTGTCAGAAGTTTGATCTGCGGGCTTCGGATTGTGTTCTACAATCTATTGCGCCAAGCTTAGCATGTTGAACCATTTAAAATAGGCTGCTGGTTTCAGAAGAGATTTCTGAAAAATCACAAAAAATCACGGTGAACTCAGAATTTCGGGACCTTTCTATCCCCAAAAACTGATTGTTGCACCACTAGCCTCAACTGCCGAGGCTCTTCCCTTTGACTTCGCAGTCAGCCAGTTGGGAGCCTTAGCTCCGGCAGCAACATCCCTGGAATTGTATGGGGGATGGTCATCAATCCATGATATATCATGATATATCTAAGATTATATTGGATATATCTGGGATTATATTGGATATATATATATGATATATCATGATATAATGATAATAGTCATTACCCATTGAAAGGATTGCCATTAGGGGATGGATGACCCGCAAAACATGGCACATTAATGCAATCCTTAATGAAACAAACACGTCTTAATTCTTTTTGGTCTCCGATGAATACCTGAAACTAACATCTACCAAAGAACTCCGTTCCTGATGAATATCTTATAATATGTTTAAATTCGAGTCCCAGCAACCTGAAAAAAAAAACAACTCAGCTGCAGGCTGTATCCCTACTTGACAGTGGGTGGATCTGTGGCGATCCCAACAGAGACGGTCTGCAAAGATCCAATGGCTTTGGCCACCATGGCTCAACAGGCCCTTGGAGCTGACACCCACGGGGCTGGTGATGAAATTTTTGGTGTCTGTGCCAGGCACAGGTGTCCAACATTGACATGGTCCCCACCTTCTTCTCCTTGTTCTTGGACAGAACAGATCGGGGGTTGCTGACTTTTTGGGTTCTATGAAGTTCTATACATACTATACTTCAAGACGGATGGCACATCAACTATATTTCGCTTGTAAAGGCGGCATAGTCTTTACCTTCAGGGTGTCAGTCAACCGGCCAATCATGGTTCCATACGTCATCCGCAGGAGAACAGCATTAGTCTGCCAGCGTTGCGGCGCATCAATCTCGGTGGTGAAGCTGTGGCAAGCAGGTTCGGCTGCCAATGACAGCCTTTCTCAACAGCTGTCAATGGACTAGTCATCTATCTTTGTTCTTTGGCAAGAGAACATCTTTCCAGAAATCCTAGCAATTCGCATTTATGAAAAGTCCTAGAGGCATTTGCTGTTAATCATCTGTCAATCCAACGGTAAGCACCTGCACCCTCCATTTCCACCTTCCGCCAGGCTGGTGGAGCGTAGCCGGGATCTCTATCCCTCCGCCCGTGTCTTCGTGACCTACGGCCCCACGGAGGCTGCGGTGGACACCACCACCTTTGAAGCCTCCAGATCAAGCAGATCGATGAGCAGATTGGTTTCCATTGGGCATCCAGATGCCTTTCGAATCCTGGATCTTTGTCCATCAGATGCAGATGTGGATCCTATGATTGGGGATCCAATGATTGGGAATCCAATGGCTGTCCCCATGTTGGGCACTGTGGGAGAGCTGCGAATCTCCGGCTGTGGCTTGGCCCATGGCTATTTGGGCAGCGCGAATCTCCAGGCCTTTGCGGCTGCACCAAGGGCTGCGGGGAAGAGATATGCCACTGGAGATGCTGTGAGATGGACCACGGATGGCTTGGAATTCCTGGGAAGACTGGATTCTCAGGCATCGGGATGCATCTTTGCCCAAGTTGTTTGAGGATGGCAAGTTGGGTTAGTTGCGAGTCTTCACGACAGGTAACAAACAACAGCTGCGCAAAATTCATGGGCTCAACATTTAAGACCCAGGGAACTGCATGGAGATTTTGGTACCATCCAATTATAGGGGGACAAGAGTTTTGATCCATACCCACGATGAAGAGTTGGATTGAATACCCATATTTGGATATGGTCATCAATCCATTCAGTTCGGGATTTCTATGCCCATTAAATTACATAAATACATATATACAGTATACATATACAGTCTACATACATATTTAAACACTATATAATCTTATAAGGAGTCCCATTATGGTGACCAGCGTGATCATGGCATCAGGTGAAGGTACGCGGACAGCGTGTGGAGTTGGAGGAAGTGGAGACCGCACTGAAGAGCTGCCCGGGGATCGCAGAGGCTGCCGTGCTGCTGGCGGATGACAGAGACGAAGCGGTGCTGGTGGCATTTCTCAGCCACAAGGCGCCATGGGGATATCATTGGGATGAACATAATTGAACATATATATATATACATATATATAATATTATATATATATGTATATAATATATATATACATAATATAATATAATAATTCGGGAATCGTCATGGTCAAGGGATTTGGGTGGCCGGGAACATTGAAAGAAGTTGAAGGAACAACTACGGAGGTTTCCTTTAAATTTTGCCTTGAATCAATCCATTGACCCGTTGATGTGATATATTTTGGTGTTGTTTATTTTCTTGGTGCCTAACAAGCACGGAACAAAATTCCTCAGGGTGCTTGGGTCTTCTCATTATTTTCGGATTTTCGAACCCTTTTCTCGATCTTTGCATGGTTACATGATGTTACATGTTATAAAATGTTATTTTCAGGGATTCTTTCAAACATCTTTCAACCACTAAAACTGGACTCATTGGCCATGACAGTTGCTGATCCGAGCCCAGGACTCCACCGAGTTGTCGAAGTTGGAACTTCCGGCGCATCTGCGGCCGCGGCATTTCTTCCCCTTGGGCCTCTCCGAGTGGCCACGGAGCCCCACGGGGAAGTTGGATCGACAGAAGTTGGCGCGGGAAGCGCAGCAGATGCTGGCAGAAAAGGAGCCCCTTGTTGGGAGACCGATCATGGGGGATTTGTTTTATATTGTTTATACGTGTGCATATATATAATTATATATATATATACATACATGATATACATATGGGGATGTAAAGATTATAAAGTATCTAGCAAATGAATGCAAATGATAGGTGATATTGGTGGTTTCAAATACTTGTTGCTGCGATGGTCCAAACTCACTGTTCTTGGATTTGTGGAAGCCAATCAGCAAAACTCATTGATGCGAGTATTTTGTTTTGCATCCTCAAGAAGGTCCTATCCAAGGTCCATCCAGAGACCACTACCGCTTAACAAAAGGAAGCATTGGTGAGGGTCAGAAGGAAATTTGTTGAAGAGTCAGACAACGTAGTGTGACATTTCTTCAAGGCTTGTTGTAGACCCAACACCGCAGCATCCAGTGAATCTCGAGTGCATCCGTGCCAGGACGTTGGTGTATCTGCAGAGATTTGCGACTTCTCGGACAATGCCAGATACTTTTTGGAACTGCTTGGGCGCTTGCTGAGGAAAGACTTAGATCAATTGAACCTGTCTGAGACTTTCACCAAGATGGGGGGTGACTCGGTGTTGGCCATTCGCCTCTCTGCCAAGCTTCGGGATCAAGGCATCCAACTTTCATCCGCCAGTCTCCTGGGCAAACTTCCCATTGAAGCTTTGGCCAAAGAATTGCTACAGCAGGAAATACAGCAGGAGCGGCTGGAAAGCACACCCTTGGAAGGGGAAGTGCCATTGGCGCCCATGCAACGACGTTTTTGGGACTTGAAGCTGTTGCATCCTCATCACTACAATCAATCTGTGATGCTGGTTCCCAATTTCCCTGGAGATGTGATTTTGGACAGCCACATTTTGAAGAAATGCTTGGTGAGTCTGGCAGAACATCATGATATGCTGCGGGCAAGCTGCTTGGATGCAGGAGAGCTGCTTAGACCTGAGCCAGGAAACACATTGGGTCGTAGTATGTCGTAGTCCTCTTATGGTGGAAATGTGGATCTGGTCAAATCACGCCTATTGAATGATATTGAATCTATTGGATGTCATTATATCTGGAATTTGCCAAGCCCAAGGCAAAAAAAAACATGGGCTGAAACCTTCATTTTGCATTTCACAGCCATAAGTTAAGAAATGATAGAAATGGACACAGTTGCCAAACCCACCAACCTTTTTTGGCTTTGGACATCCCCAAGGCTTCTCTGGAGAGATGCAGCAGCTGCGACCGCGGCAGCATGCCATGGAAGCAGTGCAGGTGGCTGCAGCGGAAGCTTCGTTGGAGCCTCAATGCATTCGACCACCACCAGCCAAAGTCGGGGGTATTTTGGCCGACTGGGCTAAGCTACCCTACTTGTCGATACTTTTCGCAGATTGGTTGATGTGATTGAAAAGAGGTCATTTCGCAATATTTTGTAGAGGTAAATGACCTTAAAACGATTCTAAACGTACTTCTTCATAGAAGTTTGAGGATGTAAGACACACACAACCCCCCCGCTCAGACATGCTCAGACTGGTCACGTTGAGGTTGGAGCAGCTGGATGGATTCTGCCAGCAACTGCAAGGTCAGGTGGACCTTGAGCGGGGACCGCTGTTTCTTGGAGCGCTTCTCCGTTTGGAGAGGCACGGCTGGGCACAAAGGCAGAGGACAAAACATACAGGCTGTAGCGGCAATGGTTAGGGCCAAAAGCGTGTTGCCGTTTGAAGGATCTACATTATTCTGCATTATTTTTCTATTTTGTTTGCATGTTGGGTGGTATGTGAGAGGCGATGCAACGCATCTTACGCATGTTTTCTGATGTTTTCTGAGATTGGATGTTGTCATGAACTGTGCAGCTCGAGCATTTCTTCTACATAGTCAGAATCTATCACATGTTTGGACAGCGTGGCGGAACATTTGACACACATTGACCTCAGCATCTGAGCGTAGAAGCCAAACAATGCTTTGACAGATGATGGGTCTGCCTCAGGTGCTCAGTGAATGACTGGTGAGAAAAGATCCACCCAAAAGATGTGACATAAACATACATAAACTTTAAAATTATCCCAATTTCTGAATGCTCAAAACATATTTTCCAAACTTCAGAAAACTCGTTGCTCCCATCACCAGGCCTGGTGAGGAGAGACTTCTGCTGGTGATTCACCACCTGGTGGTGGATCTGGTCTCCTGGCAGGTGCTGCTGGAAGACCTGGAGAGCCTTGGATGGAGATGGGGTTTTCCATGCGCTTCCTGCTACTTCAAAGATCTTCAAAGGGGAAGGTTTACAGTTTGAAAAACATCCATTTGGGGGATATCAAAATTTCAGGGCTCTTTCAGATGGAGTGAAGATTTTGATAAAGTTACAATTTCATACAATTTCTGTCTGCACGGCCGCCCTGGTCGCCTACCAATGAGCCGAGGAAGTTGCTGCTGTATCAGCTCGGTCTGGCTGGAAGCAGCAAACTAACAGCAGTGACTTCCTCGTTCAAAGAGCTCCTGGGCCTCATGCGATGGGAATGTGGTGGATAGGCAGACATCGATATTTGATGATCTCTGGGTTTCTTGGGGAGAACAAAACATCTAGATTCAGCACCTTCTGATGTGATGACCAAATCAATTGAGAGATGCAAAGATTCAGTGGAAGCCCGGTCTGGCCGAACCACCTGTGATCACCTGTGCAACCATTGCTGTTTCGTAGAGACAACTCCAGGTATGCCAAGTCGAGAGAAGCACCAGAGGCGTTCGAGAAAAACCTCGGCTGGGCAGCTCTTGGCAAGGCCGTTTCCTCTGAACTGCATAACAAATATAACAAGATACCCTCTGGTTATTCAACATAGTGATGGAACATCACCATTTCATTTTTAATAATTAAATCAACATAAATCAACATAAATGAACATAAATCCCCATAAATCATCATAAATAAATCATCATCTGCAAACGTTCCATTTTCCATAAAAAAAGTTATGTTAGATACCCAGAGGGTATTGAAACAAACCGTGAGAGTGACTCTTTGGGTCCCACTTGCCTTGCTCCCTCGTGTGGCTTTACATGCTTCGAAGCGTTAACAACTGATGGTGGTATGATTACAATCACCAACTTCTGGGGATATATGTTAGGGATAGACCCAAGATATCCCAAGATAAGATCAATAATTTTTGATAATTTTTGGCTCAATCAACAATTAGGTCCTAATCAAATCCCCAAAAGATGGCTGATCCATGCTAATCCTGATCTCAGTTTATTGAGAGCATCGATCCTTGGTCAGGACTTCATTGGATTCGACACATGGGCTACTGCCAAGCGTGAGGCCCTGGGCCTCTGGGCTGGGCCCTCAATCTCCATATGGCAATTGTGGCACCTGGTTGATACCTGTTGCAACCCTCCATGATGAAGGTGTGACAAGTTTCGACCCCAGCGAAGCAAAAAATATTGGTGATCAGATGTGACAACTGGATGATATGATATCTGGATATGCATATTTCATAGAATTGGATGATGGGAAAATTTACAGGAAAGCCCTATATTTGATGGTAAAAACCATGGTTTCCGGTTAAGATTTTCCCTTAAACCAATCCAGTGAATATTCGTGTTGTGCAGAGACCTGATGCAACTTTTCATCCACATGGCGGATACGCGATGGAGGGACACCCACTGACCCTGCAGATGTCCCTGCGATTTGGCCCTGGCCCCAGGGGTCCCTTTCTGTTTTGGAGGTTGGATCTATTCCATCCGATGTGACGCAGTCATTGATCTCTTCTCCAGTGGTTTCACCCGTGGAGATGTTGTTGGTGGCACTGGCGCAGGCCAGTGCAAAACACCCGGGACATTTTTGTTGACAAAAATTGGGGCCAGGTGGATGGATATATCGATGGCAGTTTTTGTTGGGATCTACCCTCTGGTAATTTAACATAGCTATGGAAAATCACCATTTTTGATGGGAAAATCCACTATAAATGGTGATTTTCAATAGCTATGTTAGTTTACCAGAGGGTAATCTCTTTGATGAAAAGTCATCTCTCCATGTCCGTTCTACAGGTCCTAAAATGTCCCCTAAATCTGGCAGATAATGCCTAGGCGGCTGGGAAGCTCACTGCCACGCAGCTGTGGGTGGATTTGGAAGCTCATGGAAGAGACACCAACTTTGCCCACACGGTCGGCTGGTTCACAGAGCTCAAAGCGCTTCAGATGGAAACCTCCTGGCCACTCGTCCTGAACGTAGCTTTAGGCTTCAACTAGTTGCTGCATTGGAATGACATCCATCCCTTTCTAAGCCAATGCCAGGCCTTCAGGTTGCTTCTTGGCCTGAAATTACTCTGAAAGTTGAGGGCTTGGTAAAATTGGTAAATGTATGTAAATGTCATGGCTATTTTCATCTATTTTCATGATAAATCAGATAAATCCAATCAAGCGTAGCCTTACAGCCACCCTCCACATCCAAGGCCCTTGGATCTGGCGCTCCGGGAGGCGAAGAATCGCTGCAGGACGGATGTCTGCCATGGCGCTTCGCGGAGTGAGCCGACTATCTGCATCAACTACCATGGCCAGGTGCGGAAGAGATACTGGCCCCATGGAAATGGCTGAACTGGAAATCCAGGGATTGAAACTTCGAGCCCGAGACATAAGGACAGCCCAAGACATCCCCTTTTGCAGGGTGGATTTTTTTGCCTTGAACCCAATCCATAGGCTGGACCAGCGGTTTCAGAAGCTCAGTACTTGTCGCTGGCGCCGGAGTGGGAGACACTGGCACGCCATGATCTTCATCCGCAAAACCAGCGGGAGTACCTTCTGGAAATCGAGGTTGGGCGGGTTCTGCAGTGGATTGAAATCTCAAAGGACCTGCAGAGTCCATGCTTTAGAGGGTCTGTCCGAAAAACTTTTCCGCCAGAAGAACCCGAGTCCCCTTGTTTTGTTTAAAACATTGAGCCCCAAACAATCCTAATCCCTTGAGAAACATCCAACTTTTGGAAGTTTTTTTTTGTTCTTCCGAGCCTGACCGAGCCTGACAAGGCCATGCTGGTGCTGGGAGAAGATGGTAGCTGGTCCTTAAGGGTCGAATGGATCTACGATGGTCGGCTTGGAGAGTGCATGGTTCGTTGGCTGCAGGTGCCTTGTTGGATGATGCCTCGATTCTGGCTGTTTGATGAAGTTGTGATGCCTGTTCTGGTGGAAAGACGTCCATTTCTGGGTTCTCTGTTTGAGATCCAGACACACATATCATCACACTGTAATATGTATATAGAGAATTATATATAGAGACTTGTTTCTGATTCGGCTCAAAATTTTGTGCGTGGATGGTTCTGAAGTGCTTGGATGTGCTTGGTATATGAAATCAAGCACCTTCAGGGGAAGAGGGTTAGAAGATTCCTGATTCTCCCGGACAGGAGGGGGTTGGAGACAAGCAGATACCGTGCAAAGTTGACCAATGATATACTCCCCGCCCAGGAATTTCTACATCAAGCCGCTTTGGTGGCGGCTCACGTCAAGTCCACACCCGCAAGGCTTGTGGGACATGGATGGAGTGCCTTGGAATCAGGATTGGTCCAGACCTGACCGCCAGGTGCCTTCAAGCTCCCTGCGATCTGGGATCTTCGTGTAGTGTCTCAACCTTCGATGCATGGACAGCGCGATGGTTTGATGGCATGTGACTTGATGAATGGAAACCTTGAAATTTGGTGGGAGGTGGAAAACAATCAGACGTGAGCAACTGAGCATGTTGTTCCGTTTGATTCTTGTTCTACCTGGAAGGGGGCTTTTTCTTGTCGCTCCAGGTTGGAGGACATGGAAGAGATCTACCCCTGCACCCCACTTCAGGAAGGAATGATGGCAGAGACTCTGTTAGATCCTACTGCCAATGTGGAACAGCTCCTCGGCTCCGACTTCGAGCTGCTGGAATTTGGATGATTTTGGATCGTGCGAAAATTCACCTCTTCATTGTGAGTCATCAGGTCAGCATCAGAAAGGAAAGACAGCAAGGACTGGAGAAATATGGCAGTGTGTCAAAACCTTGTACCCCTGGTGAACATCAAAATAGCTGGTAAATGGATGTTCATCCCATTAAAAATGGTATTAATAGGTATTGATCCATACCCATATAGTGACTAGTGACATCGTTAGTCTTTTCTGTAAGATGTAAGTGTCAGGAAACCATCAGCAGTGCCTGTTGGACATGCGTTCCACACAAGGGGGGGTTCAACGTCACATGCCGTTGCAACAAACGAATCAATCCTTATTTAGACACTACTATATCCTCGTTCTCATTCACACGCAGTTAAAAATGACGCATGCTAGCGACATTCTACACAAAACACACGGATTGTCTCATTATCCTTATTCTCTAGATTTCTCTAGCATCCACAAGACACAACACGACAACCCATCATATTCTATAAATTACATAGCCCCCCCCCGCCAATGCACAATTTTGGCATATTTTGGCACAGTCCCGACAAAGACATTTCCAGCGGCTACTGTACCATGTTCTTGCTTTCATTTTTAACACCGTTATTCTTCGCACTTGCATTCTTCGCACTGGGACATCTTGCACGCTTGGGCCCTTGCTTTCATTACGTTGCTACTACCGCAATGTTTTTTTTATACCAAAGCATCTAACCTTCTTCTTTCTCTTTCGCCTGTCAACACCAATGCCATGCCCAGCCACTAGCTTCTACACCTCCTTAGCAACTCAACCTATACTTTCTTACCAGCTAAGACCAACCATACACATTTGAATTCTCTCCCTACATCATTAACTTAATGGTTAATGAACATCATTTTATGGTTAATATTGATACTTAGTATTACTATACTCATTAGCTTGATATAAACCACAGGAACGTCTTACCTCTGGTAATCAAATGTGGCAATGGGAAATCAATGAAACTCCTAAAACATGATTTATAAATAGAGCTTAAAATGGGAAAATCATCAGTTTTCATTGGAACATCCCCATCAAACATCTTCAAACATGGAGGTTTTAATGGGAAACTAATCTAAAACGTCTATTAATTATCTATAATTATCTATAATTATCTATAATTATCTATAATTATCTATAATTATCTATAATTATCTATAATTATCTATAATTATCTATAATTATCTATAATTATCCATGATCTATTATCATTATTATTATAGATATTATAGTAGTCTATTATTATCCACCATCATCCCCATGATCCGTTCACCGTGGCTGTTGCGCCCCAGGCTCCCACTGCTGCTGCCCGGTGATGGCGCCCGTTGGCGCGACGCCTGGACCGCCGTGGCACGGCGCCACGGCGCGCTGCGCGCGCGGCTGGCGCCGGCGCCCTCCAGGGGACGGCGGTTCTGGCAGGTGCCGATGGGGGTCGAGTCATGGGAACCTGTTATCAGAAACTGTTATCATATGTTGCATATATAATCAATATATAGATATATGATCAATATTTATATGTATATGTTTATGTATATATATATGGTATTATATACACATCTTATATCATAGTTTTGAGATGTTTTGAGCCACTTGCAAATGTAGCATGAAACCGGAGGCAACAACTTTTTGGAATGTGGGTGCACGGAGGATAAACTTACAATCCAGTGGGTCCTTGGAGATCACAGGTGCTGGTCGGCAACTGCAGTCTTGTTGGATTGGTTTAGTGGAAAAACATGGAAAAACCAGTAGATAATGCAGATAATGCAGATAAACCAATGAAATATCGGGTTATTGGATGATTTTATTAAACACCTGATATTTGATTCTAGATTTCCCCCTTAAATCCAGTGTGACAGTGACCGGTCGGGGCTTTGGTTTGTTCGGTGCCACAGGTGGTCTTTAAAGACGGCTCTGAGCCTGCATCGCCCCAGTGGGAGGATCCAACCAGCCTGACTGATCTAAGATGATCCATGATCCAACTGCCTTATGTCACCATGTCACCATGTCCTTTGATCCCACATCTTTCATGGCGCACAAGGAGGGCGTATGGGATGTGCATGTCGGAGAGGAAACAGATGACGATCTGTTTGGACCTGAGATAGACACGGAAAGGTATGGCCAATTTTGGCCAGTGGTACGTCAGATAATCTCTGGTACTTGGACGTTCATCACATTCCGCCAACACGTTATGGGAGTTTGCATATACATGGTATTTGGATGTATTTGCACGATATTTGGGTACGTTTGGACACAATTGATATCATTGATATCCGTAAAATTCCTGAAAAATATCTGTTCCTATCGCATTTTTCGGATCTTTCATATCTAGATATTTGGATGAGCCCCTGCTGCCGCCCAGGCCACAAAGGCTTCCGCCCCTCAGCAATTCTGAGGCGGGTCGCAGCGAGTGGGCCAACGACAGCTATTTTTTTTTGGGGGGTTCTCTTCAAAACAGGGAACCTAAAACCAGTGGTTTTCCCATGAAGATCTATGTCTAATTATCCTTTCTGGATACCCTACCCTCCAGTAAGCATACAAAAAACTATGGAAAATCACAATTTTTGATGGGTAAATCCACTATAAATTGCCATTTTCAATAGCTATGTTAGTTTACCAGAGGGTATCCAGTAGAAACCTTGTCTATGATTGAAGCATCCAGTAGAGGATGATTGAAAAACCATGTAGTGAATCGATCACTCATTCTCGCAGAGGAGAGCCGCTAGCGGATTTTTTCAGGTTTCGGGTGTGGATTTTGAGATTGTCTTTTCACCTGTGCGCAGTTGCTAATGGGTTTTCAGAACCAAATGATTGATAGACAAATATTTACAATGATTATTATCAATAATCATCATTATCATGCCCCAGCAGCGAAGGCCAACAAGCTATTTCGATCCTTGGCAACTGTGGAGCAGTGGCCTGTTGTGTTGCTTTCTTGGATGAGGCATCCCATGAAAGTCTTGTCACTTCATCTTCCGAGGACTGCTTCGTGCGTTTTTGGAGAGGGATGCGAAACGTGGTTTCCAATGTGCTGGGCCGCTGCTGCGCTTCGGCCTATTTGAGGTTGGAGCAGATGTTGGAGAAAAGGGACCGCTGTGGACTTTGCTGAAGATGTTGCGATCTGATTCTTGAGAGTCCTTATATTTCTTATTCTTTGGTGTTTCTACACAGTTTTACATTGTTTTCTCAAATTAGTGAGTTCATCCCCAAAGAAGTGATGACTTCTGGGTTGCACCCCTTGGTTGACAGGTTTGCAGAGAGACAAGGAGTATCGAGGTGCACTGCCAGCTGATGCATTTGGTGATTTCCTTCCACAGACTCCACAGATACGGTTGCAGGTCACAATGAATCCTAAATTCATGCTTTCCCAGAGTTGGTTTAAGGGAACATCTGCAGGTTTTACCCCTACATTTGGGGTACAAGCCATGGTTTCCTGTAGATGTTGCCACCCAGTGATGCGCCAGAATCATCTCTCAATCTTCTGAAAGCGCCAGGGTGGGCTCTACGTTTGCATCCGCACCGAGAACCATGTCATTTCGGATGGCTGGTCCAATCCCTTGATGCTCCAAGAGGCGGTGCAGTTCTACACAGGAGGGGATGACCATGCAACCAGTTGGGTAGCGATGGAGCCGCTCAATTTGTCATTGGACATGTACCTAGTGTCCTAGTGTAGTGTTTAATGTAGTGTTTAACTTCACCTGTTTTTTTTGGTATCTATTTGTAGTAAGTATTAAACCATCCCCAAACATGGGGGTCAAACAATTGAGCCATACCCAGTTGAAAGATAGCAATAGAAAATTATACACCATTTGTAGATGATATCGGATAGACCACACGGGGATTTTCAACTAAAAAAACACATACAGAAAGGTACGCGTGTCGAATTGCTACTGAGAAGTCCCACCAAGTTCAGCGGGACATCCCGGATCCCTGATGCATTGGGGACACGGATTCCAACAATTTATGATATTTCGCCCCCAACATCAAGAGTAGGTTACTACACCCCTGTAAATCGAATCATCAACCAACCATCATCTAGATAGATTGTGATATAATATATCCCTAGAAAGGATGGTTTTTTTGATGGTCAAAACACCCTACAAATGATGGGATTACTGCTGCTAGGAGATCCACCGATGGATCCAGCGCCGCGCTTCGGTGACTATGCCGAGCATGTCTTGAAAGTTACCCAGGTCGAAACTAAGAACGGAAAGAATGCAAAAGTGAGATGAATTGGCTTGAGTGGCTGGCATTGGAAGATTGGAAGATTGGAAGATTGGAAGATTGGATGATGAACTTACCTGGTTTATATATTAATGGGTCAATATGTTGATCCATATTGATCCCAGAGTTCCACTAGGATTCCCTTCGAATGGGTCATATTAAGCCACCCTTAACAGGGAGCCCTGATGATCCAACCTTTGCAGGTCAAGCCTCAAGAGGAGCTGAAGAGATTTTGGAAGCAACACTTGGACGGCTGGACAGGTGGGATAGGGGGGCTCCTTTTGGACCCAGTGGAAAAAGATGAAGGGACTCGTTTCAACATGAGAGTCGAACTCCGTGTCAAGTCTCAGATATGGTTCAATTCTTCTATTTCCAGACTTTCATGATCCCCCCCAGGAGTCTTTGCGAATGACATTTTCAGATCCACAGCAGAAACCACAGGTGAATCCCTTGAGTCCGTCCAGGCCAAGGAGCCGAGGGATTGGTGGCAAGTTGACAGGTCCACTTGTGGTTTTATGTAAGATCTCTTGAGTTTAGAGTTGATATTATGATATACTGTTCATGAAGATCATGATATTAAGATATTATTGACTCCAGTTGAGTTGATATACTATTTTTTGAACTTGGAGTTCATGAACAACTGGCGTCCTATTTTTTCTAGAATTTTTGGATTTGTTACGCATCTGGCTGCATTGAAGTTTTGGTGTCACTGGTTGAGACAAAAAGTGCAGGAGCAGCAGACAGAGTTCGAGCAGCTCCAGATGGATTTGCCGTTACCCAACGTTGACCACCAGGCAGACAGGAGCGTCTGAGTTCCTGCTGCCTCTCAAGTTTCCTCGCTGGTTTCCTTACATAGAACCCCGTGTTGCTTGAAGTTTCACATCATGTGATCCACCAGTTCCTGCAGATTTTTTCGGTAACAGTCTTTGACTTTGCGTGGCTTGATGGGAAGTGACTACTGATTGCATATCACATGGTTCATAAGTTTTTGTCAATTGCAGTAGGCTGCAATGCAGTGAACACAGCACTGTCTCCAGGGCATCACGAGCGCTGCAGTGCTACACGCTGCCTGGGCGATGGCTTTGGTCCGAGCCTAACTGGCCTAACTTCAGTTCTCACATGATTCATTTCATTTGGTTTGTACTTCGGAGTTTGTCACTTGGTTTGTATCACAGCATTACTCTGATCAATCTGGGTGAATCCCTCGCAATTGCAGGCTTCACGCTGTCATCCATGTTGGATCCACCCCCTGAGTCGGCTCCAGCACGTAGATTTGTAAACTGCCACCCTCTCGGAGCTTCAGAGATGGCACGCGCAAAGCCCTTCTTGAAGACTTCGATCATGTCAGAGGAGAACTTCCAGCCACACCTCGGCGACTTGATCATGCCGGAGGACATGCAGCAAGTCTTCCAAAATGGTGGGCCACCCAATTTTGTTGGGAAATCCATGGTGCTGATGGGCCCCATGGGGACAGGCAAGACCACCCTCTTTAACAAGCTGACAGGCTTGAATTGTGCCACTTCAGCTGGGGCAGACACTTGCACAACCATGAACAGGATGCATTATGGTCTTGCTCCGGCTGGTGGACTGCTGATTGTGGACACACCTGGCTATGCATCATCAGGTGTGCAGTATGAGCATGCCTTGGAAGTGAGGAAAGCACTAACCGCTGGAACAGTGAGTCAGATTGTTGCGGTGCAAAGTTTGCCAAACAATTCACGGACCAGCCAGATCTCAACACTCCTCCAGCCAATCGATCGAATCATGAGTTGTGACACCTTTCGGACAGACTCAGCTGGCACCGATACCCTTGCGAAGGGTCAAGACCGCAGCCCGTTGCGGACTCGGGCCTTTCTGGTTTTGACCTTCAGAGATCGGTTCATTTTGGATCGAAAAGAGTGGATGAAGTCGATTGAGACCATCCGCAAGCAGTTTTCCTGGGTTGGCCCAGTTGCGCTGATTGACAAAGGTGTCTCTGTTGATTGGTTGTACAACACTATCGTTGCCTGTGCTGGATACACCCCTCTATGCTGTACCCATCATTACATTCCTTTGGTGGAGTTTTTCGTGAAATTTCCTCTGAGCTTTGACCTGACAGAAGAACAGAAAACCTCTCTGGCACCTCACAAGTTCAGATTCTGCATGGGTATCTCAGCTGCTCAAAAAGAGGTGGAGCAAATCAAGCGAGAGAGGCTGCAGGGTTTCAGTGGAAGCTCCAATTATGTGGAAAAGTTAGGTGCTTCCCTCGATTGTTTGATCCGCTTTCTCGATGACCTCTACGATTGCACCACCCTTGATGCCTTGGCCGACATGTACAACTGCGAAGTGGATGATCTGTGGGCCAGCACGGATGAGGCAGTGAATCATGGTCGAGTAGAGAGGTGGAATGCCATCAAGATGCACTTTGCGCCTGAGTACCAGAACATGAAGAAACAGATCCAGCGAGCCTTTCCCGATGAAGCTGGAGCTGGAGTGTACAAGAGGTGTCCCTACTGCATGGAAGTGTATGTCAAGCCCTTGGGTTGTGACTTTGGGACCACTTGTGGAAATTCGGTCGGTGGCGCAGATACCGTCCCATACACTTATTTCTACAACTCTGACACCTTGGAGTTCAAAGTCTTGAGCAAAACACGGGATGAGAGAGCTGCCATTCTCTCAGAGAGCCATGCGGCTTCCAGCATCCAAACACTTGGTGGGACTAGCTTGGAGTGGATGGCCTCCAAGTGGCGCAAGGCCTACAGAAAGGTTGCAGCGATTCTTTCATTCTCCCCTGATGGTTCTGAGGAATCTGCGGACTTGAACTTCAAGGAGAAGGACACTTCAAAGGCTGTTGTGCAAAAACGTGGCTGTGGAGCCGCTGTGAGGTGGGAAACAATGCCATGCCTGACCAGAGACGAACTTGTTGCCTTCGGCTTGGTTCCTGACTATTTGGTTCCTGACTATGTTCCCTTGGAGCCATGCAAGATGACTCTTGATCCCAACGGAGTGGAGGCAGTCATCTCATGGTTGGACAAGTTGCAACTTGGTCAGTACAAACGTGCTTTCAAGGAGAACTCTGTGGACAAGGATGTCTTGCTCTCTTTGACTGAAGATGACCTGCAAACTGACTTTGGTGTGCAGAACAAGTACCATGTGCGCAAGATTATCCTTCAGCGTGGCCAGCTATGAGAGCTCCGATGATCTATTTTCCGGGCTGAGAGACATGCTCAACACAAGTTTGAGGATGCTTATGTCCCAGCACAGTTGCAGACTGCTATCAGCTGGGCTAATGCTGCCTTTAAAGTCACAGATAGTCAGTGTAGTTCCAGCCTCTAGTAGGGAGGAAGTCAAAGAAGTAGGTATTTATCGATATTAATTGACTTGCAGTTGCACCACAGGACAATGAAGCGCGCTGCAAGATCAAAAATTGCTGACCCTTGTTGTTGAGAACTCTGGGCTGTGACTTGCAGACCTTGCAGTCACTGCAAAGCCACGCATAGAATGGGTATACTGGAAGAAACAACTGGTCGGAAACATTGAGATGTATGATTGCAATAGTTCACTCTTCGCCATCATGGAGTGAATGTCGCCCAAGGCCAGTCGAGAAATGCGCGATGATTTGGTATTTGGCATCGTGCTGTCAGGGCGTGATGTCCCAGTTGCAGGAATTGAAGGTGCTGCTCGTGCATGTCTTGACTGAAGAATTTGGATCGATCCTCCTGAGTTCGATGGTTCCAAGCAAAGTGTTCCAGAAAGCAAGGCTGGTCACCTTCTGAGGGCAATGCGGTCTTGCATATTTCAAGTGCGCCATCCTGTCTTTCCGGACAGGAATGGTGGGACTTCTAATTTGCACCTTGCCTTTGCGAGTTCAAATCCGGGCCGAAGCAAATTGTCTAGGCGTGGCAGAGATTTGATGTGTCGCATGTAAAATTTGTGCAATACTCCTTTCATTGCTATATTCATTGCTATATACTGACATAGTGCATAAACATGCATAAACAAATATAAAAAGTACGCTGGAAGACAAGTACTCCCTATGGATCAGTCTGATATACCATGTGATTTGTAGTGAGGGAAGAGTCTTCTCCACGACCTTTTGCTTGATCCACATAGAATAGATTCTGTGCCACCTGACCCTCCAGATTTGGCCACGTGCATCCAGCAGTCTTTGAGAGACCTTGCTGCGCATCAGTGCCTTGGAGCATCAACGAATGCAGCGCAATACATCGCTTAGGATCTGCAATGAAGTTTATATATTCTGGCACATTCCTTTTTTGGATGATGCAAAATAATCCCCTTGTTGCTCTGATGACTCATTCTTGGCTTAGCACATTACTTGCAAAACATTCAGGGAAGTTCTAAAGGATTCTAAAGGAAAACTGTGTTGATTGCTTGATCATACTAAAAAGATACTAAAAGCACGCGGTAGCACTTTGTGCAACTTAACAGAGTGGTGGCTCCACATGGTTTCACTGTCCCCAACAGTTCAGCTTATTCTGTGCAGATCCGAGGTTCTGCAACATGGCTTGGTGCTTGGTTTTCTTGAAGTTTGTGTAAGTCAACTGCATGAACCGGCCATCTCAGTGAGCCTTGAATAGCTCGGAGCATCAGCTTGGGTCCATGATGCCAAGTCATCACGCAGACCAAGGCTGAGATCAGAGAATGGTGTGGACGTATCGGTCCAGTGCAGGACTGGCAGAAGGTAGACTGCTGACGGCAGTTTCTCCACAAGTCCACGATATCTTTGATACTTTTCTTCTTCCGTCTAAAAGAGCTTTGTTCCTGAAGGACTTGATTGATCCTTTGGTGCCCTGGGACTCTATCATGATCCTAAGCTGGTACCAGGATCTGTTTCAAACGATGCTGGTCTTTGAGAACTACCCCGCAGAGGAAACAGATGCAATGCCACAGGCTGGCAGTGGTGAAGATCACTGAACGAAGCCGATCATGCATTTTCTGCTGTCTGACTGTAAGGCTGTAAGGATAAATGTCTTACGATTTGAAATACTTTTGGCTTACGACGTGAACCACGCAAAACCTTGAAAGATTGTGGACTTTGTGTCACACAGCTTCAACACCATGATTCATTCGAGGTTTTTGGAATGCTGGGATTTGTGTACAATTTGTGTCAAGAACATTCATCATAATATGATATTCCAGAGATTCTCGCAGCCAATCCTCCAAGATCTGCCATTGGACCACCCCAATGGGCTCCAGGTTCTGCACCATTCGGAGGTGCCCATCACCGGTGCCAGCCTTCCCTTGGTGGCCGTTCTCGTGCCGCGAGGTGGTGGGATGTGGTGGAGCAACATGTTGGCATGGCCAGAATGGAAGATATGAATAGCCTCTGATAATTCAACATAGCTATGGAAAAGGATGTGGACATTGCCCATTTATACAGATGATATACCTACAAAACGTGGTGATTTTCCATAGTTATGCCAAAATACCAGAGCATACCAGAGGCAAAACTGTGTCTAACTGCTGTGTATTCACCATTTTCATCCACTTGTCATGAGTTGTAACAGAACCAATATCTTTCTAAGTATTGTGGAAGTCTGAAGGCTGCAAGACACTGGCACCTCCAATTCCGTTTGGGAACCCCAAGTCCCACATCGAATGAACATCCAGAGTTTCGGACCCCATGGAGCCTAATTTGATCTGATTTGCAATGTAGATTCACATCCAAAAAAGGATATTCTTTTTACAGAGATGCTTTTTCTGGTGCGTTTACTTATTGGTTTCCCAGTATTCTCCCATTAAACCTGACCAGAAACTTGGATGATTTTGGGGTTTGGATCGGGTCCCTTGGATAGGTGAAGGTCTCCAACTGACCCTTCGCTTCGACCTTGCGAAGCACAGCAGGGCAAGAGCTCAGCACCTTGGCCGGAAAAAAAGGGTGGTTTGGATGTCAAAATATCAAAATAGAATGGGCTAACGCCCTGGTGCCGCCGACCCCCTTTCAAGGGTGCGGATATACATACATACATATATATATAGACATATGATGTTATAATATGCTTATATGGTTTCCGGCTGAGATTTTCACACCTAAACCAATCGATGGAATCCTGGAGCACAAAGTTCCGCAGAATTTAGGACCACAAACGGCAGGCTTGAACGTCCTTAACAACAGAGGGCAGTGGCCTGAGTGCCTGCTCGAAGCTGCCGCGCAGCGTTTGAGGCATTTGAGGCCTGGCAAACGGCAGGCTTGAACGCCCTTAACAACAGAGGGCAGTGGCGGGAGTGCCTGAGCTGCCGCGCAGCGTTTGAGGCATTTGAGGCCTGACAAACGGCAGGCTTGAACGCCCTTAACAACAGAGGGCAGTGGCCTGAGTGCCTGCTCGAAGCTGCCGCGCAGCGTTTGAGGCATTTGAGGCCTGGCAAACGGCAGGCTTGAACGCCCTTAACAACAGAGGGGCAGTGGCCGAGTGCCTGCTCGAAGCTGCCGCGCAGCGTTTTAGGCATTTGAGGCCTGGCAAACGGCAGGCTTGAACGCCCTTAACAACAGAGGGCAGTGGCCTGAGTGCCTGCTCGAAGCTGCCGCGCAGCGTTTGAGGCATTTGAGGCCTGGCAAACGGGAGGCTTGAACGCCCTTAACAAGAGGGCAGTGGCCGGAGTGCCTGCTCGAAGCTGCCGCGCAGCGTTTGAAGCATTTGAGGCCTGGCAAACGGCAGGCTTGAACGCCCTTAATAACAGAGGGCAGTGGTCGGAGTGCCTGCTCGAAGCTGCCGCGCAGCGTTTGAGGCATTTGAGGCCTGGCAAACGGCAGGCTTGAACGTCCTTAACAACAGAGGGCACTGGCCTGAGTGCCTGCTCGAAGCTGCCGTGCAGCGTTTGAGGCATTTGAGGCCTGGCAAACGGCAGGCTTGAACGCCCTTAACAACAGAGGGCATTGGCCTGAGTGCCTGCTCGAAGCTGCCGCGCAGCATTTGAGGCATTTGAGGCCTGGCAAACGGCAGGCTTGAACGCCCTTAACAACAGAGGGCAGTGGCGGGAGTGCCTGCTCGAAGCTGCCGCGCAGCGTTTGAGGCATTTGAGGCCTGGCAAACGGCAGGCTTGAACGCCCTGAACAACAGAGGGCAGTGGCCTGAGTGCCTGCTCGAAGCTGCCGCGCAGGCATTTGAGGCCTGGCAAACGGCAGGCTTGAACGCCCTTAACGACAGAGGGCAGTGGCCTGAGTGCCTGCTCGAAGCGGCCGCGCAGAGTTTTAGGCATTTGAGGCCTGGCAAACGGCAGGCTTGAACGCCCTTAGCAACAGAGGGCAGTGGCGGGAGTGCCTGCTCGAAGCTGCCGCGCAGCGTTTTAGGTGGCAAACGGCAGGCTTGAACGCCTTTAACAACAGAGGGCAGTGGCCTGAGTGCCTGCTCGAAGAAGGCTTGAACGCCCTTAACAACAGAGGGCAGTGGCCTGAGTGCCTGGCGGAAGGCAAGGTAGTGGCAAGCCAACAAAAACAGGCTCCACACCTGCGGTGGTCCCAGGCGCCGCCCCTGCCTTGGCAAAGGCCGGGGTCGGCGGATATGGGGAAAACCGTAGGAAAATTAGCTGTAAATGGGGATATTTCTGGGAGAATCTTCTCCCCAAGTTGATATGGCTGAAAATGAGGCATACCCTGCAAATGATCAGTAGAGAAAATGATGATTGACCTGTGGATGGAATGGGATACTCTATTTTCAGACCAGCCCATATGGAAGTCATTGGGTGGTGCTTTCAATGGATTGATTTCAGGGAAAATCTACAGGATCATAGTTTGTTCCCGTCAGAAACATCATCCAATTCTGGGATTTCAACATTTACGAAAAATGATGTCCTTCATTCCACCAAATTTTCTGGCCCACTTTGACATGCAGGGTTTTGATCCCAGCCATATATGGCACATATGCGTACTGAGGGATTTGGCTCTCGACTTGGGCATTGTGTTGGAGTGCCTGCATCGGTGGTGGGAAGCCCCAGGTTTTGGATTCCTTTGGCCACAGGCGAAGTCTAATAAGTACAATAAGTATACCCTCTGGTAAACTAACATAGCTATAGAAAATCACCATTTTGAATAGGTAAATCAACTATAAATGTGGTATTTTCAATAGCTATGTTAAATTACCAGAGGGTAATGAATGGAATGTCTTTGAAATTTGCAAGACTAAGCTTGCCATGGCAATCAAGTTCTGTGTATCTCCCTGCTTAACTAATTATGAATTCAATTGGTGTTATGGACATTTTACGGGTATTTTATGAGATTCCCTGGAAACAATTCGCGATCTACTGATCTACTTGAGCTTGAGGCCGTCTTGTCCTTGTGGTGAGCTTCTGGCTGCGATGTCCACCTTACGGAGCTTCGCAGGCCAACAAGATGTGGGGATGGGTCAAAACTCACAACTAGCAGCCAATTTGATGGATTTTTCAATAGATTTTCCATATGAATAGGGGGATGAGCGTTTACAAGTCATTCTGTTTTTGGCGTCTCAGAGCTGTCCATAGCAAGGTGTGAAGGCAACTTAACTTGAAAGCACGTCTGATTATGAATCATCTGTGACAGCTAGCAACATCTGGAGGTGCCTGTGGACCACGAAGCGCAGCTGAAAGCAGTTGCCCCAGTCACCTCAGTTGTTGCCACGGGTTGATGAAATTTGACGCCACGTCAGCGTTAATCTCAACCACAGGTACTGCAGGTTCCCCTTGCGTGTTCAGGTCCTACTACTGTTGTGGTGATTTCTTAAAGATGGTTGACTGCCCACTTTGATTTTCATGGCATCCGAATTGAGCACCACGAGTTTTTTGCAGTTCATCGAGCCTCGTGTTCATCGAATCTCAGTGGTTGACTGCCCGCTTCCTCCTCTTGGCTCCTTGACGTCACATAGCTTCTTATATTAAACCATGGTCACATGGTCAAACAAGCGCACACTGAAAACAACAGAGGAATCATTCTGATGGGTTATCTAAAAAACCCATGACATCATGGTTCTCACATGTTATCAGTTATCACTGTTATCACCTTAAAACGGGTGGACATGACCATTTTGCCGCACAGACAAGGGACCACCATTCTGACTGTTGAGAAACAGCACCAATGACGGAAGGCTCAGAGGCTCCGGAGTTGCGATCGAATATGGGAACTGGTGCCTCGTCTTCGTCAAAGTTAGGTTTGCAACGAGACAAGGAGGATCCTGCATCATTTCGTGGTGGTTACACAGTAGTTAGCAGTTAATCATAGTTAATTAATCCACCACAAATTGGTGATGTTTGTTCCCTCTGCAACCAAAAATGGCTCTGCCGCCACCAAGGGGAGGATGGCAAGGCTGCAGACCAGGAAAGGCTGACATTTGTCCCAGGCCGCAGCCGAAGGAAAGATCTCCTATGAAAGCTCTGGTAGGGTTGCTGTTCCTGGTATGATAGATATTTATTTGAAGAGTTCGTAATTCTGCAAGTTGCAAAGTGTTGCGCCTTAATGGTGTTGACAGTGTCAGTGACTTCATGCCCTGCTTTGCAATCATTTGTTGTGGCCAGGTCTGATTTCAACAGAAATTGAGGAAGAGGTAGAGCCCCAGGTGGCAGATTCAGAACTTGCTGAGCTGGGACATCGAGAGGAACGCGCAGCTGCAAAAGAAGTAGCAAAGGATGTAGATATGTCTGCTGAGAGGACAGCCGAGAACCCCGATGAGGAGCACCCACGTGAGGAAGAAGAGCAGGAAACTGCAAAGGAAGCAGCAGAGGATGCAGACATGTCTGCTGAAGCGGCAGCCGGGAATGCTGCTGAGGAGCACTCGCGTGGTGAAGACGAGGAGGAGGCTGTAAAAGGAGCAGCAGAGGATGCAGATATGTCCGTTGACACTGCAGCTGAGAACCCTGCTGAGGAGCAGCCACCTCAGGAAGGAAAAGAGGAAGCAGAAAAAGAAGCAACAGAAGATGCGGATATGTCTGCTGAGACGACAGCCGAGAACCCTGATGAGGAACACCCACGTGAGGAAGAAGAGCAGGAAACTGCAATGGAAGCAGCAGAGGATGCAGACATGTCTGCTGAAGCGGCAGCCGCGAATCCAGCTGAGGAGCACCAACATGAGGAAGAAGAGCTGGAAGCTGCAAAAGAAGCAACAGAAGATGCAGATGTACCTGGCAAGACGGCGGCTGAAAGTTCTGAAGAGGAACAGGCGGAAGAGGAAGAAGACAGGGCTGGCGGGGACACGTCTGCGCAGGGAGATGTGGAAGAAGAGGAGGAAGGCGCGGCAGAACCTGCAGGCATTGGAGAGGAGGTTGGCGAGGATGCCGAGGCAGATGCAGCTCAGCCTTCCTCCCCAAAACCAGAGGATGCGGGGCCTGCAGGGTGTGAGGGGAACATGGAGGATTCCATGGCCTTCACGCCGAAGGAGATTCAGTCAAATCTTTGCAAGGCACGCATTTGGAACTCAGGTCATGGTGGCCAGTGCAGTATGGTTGCGCCGAAGGACGGAGACTTCTGCGGTCGCCATCGCAGCGGTTGGAAGGTCCATGGTCGTGTAGATGGCCCAATCCCAGAGGCGAAGCTGAAGGAGTTTCAGAGATTTCAAAAGCGCCTTGCAAAAGCCAAGGGCAGTGAAAAAGGAGCTAAGGCAGGAAAGGATGGCAGGGACAGCAACGGTTCCAAGAAGACGCCCAAAAAGGAAGCGGCAGCATCCGCAGGGGAGCGATGCAAGACGCCCTCCAAGGGATCTTCTCGAACATCTACGACCAAGTCCACTAAGAAATCCAGGGTCTCCACCTCATCCCGGTCCTCTCGGTCTTCCCCAGATGTGGGTGATGAACCTACCAGCTCCAAAGTCCAGGGGAAGAGACTGGAGGTTTTGTCTGATGAGGAAACCACTGCTGAAGAGAATGCAGAGAAGAGGGCCACCCGAAATCTGAAGAGAAAGCGGCAGGCCACACCCAAGGCAAACAAAGTGGATGCCAGGGCCAGCAAAGCTGCCAGAAAGACCGAAAAGGCAAAAACTTCGAAACCCAAAGAGACCAAAAAATCTGAAAGAAAAGCTGACAAAGCTTGGAAATGCACTTGTGGAAAGCCATTCCACACCGAAAAATGCAAACTCTTCCGGCCCAGCTTCCTCCACAGCAGCCGCTTCCCAAGAGCCTCCTCCCGGTCTCGATTTATGGCCTCTCCTAAGAAGCGCCGTGAGACGCTGCCACCGCCATCTGTGCAGCTGTCTCGTACTGCCAGTGAGCAGGTGGTCAAGATTAGTGCTGAGATTGAACAGCTTCCCAAAGATCAGAGGAGAAGCGCCTGGAAGAATCAGATGCGAATGTACCACCCAGACAAGAAGTCGGTCTTTCCCAACTTGTCTGAAGAGCAAATGAATGAGGCGGGCAGTCAAAACTCACACATATCAGATCATATCAGCTATTATTTGGATCTATTTGGATGTCTTTTTGTGTTTTGATTTTCCACAAGAACATCCATTTACCATCCGTTTTCATCCAGGGATTGCCAGAATTTCTTCGGCCAGGTTTTTGTGGAGATTAAGCGCCGCTATGATTTCGCGGCACGCCAGCAGCAAGAGGACCTAGTGCCACCTGCGCGGCAATTCTGGGGCAGTGCACGGTGATCCAGGATCCTCGCTGTAGGATGGCTGTAACCCAGCAGTTTCGGGTGTGTCCAAAAATGGGAGATACCCCAAGTTATATCCCAAGTTATGAGATTTTGATAGGCAAACAGGTGGTAAACCATTGGATTAAAAAGGGGTGTCCCATTTTTGGACAAACCCAAATGCCTTCTGCGTATCTTCTGCGTGAATGCAGTTTTCTTAGATGACAAAATGGATGAAATGAAAGGAAGAACAGAAGAACCTTTGCAGATGTTTGGTTTTAGGCTTTTACACCTGCGAAATGGAAGTGAGGATCCTCGATGCTGGCACTTTGGTCGTGATGCTGCGTGGGGTTCGACTTGTGTCAGCGACCAGAAAAAAGCTTGCAGCAGGATGATGGAGCTTGAACGGTGTTGCTTCACACAATATTTTGTAGTATGAGAGTTGGAGGTACTAGGCATACGCGAAGATATTTAGTCAGTCCAAGAGTTGTCAAGTCTTTTGTTACTTTTTCGGATCTTTATCCGCTTCCCATTTTTCTGAAAAATTGGCATCAGCAGATCACGTGACCTGAGGACAGTTGCTGCAGCCTACTTTTTGGCCAGACCAAAATGATAGAATTGTCAATGAAGACATGACATAGGCACCACGCATTGGTGCATGGTCTCCTGTTGACATGTTCTGCCGTGTTCACATCAATTATATAACTATGATTTGGAAAAAGATTTGACAGGTGCTTCTCAGAAGTCGACACCTTAACGCAATGTCAAGTGAAACTTCTTGATTTCCAAGGTTTACCTTGGGCGCGGAGCTTTGCGAGCGCAGCCTGGAGCTGATTTGGTGTGCATCGAAGTTGTTGATCACATGTGATGACATCTTTCTCTTGGATAAAGAAATCCTTCCGACCTGTCAATGCATCACCATGGATTTCGTTGACTTCCATGAATCAAAGGTTCCAACCTCAAAGCTGCCGCTGGTTGATGCAAAACAGGCGCACCTTTAAAGAGATCTCAGATTGGACCAGTTCAGCTGCAGCTGCGAAGTTCATCAATGGCAGGCTAACGCCCAACGGCCTTTGAAGGCAGGGATGGCAGGTCTCTGTGGTGCTTTCACGACATACGCACCATGGCTTCTAGCTACTTCAACAACATCTTTTGCGAAGTCTTCCTTGCAGTTGTAGTTTCTAGATATGAATACTATTTGGATCTATTTAGATCTATTTAGCACACCACTTCTTTTGCGGGAAAGCCTGGCACCCTCCTGCTTTTTACCCTTTAGTGACTTTAGTGGTTCAGAGTCATGTCCATGTCCAGCTTGAATTGACAACACCATGAAGCTGGATACCAAAGGCCAAATTGGCAGATGCGGTGCCTCAAGCAGCAGGTGGGATTCACTGTGCAGAGACTTGCTCATTCTTGCAGACGCCGAATTCGCACAAAATCAGTCCAGCTTCAGGTTTCCTTCAGTTTTCCATTCAGTCTAAGATGTCTTATATGACTATCAAGCCTATAACCCACTTTGTAATCTTGTGAAACTGATGTCTTAAATATTCTTAAATAACTATTTTAAACTTGTGAAACTGCAGTTTTCTGATGTTTATTCAGTCTCTCCTGACCAGCTCTCAGCTTTCAGGGGATGTTTTGGAAGCTGCTGGCCGACTTGGGCGGAGCTTGTGCCGTTTGGCACAGTGCCCTTCAGTGACTTGGCACAAAAAAAACAACTCGCCAGGTGTTTGATCTGGCTTTATATTCTAATTTGACAATAGTAGTTTTTTGTGAGAGGTGTCAGATGGATTTTTCATGATCTAGCCCATGGAAGGCGAGACCACTCAGCGCGGAATAAGGTGACCGTTGTGGTCCACGCAGTCCAAGTGGCAGCTGCCGCACTTCCTCTGCAAGTGGCGCTGAACGGTGCCTTTGCCACGGGATCACCAGAGGGGATGAGAGGCAAACATCACTCACAAAATCAGTGGGCTCCACTTGTCCCATAAGGTCCTGAAGTGGACCTGTTGGCCGAAGCGATTGAAGCAGCGAAGACGGGCGCGGTCAACTTTGAGACCTTGCTGCGATCGGTGTCACAGACGTGCCTTGATGCGGTGAAGATGAACATCCCAAAGCATCTGCAAAATGATAAATTTTGGATGCTTGTAGAGGTATTTTTCAAGAGGTTGTCCCTGTAGTGCTGCCTTCAGCAACGTCCATTTTTGAGAGTGCCAAGGCAAGATGAGACCGCAGGCAAGCGGAGTGTGATCAATCTGCCTGGTGGTTTCAGCTTCAATGGGCATCAGTCAGCACTGAGCCAACTCACAGCGTCACAGCAGAGATGTTTTGGTACAGGTGGGAAGGTTCCGGAGACCCTTTGGGCCTTCTTAGGAGATGAAACGCCTGAACCTCAGCAGCTCATGGTCTCACGGGCTCAATAGGTCTTCCATGGTCTTCCTTTTTGGGACCGGCCAAGCTGAGGTTTCTGTCACCGGATTGGTGTCCATATGTTTGCTACCTTTGGACGGCTGAGGAGGCTCAGCTTGGATCAAGGATATAGCTTGACATACTATATTCTGATTGACATAGTTGATTCTGATATAGTTCATATCCCTAATACTAAGAATGTTGATATACCCTAGAGTTTTTTTCCCTATATCACCTACCCTCGCCGCATGCCAGGTGTGGCTGCAGTGCCAGGATGAAAGCTTTGGGGCGCTGCTGTACAGCTGCCTGGAAGGTGCTGAAGTTCACTGACAGAAAGTGCTGAAATTTTTCAGCACAGGCAAAGAATCGCTAAGAATTTAGACCGGGATTCGGGCATTTCTTTGCCAACATGCTATTTTTACATGAATACAATCCTTGCCTTTGCTTGTAAAGCGCCCACAGAACGTGGGCGACAGACTCTTTGTGCTGAATTTGTAGGCGCTGACGAAGAGACCTTTCCACCACCAACTTTCCGAAAGCTCCTGGTGGAAGATATTTGGCAAAGTCTGGGCTGTTTTGGGATATTCATTCTTTTGCGATCTTGAATAATTAGATTTGGAGTCAAGTTGATTCGGGATTTTCCATATTTTCCAAGGACTTCAATGCGACGTCCCATCCGTGGAGCTCCGTTGGTGGCCTGCAAGACCTCTTCTTTCGCCGGGTCGAAGCTCTCTCAGCGGAAGGGCTGCGTGAGCATCCTGCGTTGATCTCGTATGATGACACGGGTGAGGAATCCGGCAGGATGAGCTATCAGGAGCGGAGCCGCGGTGACAAGCAAGAACTCGTTTTTTCGAAGGGACGACCAAAATGTCCCATTACAAACCTTCTTTGAAGGTAAACTATGTACAGCAAGCAAAAGAACATGTACATATATACTATATACGTATTATTGTAATTTATTGTATATTTATTTATACAATTACATTTGTTATATAAATCGTATAAATCTCTATATCTCTATATATATATATTTCTATATATACAAGTACGCACAGAATATATAGATTCTAGATGTATCCACCATTTTTGGGACGCCGAATCATGGCGAATCTTACGTGACAGCCCAGCATCGGCGCGTCAGGAGTTGGCCATACTGAGCCGCCGGGTGGCTGCGCAGCTTGAGGCAGCGACCTGCGGAGTTTGGATGCCTCGATGCAGCGAGGCCAGGAGGAAGCCCAGGGGCCCCAGTTGGGAGCTCTAAGACAAAAAAACCTGTTACGGTACTGTTAAACTGTTAAGTGTTTGTTTTGGAAACCCCACAATCCAACAGGCTTGGTTTTTCCAGGTGGGCTGTAAATACACACATATCTATCTATCTATCTGTCTGTCTGTCTGTCTATCTAGCTAGCTAGCTAGCTACCTATCTATCTATCTATCTATCTACCTATCTACCTATCTACCTATCTACCTATCTACCTATCTACCTATCTACCTATCTACCTATCTACCTATCTACCTATCTACCTATCTACCTATCTACCTATCTACCTATCTACCTATCTGTCTACCTATCTACCTATCTACCTATCTACCTATCTATCTATCTATCTATCTATCTATCTAATCTATCTACCTATCTACCTATCTACCTACCTATCTATCTATCTACCTATCTACCTATCTATCTATATCTACCTATCTACCTATCTATCTATCTATCTATCTAGCTATCTAGCTATCTAGCTATCTAGCTATCTAGCTATCTAGCTATCTAGCTATCTAGCTATCTACTATATCTCTAGCTATCTAGCTATCTAGCTATCTAGCTATCTAGCTATCTAGCTATCTAGCTATCTAGCTATCTAGCTATCTAGCTATCTAGCTATCTAGCTATCTAGCTATCTAGCTATCTAGCTATCTAGCTATCTATATCTATCTACCTATCTACCTAGCTACCTAGCTACCTAGCTACCTAGCTACCTAGCTACCTAGCTACCTATCTATCTATCTATCTATCTAGTTAATATACTATAATATATAGTTCTTTAATTAAGTTGAACCACTTGAAGTGGCTCTGTCACCAAGTCTTGAGGTGGTGGTCTTGGCGCTGGCGATTTTACAAGCAGGCGGAACCTATGTCCCCTGCGACGAGCGCCTGCCCTGGCCTCGTGTTTTGTACATGCTGACCCTGTCCTCAGCGAAGCTGGTGATCGCAGGCAGCAAACACTTGCCATGTTTGATTATCAAAGGAAAATGTCGTTTTTTGGAGAAAATGCAAATGTGCACATGTACCAATGTACCTCAAGGAAATCACCCTGTTGAAAAACTATAGACACTAGATTCAGGAGTGGCCTTCTTGAAACACTTGTGTCGAGTGTCTACAGATGAAACAAGTAAACACATCGCACATCTGCTCCGTCGCTTGGCTGCGGCAGGAGCCCAGCAGCTTCAAGGCATATCGCTGGAAGAAAGTGGTCACCCCTTGCGAGCTGTGGCTGCTGAAAGTTTGTTGCAGGAACCCTGGATGCAAGTTTTGGATGAACCATGGATGCTGCACTGAAGAGTTGCACGTGTATCATCGTGTATCTATCTAATCTAATGCAACCCCGCCCAGCCCAATCCTATCCAATCCAACCTAACCTGACCTGACCCAATCCTACCTATCTACCTATCTACCTATCTACCTATCTACCTATCTACCTATCTACCTATCTACCTATCTACCTATCTACCTATCTACCTATCTACCTATCTACCTATCTATCTATCTATCTATCTATCTATCTATATCGCTAATCTGACTCCCTTCCAATTCAGCAAAATCTTTGGATTCACCGAAATCTTTGGAGCCTTGGAGCCTCAGCGGGCTGAAGCCCGCAGCACGGACATTCCCAAGGACTCTGGATTGGAGAGCACTGAGACTGTCCCTAAGACTGACCCGAAAATCTCAGAGGAGTCCACTGCCTACATCATTTTCACCTCGGGCTCCACAGGCTGTGCTTGAAACTGGGATATACCCCGCATGATCGATGATCATTTTCCACAGAATGGCTGCTATTGTTGGGGGGCAACTATTTCAGATAAGCACACATTAATCATTACGAATCTATCTCGGATATATGCATATCTTTGAAGCAATAAGAATGGTAGCATTCCACCGCTGTTTGTCATTGGTTTGCAGCGCCAATGTTGCATGAGGCAAACCAAAGGGTGTGGCAGTCAGTCACCGGTCCATTATGCACCTGGTGGACTGGGTGATGCTTAGCGTGAAACGATGGGTCTTTTCTCTGAACCAGGCGCAATCCAAACCATCGAAAAAACAGATGATTTGCCCTTTAACAACATGGTATTTTCATGTATTTTCCATTGGCTGCGTATCAAAAGTGAAGCCCACGGCAGAAGTATTTGCAGTTTTCAGGTTGTTTTCAATGCCCAGAGATTCACGAAACAGAAGGGCCGCAAGGCGCCTCTGCGATTTGGTCACAGCAATTTGTACCTTGATCCAAGGAATACAACCTACAACGTAACCTCACAGGATTCCTTACTCTTCATCACTTCCATCGGTTTCGACCTCTCCTGCTACGACATTTTTGGATCCCTAGCCGCTGGCAGTAGCATCCACATCTGTCCAGCCAGCTTGGCACCCCAGCAGATTTTCCACTTGCTGGTGAAGCAGAAGATCAGCTTTTGGGATTCCGCGCCACAAGTTTTGCAGCAGTTGGAACCACATTTTTCTCAGTTGAGATCTGAGTTGAGATCTGAGGGATCCCTGGGATCTTTTGGATCCCTCCGCCTGGTTTTTCTCAGTGGCGACTGGATCCCCCTGTCCCTGGCGGAACGCGCGGAACGCGCGGAACGCGCGGAACGCGCGGAACGCGCGGAACGCGTCCAACTGGTGGCCCTGGGGGGCGCTACGGAGGTGACTGTGTGGTCCAACAGCTTCGAGGTCCGGTGGGTGGATCCACGCTGGCGCTCCGTGCCCTATGGACGACCCATTTGGAACCACCAGTACTACTGCGTTTTCCAAGGTGACGCCGGACTGTGTTACGCGTTGGTGAATGTATTGGATGTATTGGATGTATTGGAATTGTTGTAAGTTAAGTTATAATATCTTGATATTCTTGATATTGGAAATGGAAATTGATTGAAATTGTTAATGTACACTGGAAAACAAAAGCTATCCCATAATGTAGAGATACTGAAAGTGTATATCATTGAGCAGGCTTGATGAATCATTAATGCAATTCATGTTGAGGTGAGGAGCAGCAGCTGGAACACCTGCATTTGGGGATGACTGGAGAACTGTACATTGGTGGTATTGGAGTGGCACAAGGCTACGTTGGACGTCCAGATCTCACCAATGAACGTGACTTGGCAGCATTTTAATCTCTTTGTGGTTGAAGTCGTGAAGGTCCGGTTTCCCCCCTTTCTTTGGCCTCTCCCCTATTGGAGCATGGTAAGTTGAGGCTTTGTACCGCACAACTTTCATGGTGGACGGATGTATCGAACGGGTGACATGGTGCGCTTCATGCCACTGCAGCCCTGGGGTCAGCTTTCAGTAGATCGACTTCCACAAGCTGCTCGGCGGATATTGGGATGCTTTGTGCCATTGAACCGCCACTGAATGTATGCAATTCTAATAAGATCATGTAAGATCTAAGAAGAGAAGGTTTGTTGCTGCGGACCCGTCAAGTGTTTGATGTTTGGGATTTTCTGTCGTATGTTCCATGATTTCCATGATTTCCATGATTTCCATGATTTCCATGGTCATCCAATCCACCAATCCACCAAGGCAGATGAAGTCGTCTTGGAGTTCTTGGGTCGTTTGGATGGCCAGGTGCTGGGGAGTTTTTTGAATGCTGTAGTTTCCAAAGGTTTCCAAGATGGATCACCACAAAAATGATAGGTGCACGAGCCACCAGCAACAAGCAATGATGATGATGGGAATCGGAAGCTCACTATGTCAATATTCAACAACACATATCGATCTAATTTCCCAGCAGTGAATGTGAACAGCATGTAAAATGATGTAAACTCATGATGATTGCGATTGACAATAAACTATATAGCAGCATCATAACATAAAAACATATAAGTATAACTTTAGTACACATCAGTAAACATGAGTAAACCTCTAATATAATCCTCTAACATTAGTCAATCTCATGCTTCTATTGTACACATCCTATAGTGTCCATATTTCAATCATATACACACATTACGTATAGAAACTATCTTGAAAACTATCAACTTATAGATAAACTATATATATATATATATGACATATATATATAATATATATATAATTCAATAGTACCTATATATGTTCCCATCGTTAAACCACCAAACCCCTGCTTTTTTCCAAGCTCCAGGTGAAGCTCCGTGGCTTCCGCGTGGAGCTCTCGGAAGTCGAAGCCGTCCTGGCGCAGCTGGGCGTTTCGGCCTCCGTGGTGCTTTGCGGCGGCACGGCGCAGCAACTGGTGGCGTTTCTGGTGGCGGAACTGCGGGAGGTGCCAAAGGTCAAGGAAAAGATGGGGGAACTCCTGCCGTATTACATGGTGCCGGAGATGATCTGCTTCCTGATCTTTTGATGATTTTGAAGTTTGGGATATTTGGGATTGGGATGGGGGAAATTGATTGGAACTTGGGGAGGTTGCGGGATAAAGCACTGCGATTTTTTAAAGATAAGGTGCACATGTGCACATAGGGATTGGTCAGTATCTTTTTCCGAAGCCAAACTCCAAGGCTTGGATTCTCTGCCGTTGAGTCAGAGTGGCAAAGTGGATCGTGCCAAATTGAAATCCATATGGTCCAACCGAAGAGCTCTTGAGTCAACTTCAGAGCGCGGGGCTTCTGGTGAGCCGGTGACGGAAATGCAACGACACGTGGTTCAAGCCTTTCAGGAAGCACTGGGTCTTGAATCGCTTGGCATTTTCGACAATTTTTTCGAGTTGGGTGGTCATTCCTTGTCGGCCATTGGGCTACAGAATGCCCTGAGCTCCAGAGGAATCTCGGTGACGTTGCAGGAGGTTTTTCGTGCTCAGACACCCGAGCAGATAGCGAAGATGTTCGACAAGGGAGCACAATGTCCGGTGACAGAAATGCAACAACATGTGGTTCAAGCCTTTCAAGAAGCATTGGGTCTTGAATCGGTTGGCATTTACGACAACTTTTTTGAGTTGGGTGGGAACTCCTTAGCTGCCACGGAGCTACAGAATGCCTTGAGCTCCAGAGGATTGTCAGTCACATTGCAGGACGTTTACCGCGGTCAGACGCCCGAGCAGATAGCAAAGATGTTGGACAAGGGATCACAAGAGCAGGTCTGGATTTTGGGATGGGTCAAACATGCTCAACCCCCGAAAGTGGACGGCTCACTACTGCAAAAAGAAAATGCAAGGTTCCTGGCTACCTTTGGATGGTGGGTTGTGTTGCAATTACTGTAGTGGGTTTTTGACCCAGATCTGAGCTCTTGAGCCTCGAAAGTGGTTTGGGATAACCACTCAAAGACAGCTGTAAGAATTCACCAGGCCTTGGATGGCCTTGGCATAGTTTGATTCTGTTTTATTGATCTTTATTGGGAGATAAATAGAGATGATGCATGATGATCCAAAGGGATAATCATTCATACGGTATCAGCCATAGTTTTATTGACAGATTGATCAATGATCCGAGCAGGCCGAGCAAGACAGCTGCAAACGTCTTCGCTGTGAACGCCATGACCGGGGCAGCAAATGTGCTGCGTCCTTCGCGCAAGAGCGCTTGTGGCTGGAGGAACAACTTCATCCAGGCATTGGGTATTGGTGTCCCTTTTTGGGCAGTCAAAATTGTTGCAGCTCAAGGCCGTAAAAATGGCACAATCCGGGATCACTTCCACGAAGAATGGATGGAACCATTGGTTCTGCTTGGCATCTCATGGATCTGAAAGTAAGGCATCCCCAAACCCATTGGTGACTCATCATTCTCATTCTCCCTATCAAACATGGCCATATTATTTATGGGTTTGCAATGGTTTACACCATTTCCAGAGACATCCACATGGTTTCTGGAGGTAGCCCCACTTACAACATCCCGTTCGCCTTCCGCATCAACATCCACCAGCAGACTGATGTCGAGCAGAGCCCCTTCCAGCAGCTGCTGAGAGCGGTGCTAAACCTGGTGAAGCGCCATGAAGCGCTACGCACGGTGCTGCTAGGTCCTCGGGCGGGATTGGATGGGTTTAGTTTGAAAACATGGAAAAACCTAGAAATCCCATGGTTTATCATCAGCGTCCACATTGAAAATTGCCGGTTTGGGGCATTCCCATCTTGGGAGAATCTCCTTGGAAGGTGAAATGGAGGCGTCTGAAAGCTGTCGGCTTTCGCAACGAATCCTCGACATTGAAGACATTTATCTTCCAGAATCAATGCCATTGAGGAAGACATTCTTGTGACTTGCTGACTCGCTGACATTGGGTTTGATTTTATTTCTGTTCACTTGTGGACATTCAGCACCATTGAGATTTTTGTCAAGTAATAAGAGTGTCTTGCTGGGTATTTGCAGCACGACCTTTTTTCTTTGACGTCTCTTCACCCTCAGCCGTTCACCTATTCCGGTGGGCACTTGAGGTATAGTTGGCTCTGCTTGCAGCAAATCCCGGCCAATATTCCTTGCAGGGAGACCTTTGCAGCCGAGATGATGCGATGCGATTCAGCGGAAGGCGGTCCATGCTCTTGGACAGACATTCTTTCTGAAGGGAGCAAACTGGTTATCTTTCTCAGTTGGGTCTAGCAGCCTAGCATAATAGATGGTGATTCCTTTTAGGATTTTTAGGCAAGTCCCAGTTGCCTGTGTTTGTTCCTGCATTTCGCTGTCAAGTGACAGGCTTCCAGTTGGACTGTGGCTTGATACGAGTCCTCATCTTGGGAATGGAGAGCAATAGCTTCTTTCTGCAGCTCAGCACAAAGATTTCACAAGGAAGGATCAGTTTTACTCAAGTGTTGGGGTGACAAAAAAACAAAAAAAGGTCAACCAGAACTAATCTCTGTCAGGTTTCTGCATCATATTGAGCCCTATGTTTGCATCAAAGTCATCTGAGGTACTTCAACATCCATCACGCAGCCTTCGACGCCCACTCTCAGGTGGGCTTTGAAGACAGGACTTGAACCTGAAACCTAATACTTACAATATGTGTATATATATATATATGTTTATAACAATTTCATCACAATTTATCATGATCTTTACACTATCATCTCAGATACAATATAGTAATATACACGTCATTTTTTCCAGGATGCAGCACCAAGCTTCGGCTCGAGGCACTGCTGGAGCGAGAGCTTCGTCGAGAACTCGCAGGAGATCCTGCGGATGCTGGTGATGTGAGCCTTGATGATCAAAATAGGCATTGAATGGGATACGAATGGCGATATTCAACATTATTCAACATTATTCAACATTATTCAACATTATTCAACATTATTCAACATTATTCAACATTATTCAACATTATTCAACATTATTCAACATTATTCAACCATGAAGCCATCAAAAAAAATGGCACAGCATGGCCATAGTGCATGAAGCTTGAGAGCTCAACATCAGGATGATGGGGGGACACAGCGAGAACGCCCTGAGGCAGTATGCGGACTATGCATTGTGGCAGCGAAGCTGGTTGGAGGGTGGAGAGTCTGAGCGGTGCTTGAGCTACTGGAGAAAGAAGCTGGAAGGTGCCTCTTGACTCCCAGCAATCGCAGGTGACCCAGGTGGTTAGAAAACATGGGTATGGATCAATACCTATTAATACCATTTTTAGGGGAATGAACATCCATTTACCAGCTATTTTGATGTTCACCAGGGCTACATGGTTTTGACCCATTCCCACATGATCAATACATCTTCGTAAGTCCTCCAAATGGGAGAAGCCGCTTCTCACTCCGGGGCAATATCTGACAACCCTGCTGGCGCTGACCAGGTGGAAAACTTGCTCTTTGCTTGCCAGAATGTCCAATGAAGTCCTCGGATGCTCCTGGAGTAGCTGCTTGGATTGGAGGGGCTCTCCCGTTCCTAAACCTTCAGGATGCCACGCATCAGCTTGCCATTGAGCACAGTATGTCCTTGCAGTCATCCAAAAAGGGGGTACTTGCGAAGTTCCATGGGTGATTTGTGTGTTTTTGTTTAGCTGAAACCATCAGATCATTCGATGACTGTACTGTGCGTGCTGCACTCCGAGAGGACACCCGATCCCCGCAACTTCACAGGCAAATCCCCACAAACATATCCTCTATAGATATCTATAGATCATTTCCACCAACAAATTGGAGGATAATTCCAGTTCACATCCATTGTAACAAATTGAAAATCGCTAAATTTTCCAATTCACATGACACCTGTGTGCCCGGCTCGAGCGGCTTGGAGAGTTCCCCAGGTGACGTCTCTGTGGCCTGTGGAGCTCATGGCAGCCCTGGGTGCGCTGGCACGACAGCACCAGGCTTCAGAGATGGCGTTGCTGATGCTGGGACTGAAGGGATACCAAGGGGAGGGAATATGGTAGGGGATTTACCTATCATACCTATCCATTTTTGGATAGGGTTAATGTATATTTAAGCGAACCAATTTATGGATATTTCATGGATATATAGAATGGCATATTTAGATATCTGGAAGAAAACACGCCCTGACTGTGACCTACAACGGTTACTGATGGTTTGGAGGAACCATCCCGCTGCGGGGTTTTGTTTCAGATTGGGGAATGGTCCCATTATCCAGAAAACTTGAGAGTTTCGGGGACAATGGGGGACCCCAATATCATCCAATTTTGAGGTACCAGGTACCTTTTAAGATTTTTAAGAACCATCCATATGGGGACGGTGTACCGATTGTAATGGAAGCTTGTTGCGAACCACCAATCCTAACAATCAACAAATTGGGATGGTTTCATCAGGGACTTACAAGCCATTTTGCTGGGTTGTAAAGCCAAACTTTTTCTGGGATGTAATGAACATTTGATGGCTCAAACACACTGGGACCACTGCAGCCACAAATGGCTTGCAATGTTTTAGGATAAACAAATCATTTTTTGGGGTCATTCTGAGGGGTGAGTTTTTCGGCAAATCACAGGCTGTCTTTGTTTGGGCTTCTGCTGAGTCGCAACTTTGATCAGGACGGGGCATTTCACAGCAGAAATGCAGCAAATCTCATGGTCAACGAAAATGGATCGCTTTGAAAGTCACCTTGAAACTGGAACTGGTAGCAGAAACTGCCCTTCATCAGTCACCTACTCGATGAAACATGGCGAGCTGGGAAATCCTCATCAAACATGGAGGTTAGTTTTGCTGGGAAAATCACCTGGAAACATGGGAGATTTTCACCGGTTTCCTGCAGGACGACCTTCTGGTGGGCATCCCAGAAGCAGGTCGCAGTGGGGATCTTTCGGTGCTCCAAAACATCATGGGATTCTTTGTGTTCCTTGGCAAAGGGCTGCGCAGTCCTGAGCTATATCTGGCATGACCCATGTATATGATAGAATATGATTGGATATGTTGTGATGTGATATTTGGAGGTCTATGTACACATCCGACATATTAATATGTATATACACTGTAATATACACACACTCTTATTTGTCAGGAACTCCTATTTTGTGAATCTCCCATCACGAATGTACCTTTTTCTCGCCCAGGAATACCCTGCCCATCCGCCTATCCTTCCAACACAAGGCACCTGGTGTCATTTGGATCGCATGGGATATCCATTGGGACATTGGATGCCCCATGTCTCCCCCAGGCGCCAACTTTTGGCGAGCTGCTGAAGAGGACTGGCGCTGCAACCAGTTGATATTTTACATTTTACCTGGGTATGGGTCAATACCTATAGATACCATTTTTAGTGGGATGAACATCCATTTACCAGCTATTTTGATGTTCACCAGGGGTACAAGGAGTTGATATTTTACCTGGAATCACAGCACTGAGCAGAGTTGGCCGATCTGACCATTTTGCAGGACGCAGCAGACCTTGTTTGAAGCGATCGACCACTCTGCCATACCTTTCCAGCACTTGGTGAATGAAATGCGGCAGCACCAGGAACTCAGCATGGCCTACATCATGGCATACAGATATGGCAGTGGGTCAAAACCTTGTACCCCTGTAGTTCACATCAAAATAGCTGGTAAATGGATGTTCATTCCCCTAAAAATGGTATTAATAGGGATTGATCCATAGCCATATGACATTCCAGAAACTTACAATGTTGCAATGTCGCTGATAATATCAATTTAGATCAAGTCAGTTTTTAATTGTGACGCGCCTGCCAGGAGGTGGATGGCAACCAGCTGCTGCAAGCTTTCTTCCAACATGTTGTAGCTGGGCAGTCCCACAGTCCGCGCAAGGCTGCTGGCATGGTGCTGGAGCATTTTGATTTCGAGCCCCATCCAGCACCTGCAAAATTTGAGGCGTGAGGGTTAGCTTCAAACGCATCACACATATCACACATATCATCATGTTTTCAAGTTTTGATTGGTTGTTTTGGCCACGTTAGTAGGTAGATGGGTTCAGGCTTCCAGTGAATTGTAATGAATTGTATATATCTATATATATATATACATAGATACATATAATAATAATGATAATAATAATATTATATATGATTATATAATATATAATTATATAATATATGATGTATAAGATATGATATATGATATATGATATATAATATATGATATATAGTATATGATATATAATATATAATATGCAATATACACTATACAATATATAATATGATATGATATGATATAGTATAATATAATATATAATATAATATAATATGATATATTATAATATAATACAATATAATATAATATATATAATATAATATAATATAATATGATATGATATAATATAATATAATATAATATAATATATAATAATATAATATAATATGATATAATATAATATAATATAATATATAATAATATAATATAATATGATATAATATAATATAATATAATATAATAATATATAATAATATATATTAATATATGATAATATATGATAATATATAATAATATATAATAATATATAATTATATATAATAATATAATATAATATATAATATAATATAATATAATAAAATAAAATATAATAGTATATAATAATATATGATAATATATGATAATATATAATAATATATAATAATATATAATTATATATAATAATATATAATATAATATAATATAATATAATATAACATAATATAACATAATATAATATCTTATGTAATAACTTAATGTAGATATAGATGAAGCCAACAACAAAGCGCCAGTTGCCCCAGGTGAGCCTCCAAACCAGCTGCAGTGCAGCGGGTTGTTTTCTCCGCTGGGAATTCATGCCAGAGGTCTTGTCCGTCACCTCAGTGAGGCTTCTGAACCGCCATTTGTTGGCCATGGCTCAGCGTTTGGTGGCGGAAGGGGCACAGATTCCAGTGGCACATCTGGCAGCAGCCCCTTGGGATCAGCGGGATGCCATCCACAACTGGAGCTTGAGCCAGTCACCACCGTTACCAGAAAGTCGTGTTGAAGATCTTTTTATCCAACAGGCGAGGCGAAGTCCCAGCCAAAGTGCCGTGATGCTTGGTGAGGAGCGGCTATCCTATGGGCAGTTGCTGGAAGCATCGCGAAGCTTTGCAGAGGTCTTGATGTCTCACAGGACCGCTGATCCATTGGTTGTGGCCATCCTCTCTGATCGTTGCTTGGAGCTGCCCATGGCACTCCTCTCGGTGCTGATGGCTGGGGGCAGCTTCGTGCCGTTGTCACCGGAGTTCCCAAAGGAACGTCTGCAGTGGATGGTCACCGAAGCCAGGGCTCAGCTGGTGGCTGCTACTGAGGCATTGTCTGACTTGGGCTCCTTGGGTTTGCCGCTCCAGGTCATCCCATCCATTGGAAAAATGGACAGTTCAGGAACTCAGCGGATGCTGAAAAGTACGAAACCCAACTTGGTGGCTTATGTGATTTTCACCTCAGGATCAACTGGCAAACCCAAAGGGGTTGCATTGTCTCACAGAGCACTCTTGTCACACCTCATGCCCTACATCCGCGTTCTGAGACTTGGGTCCCAGGATCGAGTGCTTCTGACAAGTTCCTTCACCTTTGACATGGCGTATTCACAGATCTTTGGAGCACTGCTGAGTGGCGCTTGCCTTGTTTTGACCACCGAAAACCCCATGATCGATCCCTTGGAATTGCTGGAGATTTTGCAGAAAGAGACCATTTCTTTCACCACTTTGGTACCTTCAGTGCTGTCTTCCATGGTGCATCTCAAGAAGATGCCATTTTCCTTACCGGCACTAAGGCACCTGGGCTGTGGAGGGGAGGCACTCAAAACGGCCACTGCAGATTTCTTGCGCTCTTGTACTTCTGCAGTTCGAACGCCTCTGTTTTTACACAATCGCTATGGTCCCACTGAGTGCGCCATCAATGCTTTGCTTTTTGGACCCACTGGAGTCACTGGAGCCATGCCAAACCCGGAGATGGACTTTTGGCAGGAAGATGTGCCTATTGGATGGCCTTCCGGCCATCGACACATTGCCATAGATTGCACCAGAATGGATGGACACGGGGAGCTGATTCTAGCTGGTTTAGGACTGGCCCTTGGCTACGTCTCCAGGTCTCAGAAATCTTCGTGCGACGGCAGTGACGGCAGTGCTTCTTTTCAAGCGAATCTCCGTGGCGCTGGGCGGCAATATCGCACGGGCGATTTGGCATGTCGCATTTTTCGAAAGAGACCAGGCCCACAAGCGATGCCATCTGGACAGGAACACGCCAATGGCTGTGTGCGCTTTATTGGTCGACGGGATTCTCAGGTGAAGTTGCAGGGGCAACGGATCGAACTCAGCGAAATTGAGGAAACCATCTGCAAACTGCCTGAGGTGGATACCTGTGTGGTGGTTCATGTGACTGGAAACCACTCTGGCAGCTTAGTAGCCTTTATCTCATCAGCCAGTGATGTGAGGGAAACAGTGAGATCTCAGTGTGAGAAGTTCCTTCCAAGGGCCATGATCCCTCAGATTCAGTTGTTGAAAATGACGTCCTGGCCTCGGACCAGCTCTGCCAAGATCGACCGTGCTGCACTGGTGGACATGGTGAGTCCGCTGAGTCCGAGTGGATCGGAAGATCCATCTGCAAGTGCTGTTGGGATCTTGCTGGAGGCGCATCGTCACAAATCTCACCTTGCTATACCTTGCTTAGAATATCATGCTGGCATCATCTAGAATCCAATTTAACATTGTTCATGATCAACAACTCCACATCAATCATTAAAACATATTAAAACTACCAACTTTCCCATACCTTTTGGAATCCTTTCCCCATCCTTTCCCTATTAGGTTTTGCTGCAAATCTTCGGTTCCGCCGTGTCGCCTTCCTCGCTGCTGTCCCCCTTGGGTCTCAGCTCGTTGCTGGCGCTGCGCATCAGCGCGCTCTGTGCCCAGCGCGGCCTGCGGATCTCCGTGCGCGCCCTGCTGGCGCCGGAGGCCACGGCGGAAACCGTGGTGAGACAGCAAGGCGCTGGGGGGTTCCTTGTGGAGGGGTGGTAATCGATGGTAATTACCACCTAATTCCACTGGTTAAGATATGGTGAAATCATCATTTTCTTCAGAATGTGGCAGTAAAATGGGGAGTATACTTTGAGGATACCCTATTTTCAGACACCCATTACTTTTTTGATCCTATTAAATGGACCCAAGTTATCGTGCAAGTCACGAAAGGTAGCTCCAGAGGGGCTACCTTGAGTTTTACTTTACGAAGTAAAGGGGAGGGCGGCCAGCCCCGTTACCTGATTCTTCAGGAGATTGCTAGTCATTTTAGTACCCCCCCCCTCCACACCTCCCACGCACCCTAAGAGCAGACTCAAAACATTGTAATTTACAGTATTTTTGTTCTTTTCGGATCAAGAAACCACATTTTGCTACATGGTGAAACCTCCGTAAATACCAGTGTTTTTGCTAGGTGCTGGCCAAAAAACACTGTAAATACCGTGCTTTTTACTCCCAGAGGCAAAAAACATCGTAAATACCGTGGTTTTGGGCTTCCGACCCGCCAAAAACATTGGTATTTACGGTGTTTTTTGCTCCGAGAGTTGCAAAAACACGCGAAAACACCACCTATTTGACGATTTTCGGCCACTACGGAACCGAGCAAAAACGCTGCAGGGGTAACACCAACACCAACAACAACAACAACAGCAACAGCAACAGCAACAACAACGACGACGACGACCACAACAACAACAACAACAACAACAACACCAACGCACAACGCACAACGCACAACGCACAACGCACAACGCACAACGCACAACGCACAACGCACAACACACAAAACACACAAACAACAGCAACAGCAACAACAACAACAACATCAACAACAACAACAACACCATCAGCAGCAGCAACAACAACAACAACAACAACAAAAACAAAAACACAAACAACAACAACAACAACAACACCAACAACAACGCACAACGCACAACGCACAACGCACAACACACAACACACAAAACACACCACAACACACACACAACAACACACAACAACACACAACAACAAACAACAACACAACAACACACCACAACACACCACAACACACAACAACACACAACAACACACAACAACACACAACAACACACAACAACACACAACAACACACAACAACACACAACACCACACAACAACACACAACAACAACAACAACAACAACAACAACAACAACAACAACAACAACAACAACAACAACAACAACAACAACAACAACAACAACAACAACAACAACAACAACAACAACAACAACAACAACAACAACAACAACAACAACAACAACAACACACAACAACACACAACAACACACACACACAACAACACAAACAACACACAACAACACACCACAACACACCACAACACACACAACAACACACAACAACACACAACAACACACAACAACACAACAACACACCACAACACACAACAACACACAACAACACACAACAACACACAACAACACACAACAACACACAACAACACACAACAACACACAACAACACAAAAAAACACAACAACACACAACAACACACAACAACACACAACAACACACAACAACACACAACAACACACAACACACAACAACACACAACAACACACAACAACACACAACAACACACAACAACACACAACAACACACAACAACACACAACAACACACAACAACACACAACAACACACACACAACAACACTCAACAACACACAACAACACACAACAACACACAACAACAACAACAACATCATCATCAACAACAACAACAACACCATCAACAGCAGCAGCAGCAACAACAGCAACAGCAACAGCAACAACAACAACAACAACACGAACACGAACAATACCAACACCAACAACACGACCAACAACACCAACACCGCCAACAAACCCAACCACACCAACAACACTAACAACACTAACAACACCAGAAACACTACCACCACCAACACCAACAACACCAATACCAACAACACCAACAACACCAACACCACCAGCACCACCAACACCACCAACACCACAACCACCACCAACCCCAACCACATCGCCGAATCCTTTCAGTCGCTTTTACCAGACTCCCCTTCATATTTTTGGAAAGAAAATGGCCGCGTCGCTTTTACCAGACTCCACTTTATGTATTTTTCCCTCCCCTCTCCCCTTCATTTTTTCTTCGGTTCCTTTCTTGCTTACCTACCTTTCGTGTTCCCCCTCTCAAGTTTATTGATCAATTTTATTTTTGACCAGATGGTGTGGGGTACCCGTTATTTGAGAACCACATGATATGAGAAAGTCTCACTTTCAGAATTGCCATCACTTTGCCTTTCGAATCTGATGACATTCTTTTGGCACTGATCGCATGTCCAGCAGGTCAGCTGGATGGTCTCCAAGAAGCATTGGATGTTTTGCTGGGCAGCCCCCACTTGGTACTCCGAGACATCGGCGGCGCTGGTGGCAATGCCTGCGCCTGGGAGGTGTTGATTTGCCCCGGTGATGGAGGGGTTGGTATCGAAGGTTATCGGCCCTTGGCTTCCAGACTGAGCAAGGCCAGGGGTTCAGGGCTTTAGGGTCCAGGTTTTAGCCAAAAGTTGGGTCACCAAACGCATGGATCGTTGATTTATGGTTGCTGTCATACTACGTAGCGCTTGTTGAAATCCTGGTGTGTTTCTCTGTTTATTCTGTTTGTTCGTAGAGAGCTTACTTGCATGGCAAGCCCCGCTGAACTGGTGGAACGGCAGGTTTGTCATGTCCTGGTTGCTGATGGCCTCTTGAGTATTGAAACTCAGAGCCTGAAAGCCATGGCAGAAGAGATCCTGAAGCACTGGCCACGAAGAAAGCACCTTGTCGAAGACATTGCATTTCTGATGCGAAGCGATACAGGTTTGCGTATCATTTTGAACCATTTTGCACTTCTTCCAGAGATGCAAAAACTATCTTGACCCTTGTAGATCAAGGTGGATGTCAAGGTAGATTCGGGATGATTCAGGTATACTAGCTAGTAATAGCGCTAGTATAGATACTGGACACATGTGGAAACAAATGTCACCAGATGTCACCAGTCACGGTTTTTTGTGCGTCAAAAGTGATCAAAAAAAAATGCCCAGGCCTCGAGTGCTCTTGGGACATTCCTGGGGTGCCGCCCTCGCTCTACAACTTGCATCCTTGGAACCAGCTGAGGCCAGACACGGGACATGGGATATGATATGTCTGATTGATGTCTGTTTGATACCAAGTTAAGTGCAACTTGACTTTGAGGCACCAAAGTTCCAATTTTGGGTTTGTCAGATATCTAACATGAGAACATGATGCAAAAATAATGAACACGATCAAGATGTTTCAAACATGGTGCATTCTTCCCCCTGAGGCAGTGTGGCTGCTGGATCCTTCGAAGCACCACTTTGTCGGCCAACCAGAGGCGCAAAGCAAAGAGGTGGGGCGGGAAACTGCCAAATAAGCAGATAACATGAAAGATAGATGTATGATGTACAGATAGACGTGTCATACATTTGTAATGATATCATATTTAGTATACAGTATACAATAGTGCTTGTATATAATATGATATGTATACATGTTCAAGATCTGGAGACATTTGTTAGCATTGTCTATTTGATGCTACCTGTACCAACCACGAATTGCTGGCACAGGCATCCACTGCAGAGCTCTTGGAACTACTGGCACGGCTTTGTCGAGATGGCAAGGGTCAACAGCTGAAGGTGGCCACCAAACTGCTTTGGTTCAATGATGAATGATGATGATGATGATGATGATGATGGACGTATCACGATGTATCCAGCTGGTTGTTGATGATCTATCAAGATGAATGATTACAATGATGATAATGATATATAATGATGGGGTTATTTTCAACACCAGTGCATATGTTCTCCGATTTGTCTCTGTGGAAGTCACAGGATTTAGTTCCTGCAGTTCGACAAGGGGATGGCGCTGTGGAAAAGGCCAGGAAACGGGACAACGATGCGAAAGATTGCTGGAACAGAATCGAGGAATCATAGCACGCCCCAGCCACAGTATATAAATAGAGAAAATTGGACCAAAATAACAAGCACATCATCTGGCGAATTCTAGCGATACCCTGTAGGTATCACATATCATGGTAAGAACATGTGACAACAAGCTACATTGCCGGGAACAACCATTAAATATATCAATTTTGCGGTGAATCACCATCTTCCCAAACGAATCCCAGTTTGCCAACTGCACAGATCATGGGAGCGAGATCCTTCCAGCGCTTCCTGCGAGCAGCTGAAGCAAGGTGCGGTTAATGGAATACGGATCACTCATAGTTTTGAGATTAGTTTTGTGATACAATAAAGTGACAATACATACATACATACATACATACATACATACATACATACATACATACATACATACATACATACATACATACATACATACATACATACATACATACATACATACATTACATTACATACATACATTACATTACATACATACATTACATTACATACATTACTTACATTACTTACATTACTTACATTACATACATACATACATACATACATACATTACTTACATTACATACATACATACATACATACATACATACATACATACATACATACATACATACATACATACACATACATACATACATACATACATACATACATACATACATACATACATAATTACATACATTACATACATACAGACAGACAGACAGACAGACATACAGACATGCATGCATCCATGCATCCATGCATCCATGCATACATGCATCCATCCATCCATCCATCCATCCATGCACCCATGCACCCATGCACCCATGCATCCATGCATCCATGCATCCATGCACCCATACATCCATACATCCATACATCCATCCATCCATCCATACATACATACATACCTACCTACCTACGTACATACATACATACATACAGACAGACAGACAGACAGACAGACATACAGTACATACATACATACAGACAGACAGACAGACAGACAGACAGACATACAGACATGCATGCATCCATGCATCCATGCATCCATGCATCCATGCATACATCCATCCATCCATCCATCCATGCACCCATGCACCCATGCATCCATGCATCCATGCATCCATGCACCCATACATCCATACATCCATACATCCATCCATCCATCCATACATACCTACCTACCTACGTACATACATACATACAGACAGACAGACAGACAGACATACAGTACATACATACATACAGACAGACAGACAGACAGACATACAGACATGCATGCATCCATGCATCCATGCATCCATGCATAAATGCATACATCCATCCATCCATCCATCCATGCACCCATGCACCCATGCACCCATGCATCCATGCATCCATGCATCCATGCACCCATACATCCATACATCCATACATCCATCCATCCATCCATACATACCTACCTACGTACATACATACATACATACATACCTACGTACATACATACATACATCCATACATCCATCCATCCATCCATCCATCCATACATACATACCTACCTACGTACATACATACATACATACCTACCTACGTACATCCATACATCCATCCATCCATCCATCCATACATACATACCTACCTACGTACATACATACATACATACCTACCTACGTACATCCATCCATCCATCCATACATACATACCTACGTACATACATACATACATACATACCTACCTACCTACGTACATCCATACATACATACATACATACCTACCTACGTACATCCATACATCCATCCATCCATCCATACATACATACATACCTACCTACGTACATACATACATACATACATACATACCTACCTACGTACATCCATACATCCATCCATCCATCCATACATACCTACCTACGTACATACATACATACCTACCTACCTACCTACGTACATCCATACATCCATCCATCCATCCATACATACATACATACCTACCTACGTACATACATACATACATACCTACCTACGTACATACATACATACATACCTACCTACCTACCTACGTACATCCATACATCCATCCATACATACCTACCCTACCTACTACATATACATCAATCCACCATCCAACTACCATACCTACCCCTACGTACTACATACATACAGACATAATACCTACCTAGTACATTACATACATAATCCCTACATCCATCCAATCCATCCATACATAAATACCTACTACGTACATACATACATACATACATACCTACTACCTAAGTACATCCATACATTCCATCCATCCATCCATACATACATACCTACCTACGTACATACATACATACATACATACCTACCTACGTACATCCATCCATCCATCCATCCATACATACCTACCTACGTACATACATACATACATTCATACCTACCTACGTACATCCATACATACATACATACATACCTACCTACGTACATCCATACATCCATCCATACATACATACCTACCTACGTACATCCATACATCCATCCATCCATCCATACATACATACCTACCTACGTACATACATACATACGTACCTACCTACGTACATCCATACATCCATCCATACATACATACCTACCTACGTACATCCATACATCCATCCATCCATCCATACATACATACCTACCTACGTACATACATACATACATACCTACCTACGTACATACATACATCCATCCATACATACCTACCTACGTACATCCATACATCCATCCATCCATCCATCCATACATATATACCTACCTACGTACATACATACATACATACATACCTACCTACCTACGTACATACATACATACATCCATACATCCATCCATCCATCCATACATACCTACCTACGTACATACATGCATACATACATACATACATACCTACCTACCTACGTACATCCATACATCCATCCATCCATCCATACATACCTACCTACGTACATACATACATACATACATACATACCCTACGTACATACATACATACATCCATACATCCATCCATACATACATACCTACCTACGTACATACATACATCCACCTACGTACATACATACATCCATCCATATACATACATACCTACCATACCATACATACATACCATACATCATACATACGTACATACATACATCATCCATCCATACCATACATACCTACATACTACGTACATACATACATCCATACATCCATCCATCCATCCATACATACATACATACATCCACCTACGTACATACATACATCCATACATCCATCCATCCATCCATCCATACATACATACCTACCTACGTACATACATACATACATACCTACCTACCTACGTACATACATACATCCATACATCCATCCATACATACATACCTACCTACGTACATACATACATCCATACATCCATCCATCCATCCATCCATCCATACATACATACCTACCTACGTACATACATACATCCATACGTCCATCCATCCATCCATCCATACATACCTACCTACGTACATACATACATACATACATACCTACCTACCTACGTACATACATACATCCATACATCCATCCATACATACATACATACCTACCTACGTACATACATACATCCATACATCCATCCATCCATCCATACATACATACCTACCTACGTACATACATACATCCATACATCCATCCATCCATCCATCCATCCATACATACCTACCTACCTACGTACATACATACATACATACATACATACATACATATGTATAGCTGCTACTGATAGGAGATGTTCTTAAATTTCCGCAAGTCTTTTGAGGATTCCCTGGGATCCCCAACATTTTCGAGTTGTCGCGAGGTCCAGGAACCTGACTTTTCGCATGTCAGCAGCCACGGTGCAGAGCGCACTGCATGTGGTCCTGGCATCAGACATCGAAGAAACGCAGACGCAACGGCTGCTGGCTGCTTGGTGAAGCAGGTTGGGGTATGGCATGTGGGCAGAGTATGTTGACGTGATGTAGATATTTAGGTCCATTTAGGTTGTAGGATGAGATGCTTCAAGATGTATGGGACCCATGTCCATTTTTTTCAAACTGCACCACCCAAACTCAAGGTCTGGAGGCTGGAACAACGGTTGGGTTTCCCCTGCTGAGGACGTTGAAACGATGATGTCGGGCATATCATCCAATTGGTCAGTTGCATGGTCGCCGGGCAATCACTATTCTATGCTGGAGCCGCTCGTCAGACACAGACTTTCATGACAAGTTGGAACACGCACTGTGGACATTTTGATTCAGTGGGAAATCTCTATAAATGGATGTAAACAGAGGTTTAAATTGAAGAACCTATAAATTTCTATGGATGGAACGAACGATTGATGATGCGCATTTTTGTAAGAAGAACACAACAATGAGATGAGGGTGAGTCAGTCATTTGCAACTTGTTCTTAGTTATGTCTAAGATTGTCTAAGGCCTTCCAATTGTGATGAGCTTTCTTCAACCATTCTGCGTTCACTCAAGCTGGCCTGAACTCGCTTGGGACGTTTTCGACTCCATTGAGCCCAGGGCGGTTTTGGGTTTGCTGTCCAACAGTGAGAAGTGCCATTCCTTCGAATTCTGCCAGATGCCGCGTCCTGGATCTCAGGCCCCCAACCTACACAGCAACCCGGTTCAGGGTGGAGAATATTGGAGAATGTTTGGAGATGCACGACTCAGACAGCACCACCGACAGCGTGGCACGTGGCGCCACCAGTGGAAGCGCCAGTTCAGGGACACCGCATTTTCGAGCTTCACACCGGCAGCCGCAACGATCAAGCAACGAAGATGCTGATCAAGGCAGTGGACACAAAGCTCCATTGCATCAGCGCATCCAAGGAGTTAAACGTCAAGGACTTCTGGCAAAAGCGAGCACCGTGGCCAGCTCTTATTCATTGGGTTCAAACAAAACATTTGCCGCCCTTGTACCGGCCCAGGGGCACGGGTGGGCTGGGATACCTTGTGTGTATTTGTGTTTCTGCTTTGTGAGCTTGGCATGGTTGCGTTATTGTGCGAGCATGTTGCTTATGTTGGTTTTGATTGCTCAAAGTGCAGCTGCAGATCTGCTGCTGTGGCAGCTTGGTGGGGTGTTAAGGCAGCTGCAGAAAATGAGATGGGTGAGGAGCACTGTGCAGTCCATGTTTTTGATGCCTTGGCCATGAATGGCATTCAGGAAACAAGGAAAAGACCAATTCCTTGCGGTTCCTGAGGAGACAGTGCGCAGGAATTTTGAGATGTATCAGGCGTTGGACTCCAAAGTTTCCTTCCACAAGGGGCCTATTTCAATTTCACGCTGCAGCAGTTTTTATACCAGCGCTCCCTGGCAGTCTTGCGTTTGGATGGTAGTTTCTACGATTCTTACCAAGATGCTCTGCAATTACTACGTGTACTGTTTTGTGAAAATGGGTGGCTATATGTCATTTCGATGACTTTTGCTCCTCAAAGTGGGGCGGTGTCATGGACAGATTTCAAGCACCGATGATGGACGGAGTTGACGCGCCTCGACCTACATTCTGCATGTTTGATGTGCATTGGAGACCTGAGGAAGTATCGCTGCCGCAATCACCCTGAGTTGGGAGACTCCAAGGCCTCATAGCCAAGGCGCTGCCAAGCATGAACGCCAAGAGACTAGCGGAGCTTGCCGCTTCAGGTTGTTGACTTTGTAAGCAGCACATGCCGTTGATGCTGCTTTTCTACTTCACCGATCATGGACGGAGACGCGCCTTGGGTGTTGCTTCATGGCTCAGTGTGGCCATGACGAACAGAATTGTAGGGAAGCACTCTCTGAGCCAGGGATATCTCGTAGCAACCAAAGATGTTGCTGGGGTATCGGCTTACAACTGCCACTTGAATTGCTGAAGCAAAGAGTGGCTACTGTAATCCACTTCCTCAAACATAAGGGTGGCATTGCTGAATTGCTGAAACCTTTGAGGCTTGCAATTTGGGGGTTGAGAAGTGTTTAGTTCATATAATGTGCTTCCTGAGGCTTGTTCGTGAGATACAGCACATATTCGAATGTATTTGATTGTCTATTTGCCTGCCAACATACCCTCCTGAACACCCTTACTTGGCGCATCTGCAGATTCGGTCTGGGGATGACAGTGGTTCACATAAGTTCACGGGTACTGAAGACCAGAATGACCGACGGCGTCGCAGGCTTTGGTTTTTATCCACCTTTAAACAGGGAAGACTTCACATCATTTCACATCCAGATCATTGACAGTGCAGTTTCATTTGAAACCGTAGATCGGTATGCAAATGATGAAGAATTTGTACATAAACGGAAAACACCACCAATTCTTAGTGTCGTATCCCAATTTCGACCCATTCACACCCCACTTTTTCATTTCGCTCAGATCCAAGTAGCAGTGAGGCTCTGCTGCCATTGGCTCCAGCACTTTTAGGCAATCTCTCCTGGCGCCCTCAACTCCCTGACTTCCAAACATGATTCCTGCTGAGGGTCCCAAACTCAGTGATGGTGGGGTCGGGTGCTACTGGTGCTACTGTCAGCTGCATGAAGGGGTAAATGATGGTGTACATTCCGTTCATTTCAGTCCTTTTCCCCTGCCTTTTGTGCATCAGAAAGTCCGTGTGATTGCATGGTATTAGCGCTTGATTGCGAGAAGGGTCGAGATCTTTAATCCTAAAATTTCTTTAAGGGAACATGTAGTGTACTGTACGTACAGGAATTCCCTATGTTTGTTTTTTTTGGGCTAACAACATCTAAAATTTAAAAACCATGGTTTCCTGTTAGAAAAAAAAACATAAATCCCATAAACCAATCCATTGAATCAAGAGCCGGTTGGACACTTTGGAGCTTGGCATCAAACATCTAAGGCCTTCCTGTGGTGCCAGTGGTTGAGTCGCAAGAGCACCAGGACACAGTGCGGAGTGGAGTGGAGGGGCTTATTCCTGAATATATGCGGTATATAGTTTACACATGCCTACACAATCATCCTAATCATCCTAATCCTAGAATATATTATACTGCAGATGGTAAATCCATGTAAATCCGAGAAGTGATAATCCTAAACGAACTTCCACGTCCCGCATATTCTTGAAGTAAGTTCCGGTATTCGGAACGGTATTCGCCAGTAACACTGCCAGGTGGCGGTTTGTTCCACTCAGGAGGCCTCCAGTGGTTTTGCCTTCGTCCGCGAGACTCTGCATGAAATCACTGCGCTTCAGTCTTGTCCGAAACCGAGATTTGGTCCAAAAATCAGTGGTCAATCATGGTCAATCATGGTCAATCAATGTCAATCCGCATATTTTCCATGAAACATGGCCATGAGATGGGAGGAATGAACCAGTTTCATATCCTGTGAGTTGTCAACCCCCAAAAATGGTGGCAGCTGTACTGAAGGTCTGACCGGTTTCAAAGAGGAGTTGTCACAACTTCGTGCCGACCTGGAACGTGAGCAAACCTCACGCAAGGTGCCACTGTTCAAACATGGTTCAATTTTTCTTCTCTTCCAAGAAGATATAGCCAGATCAAAGTAGGTCAAAGTCAGCAGCTCAATTCAAAGAATGGGAACACCTTTGAGACAGTCAAAGACTCTAACTTCTATAACAATAATAAGAATAATAACAATAATAATAATAGTAATAATAGTAATAGTGACAATAATAATGATAACAATAAGAATAATAACAAAATAAATAATTATATATAAAATGGTATATTATATACACGTATAATATAGTAGAGTTCACACATCAGCTGTTCATCCACAGCCAGGACGACAATGAGAGCATCCGACGACATTTGAATCGCAGCGTTGCAGACGAGTCGCAGATGCGTGTGCCAGTCGGGTTTGGGTGACAATGTCTCAGTGGATGGCAAGACAGCAGGGTTTTCCCACATACCCAATTTTGATGACTATAGTAGTTGTTTTAGGGATGCATCTAGCCCTAAGACAATGAGGCACTTCAATGAACAACTTGTACCCACCCTGAATAGCCGAGCACCACCATTGTGAGGGTGGCCTCTAGCCATTGGACACACTGGTCTTAAGGGAAACCAGCTTCAAAGGAACATGTACCATGGGTCAGAAGCATATATGAGAATGACCACGCTTTGCGAGGTAATTCAACTATAGTGCCATGATATACCCATTGTATCCCAATTGTGATCCATTAAGTCATCGGGAGGTGGTAGCGTTAGTGGGAGAAAAGATCCTTTTTCCTTCAACTATGAACCATGAACTGGCGAACTAAGAACCCAGATCCCAAGGCGTCCTACGTTAAGATTTCGGCAATTGAGTCCATTGGGCTGCGAAGTCCTTGCTTCACAGGTGGGTTTGGAAAGCAAGTTGGAAGCCTTCCAGAACCTCTCCAAGACGTCGCTCCGATGGGTTGATCAGCTGGCTTCTCCATACCGATGAATGCCGTCATAGCCACAAGAGGTATCAAGAGGTAAAATATGGTAAAATATGGTAAAATTGGGACAAGTTTTCTGGGCTCGCCAGTTTGCCATGTACCTAATCATACCTAATCACTACTTAACCTATGAACTTTGGCTCGCAGTCTTACATTTTCACTTTTGTTGTCGTTTGCCGTGTCTGTTTTTGGGCAGGCAATGGGCGGATTGACTACACTTTCACTCGTTTTCCTGGAAGATTTGCTTGTCACGAAAGGTAGCTCCAGAGGGGCTACCTTGAGTTTTACTTTACGAAGTAAAGGGGAGGGCGGCCAGCCCCGTTACCTGATTCTTCAGGAGATTGCTAGTCATTTTAGTACCCCCCCCCTCCACACCTCCCACGCACCCTAAGAGCAGACTCAAAACATTGTAATTTACAGTATTTTTGTTCTTTTCGGATCAAGAAACCACATTTTGCTACATGGTGAAACCTCCGTAAATACCAGTGTTTTTGCTAGGTGCTGGCCAAAAAACACTGTAAATACCGTGCTTTTTACTACCAGAGGCAAAAACATCGTAAATACTGTGGTTTTGGGCTTCCGACCCGCCAAAAACATCGGTATTTACGGTGTTTTTTGCTCCGAGAGTTGCAAAAACACGCGAAAACACCACCGATTTGACGATTTTCGGCCACTACGGAACCGAGCAAAAACGCTGCAGGGGTAACACCAACACCAACAACAACAACACCAACAGCAACAGCAACAACAACAACAACGACGACAACAACAACAACAACAACACCAACACACAACGCACAATGCACAACGCACAACGCACAACGCACAACGCACAACGCACAACACACAAAACACACAACACACACAAAACACACAACACACACACAACACACACAACACACAACAACACACAACAACACACAACAACACACAACAACACACAACAACACACAACAACACACAACAACACACAACAACACACAACAACACACAACAACACACAACAACACACAACAACACACAACAACACACAACAACACCCAACAACACACAACAACACCCAACAACACACAACAACACACAACAACACACAACAACACACAACAACACACAACAACACACAACAACACACAACAACACACAACAACACACAACAACACACAACAACACACAACAACACACAACAACACACAACAACACACAACAACACAACACCACACAACAACACACAACAACACACAACAACACACAACAACACACAACAACACACAACAACACACAACAACACACAACAACACACAACAACACTCAACAACACACAACAACACACAACAACACACAACAACACACAACAACACACAACAACACACAACAACACACAACAACACACAACAACACACAACAACACACAACACACAACAACACACAACAACACACAACAACACACACAACAACACACACAACAACACACAACAACACACAACAACACACAACAACACACAACAACACACAACAACACACAACAACACACAACAACACACAACAACACACAACAACACACAACAACACACAACAACACACAACAACACACACACACAACAAAACACAACAACACACAACAACACACCACAACACACCACAACACACACAACAACACACAACAACACACAACAACACACAACAACACACAACAACACACCACAACACACCACAACACACCACAACACACCACAACACACAACAACACACAACAACACACAACAACACACAACAACACACAACAACACACAACAACACACAACAACACACAACAACACACAACAACACACAACAACACACAACAACACACAACAACAACACCATCAACAGCAGCAGCAGCAACAACACCATCAACAGCAGCAGCAGCAACAACAGCAACAACAACAGCAACAACAGCAACAACAACAGCAACAACAACAACAACAACACGAACACGAACAATACCAACACCAACAACACGACCAACAACACCAACACCACCAACAAACCCAACCACACCAACAACACTAACAACACTAACAACACCAGAAACACTACCACCACCAACAACACCAACAACAACAATACCAACAACACCAACAACACCAACACCACCAGCACCACCAACACCACCAACACCACAACCACCACCAACCCCAACCACATCGCCGAAGCCTTTCAGTCGCTTTTACCAGACTCCCCTTCATATTTTTGGAAAGAAAATGGCCGCGTCGCTTTTACCAGACTCCACTTTATGTATTTTTCCCTCCCCTCTCCCCTTCATTTTTTCTTCGGTTCCTTTCTTGCTTACCTACCTTTCGTGTTCCCCCTCTCAAGTTGATATTGGCTCCGTAGGTCTCTTTTCCTCTGTCGATAAGGCCAGACTATCCTTTGGGGCAGAAAATTGGTCATCCGATCTCTTTGTTTGCCCAGTTTCCTTCCCTTGTCACTTGGGTGTTGGGAGCAACCCTGATGAATATCGCTGCAACGGGGGATCATGATCATCAGCAATCTATCCAGCAATATCCAACAGCTCCCAAATGTCAAACGGAGAGAGTTTTCCAATTTTTCCAACATGTATTCATTCTATTGATTTCTATTGCAACCCTCTGCAACTCTTTTCACATAGACCCAGCAGTGCTTTGACGATGAAGCTTGCTTCGAAGCCAAGGTGGATTACATCATTGGGCAAGGATGTGATGGCATCAAAGGAGGGAACCGCGGGACGACGGTTTTTATACGTTTCATTTGGGACGAAACGTGTGTGCCCGGACTGGAGAGCAAAATTGGATATATCAATGATATAACATATTGTTTCATATTGTATGATTACTGTAGATTGTAGATTTGATCAGATGGGTTGCCAAGCTCTGTCTGTAGGTTTCAGAGGCTTGAAACGCATACCTGCAGCAAGAGCAGATGGATGATGGGTGCTTGGCATGGATGCTAATGGCATTCATCCTGGAGTGAAGGATGCCGTTGTCAAAGCCAGAAGTTCCAGCCACAGAATGTGTGGGAATCCGTTGATCCACAACTCATTCAAGAAATCGATTCCAGTGACGTCCACTGGAAGATCTGGACGCAGGAGCGCCTCAATGCGTTGGACGGAACGACGGAGCAGCATGGCTCTGCCCTCTTGGCGCATGAGGCGCTGATGGGAATCCAGGTGGCATCCATTGCGATCCATTGGGACCCCGTGACCCGCCAGGAACGCTTGTTGGGTCTGGATGCGGCGGTGGCACTTCGATGTCACGTGCCAAGTGCGGGCAGAGAACATATCCATACCATCAATGCTCCTCTTTTGGGGATCTTAAAGAATCTTGAAGAGTTTGTTGAGGTTTTGATGCCCCGGTCCAAGTATCGATTTGATAGTGACTTAGTGGTTATATTTGCGTATTTGCAAGAGTTGTTTGATCCGTCAGGCTCAGCAATTTTCCTGTCGTCCTTCAAGATGATTCCAATCAAACCTTTGCACATAGGAATTGGTGCAAGTATGTGGCAGTGATGCCATGCCTGGCAGTTCGCCGTCCTTGCAGCGCCATTTCAAGTCACTTAAGTCACTTGCACAGCCTCGGGGAGGTGCCAGTCAACTTTGCAAGGTACTTTCAAACCACTATTGGTTGATGACTTTGCAAGGGGTTGCTGAGCTACGCCAGCCAAAATTTGAGGATTGTCATCACCAACTGGGAATCTCCATCAATCATCAATCTACCAACCTTTGGAAAGCCTGGGGACTTTGCAATAATCATTCGATAATGCCCAGATTGGTACCACCAACCACGCCGTAAGCGAGCATTAACCATTCAAAAACCATTAGCAAAGCATCGACAAACCCTTGCATAGGGAATCCTCATGAAAATCAACCATTATAACTTGAGAATTTTCACATCATCATCCCATCATCATCCCCCAAATCCCCACATATAAAAATATAATGTGATATATGAGTCATCATCATCCATAACGGTCATAACTTAGCTTATCACTATATGGTGCTACGTTCTGAACCGATGCCAAGGCACCGTGACCGACTACAAACAATTGGCCACCACCTTGGCCGAGTTGCAATCCGAAGTCGTGTCCGGGCTGCCCAGGTGCTGTTGATGCGGCGATGCGCCAAAGTTGGATGGGGATTTCGCCAAAATGGGAGGATTTTATGGCATAAATGAATGTTTTATGGGATAAGTGGGATACATAAGCAACACGATATGATATTTGGGTGTGGACTGAAAAAATTGGGGTTGGGTGTACTATATGCCGCGCTCGTTATAGGAATACTGTGACACGAGCCGAGTTGTGGTCTAGAGATTGATTATATTAGTCACTTAGACGAGATTGATTATACTAGTAGCTTAGACCGTCTTAGACCTTATTTATATCAGAATATTTGGTGACCACAGCTTCCCACAATGTTCCCTCCTTTGAGAGTAAGAGCTTAACTCTTGGCCTAGGCGCGACCGCACCACAGCACAGTCTTCTCTGGACACGGTTTGGTTGCCCAGATGCCCGCAAATCCTGGAAACATCGATGTCGCCATGAAAGCACTTGCTATGCTAGGCTTGAAAATGCGCAAGTCGACTGGTTCAAGCTGTCAAGCTGAAACAAAGGAACTTCAAGAGGTACAGCATGTTGGAACATTGTGTACCAGTCTTCAACTCAAGATCTCTCCCAGATTTCTTTACATTACCCGCCCTCTGAAGATAAAACATACACCATTAATTCGTTTACGTACATAGCATGGAGAGATAGTGTGAAGACTTAGTGGAGACCAAGACCAAGAAGATTGACTTGCTGTAGAGATCATATGCATCACTATTCTCTGGCAGCTCTCGCATTTTGCTTCTTAGCATCGCGTGATGGTTCTGCTATGTTCTGCTCACTGCGCCGTGACAGCAGGATCTCCAAGAACCGTCATCTCGAAGCCACTGAAGCCATGATCAAACTGCATTGCTTGGGCGCTGGTGCTGGAGTGACGGCTATCTATAATGGTGAACCCAGCAGTTCATGGGCGCTGTCCATGAGAGGGTGAGAGCTGGGTGTGTGGACAAGAGCTGTTGCTGAAACGGATCTGCCATAGCTACTTCAAGATACTTTACTACTTTAAGATACTTTATATAAGATATTTCAAGTGTCTCGGAAAATCAATGGAACGACATATTCGCATTTTTGCAAATGACGTGTTGAAGTGTTCTCACCAAGATGTGCCACATCAAGTAATCCACCCAGCTGGTATGAGCCCCAATGTCCAGTGGCTGTGCAGGAAACCTTTCTTCTTGGCAGATCTGGGTGTTGGCGTCTGCAAATCCGCTTTGAAGCATCTAGGATCGGCTGGTCATACTCATCCTAGACTTACATGCAAACGGAAAGAGGGATCAGACACTGGTATTATATAATACTCTAATGTCACTTTGTGTCGCTGCGTCATTGTTAGGCTTTGAAGAAAAGATTGATGTAGAAATGCGTCGGCAGGGTGCTTTGAACACTGCTACTGCTACTATATGAAGACGTTGTGGATGGAAATCCAAGTGAGACAACTGCAGGATGCATCCCCTCGACGATCTTCGTCAGCCACAACCATAGTGATCATGCGGCAGAGCTCCCTGTGGTCCTGGCAGTGGAAGGCAGAGCTCCCTATGGTCTCACATCTTGTGTCAAAGGTGTTCATCAAAGGAGTTCAATAAATCCGGGTCCAGGACAGAATTGAGAACTGCGAAGCATGTGGGACCTCTTCATCTTCGTTTTTTCTTTTTCCAAGTCTCGGATGAAGCCAATCTGTGTCCATAGGGGCCCTTGGGGTCTGGTCAACCCGTCTAGCATGGGAGTATGCTGTATCTGCATACGAACTGTACCATGCAACACATTGTGGGCATCAGTCAAACTTATTGACCCCCCAAAAAGACCATCGTTTGGCTGGCCCATTTGGTGCCGAATTTGTGATTCGGTACCTTGTCGACCCAACCACCAATAAGATTTGTATACATCACCCATTTATATCACATGATATCAACATGAATCACCATAATCCAGCAAATGCCGCCATACATATGACATCATATGACATCATATGACATCATATGACATCATATGACCATAAACCCAGCATTTTGATCCATTTTTGTCCCTTGAAAAAATCCGATTGTTTTCAGTGAAAGGCCTGCAGAGGAAACGCTTGATGCAAGTGGTGGCAGCCCCAGAGGTGCTGTCCAGGCGATTTCCGGGACATCTCCATGGTGAAATTTCCATGGTATTTCTGGGCGAAATGATATGGATGGAATGGATGTAGTAACTATATGTACCTATATGTAACATGATGTAACTATACAGTTAACTCAGTTAACCAATGTTAACCAATGTTAACCAATGTCAACCAATGTTAACCATATACAGTTGAAGAGCATTGGTGAGCATTGCAGCAGTGTGCTGTAGACATTGACCTTCCATCGATGACGCGGGAGGCTTCAGAGCCATCGAATGCACGAGTTGCAAAGCAGCGGGCATCAGATCGATGACTTTGCTCGCTGGGTCGATGCTCCCGAAGAAGCGACCATTGAGCTGGAAACTGATGTCTCTTGATGGGCATAGGAAGGGCCTTGGGGGTTAGAAGATGTTGTTTGGGGGTCTCTAACACTGTCAAACAGGCGAAGACTCTGACACTGTTCGTGTGAATATGCACGTCTTGTCAGATATTGGTTGCTTTACAGGCTTAGCCCATCTCAGTTTGTTGGGTGAACCCGTGCCATGTGACTGCGATGACTTACTGACCTGACCTTCAGCCAAGGTGAACACCATGAAGCTGACAGCCCATCGCTCTCGTCACAGTGAAACCTGCTTTGGTGCTTTCCTGGAGTTAGGCCTGGCAAGCCTGGTGAAGCGGAAGTCTTTCCTCATGGAGGAAATGACAGTTCGTAAATGATCGTATATTTGCCAGATTTTGCCAGTCTGCCAGTCCATCATTTCTGTCTTGCAGTGATTATGATCTCGAAGAACTATGACGACGTTTTGATGTTTGTTCCTGATGTTATACCATGTTATACCCTTGTTCCCACTGACAGAATCCCTTCGCATCCGCTTTTTTTCCGCGGTGTTTCCCTCCCAGGCGGCCTCCGCATCGGTTGGACTGCAGATAGCGGCTTCAGCCAAGGTCTGTTGGATCGCCTGAGCCGCAACTCGCAACTGTTGATCGTCGATGCGCGAGCTGCACCTCGACACAAAGGTTTTTGAGATGATCCCTATTGATCCCTGGACCTGGAGACATGGTGATGTGCGGTTCTGTGTATTCACTAGTTCAGCATTCCAAATTATAGTGATAAATGATATTAAATGATGTCATTTTGGCAGAAAGACTGGAGTAGCCTGAATTTTGATTCATGCCCAACAGAAATCAACATCAACAGAGTTCAGCAAGAAATGATGCTTCACTGAGGTTGGAGGACCTGAACACGCAAGTTTCCAGGTCAGGGGACTTGGTTCATTTTTGCATTTTTTACAATGCTATTATCATTGTATTCATGACAGGACCACCATATTGATGTCACTTTGATGCCGTACTATTTCACAAGACCGTGCATTCCGGCTGCAGCAAAATCACTTATGAGGACATTGTGGAATACGTCTCTTCGAAACCCGACCTGGACTTTTTGGGTGTTGCTTGGCGTCAAGGAGAGACTTGCGAAACGGTAGCCCGCAGGCGGACTTTCACCGCTGATAAGGTACGGCCGGAGCAGAGTCAATGCCAAGTGGCAGCCATGCTCTCAGCACAGCACGAAACCTCACCTGGCAAAGATCGAAAGTGCAAACATGAATTACACTGATGAGCCGTGATCCAGAATACGTATTGTTTATACTGTACACTATCATATAGAAATGATAATACTATAATATAATATATATATGTGTGTTTATTTATAATCGGAAAAACAAGATGCAGCCCACGAACCCGAATGCAGTCACGTAAAGCACTTTTGTGAAACAAGTTCTATATTTGAAAAGTTTTGTACTTTTTTTCCCTGTTACCGTACCAGTGCAGTGTAGACTGTGGAACGTGGAATGGGGTGGAATGCAAAGTGTGGAGCGTGAAGCAAGTGCAGTGTTTAGTGGGGAATGTAGTGTGTAGAGTGTAGAGTGTGGAGTGGGGATTGTGGAGTGTGGAGTGTAAAGTGTAAAGTATAAAGTGTGGGGTGAAAGTGTGAAGTGTAGAGTGTGAAGTGCAAAGTGTAAAGTGGAAAGTGTAAAGTGTAGAGTGTGGAGTGTAAAGTGTAGAGTGTGGAGTGCAAAGTGTAGAGTGTAGTGTAGAGTGTGGAGTGTGGAGAGTAAAGTGTAAAGTGTAAAGTGTGGAGTGTGGAGTGGAATGTAAAGTGTGGAGTGTAAAGTGAAAAGTGAAAAGTGTAGAGTGTGGAGTGTCAAGTGTGGAGTGTGGAGTGTAAAGTGTAGAGTATGGAGTATGGAGTGTAAAGTGTAAAAAAAGTGTAAAGTGTAAAGTGTGAGGTGTAAAGTGTAAAGCAGAAAGTGTAAAGTGTAGAGTGTGGAGTGTAAAGTCTGGAGTGTGGAGTGTAAAGCGGAAAGTGAAAAGTGTAGAGTGTGGAGTGTAGAGTGTAGAGTGTGGAGTGTGGAGTGTGGAGTGTGGAGTGTGGAGTGTGAATAGTAAAGTGTAAAGTGTAAAGTGTAAAGTGTGGAGTGCGAAGTGTAGAGTGTAAAGTGTGAATTGTGGAGTGTAGAGTGTAAAGTGTAGAGTGTGGAGTGTAAAGTGTAGAGTGTAGAGTATGAAGTGTAAAGTGTAAATAAAGTGTATATAAAGTGTAAAGTGTGGAGTGTGGAGTGTGAAGTGTAGAGTGTAGAGTGTAGAGTGTGGAATGTAAAGTGTGGAGTGTAAAGTGAAAAGTGAAAAGTGTGGAGTGTGGAGTGTAAAGTGTAGAGTGTGGAGAAAGTGTGGAGCGTGGAGTGTAACGTGTAGAGTGTAAAGTGTGAAGTGTAGAGTGTAAAGTGTAGAGTGTGGAGTGTAAAGTGTAGAGTGTAGAGTATGGAGTGTAAAGTGTAAATAAAGTGTAAAGTGTAAAGTGTGGAGTGTGGAGTGTGAAGTGTAGAGTGTAGAGTGTAGAGTGTGGAATGTAAAGTGTGGAGTGTAAAGTGAAAAGTGAAAAGTGTGGAGTGCGGAGTGTAAAGTGTAGAGTGTGGAGAAAGTGTGGAGCGTGGAGTGTAACGTGTAGAGTGTAAAGTGTGAAGTGTGGAGTGTAGAGTGTAAAGTGTAGAGTGTGGAGTGTAGAGTGTAGAGTGTAGAGTGTAGCGTGTGGAGTGTAAAGTGTAAAGTCTGGAGTGTACAGTGTAGAGTGTTGAGTGTTGAGTCGGGAATGTAGTGTGTAGAGTGTGGAGTGGGGATTGTGGAGTGTGGAGTGTAAAGTATAAAGTGTGGGGTGGAAAGTGCGAGGTGTAGAGTGTGAAGTGCAAAGTGTAAAGTGGAAAGTGTAAAGTGTGGAGTGTAAAGTGTAGAGTGTGGAGTGTAAAGTGAAGAGTGTAAAAGTGTAAAAGTGTAAAAGTGTAGAGTGTAGAGTGGGGTGTGTAAAGTCTTGAGTGTAAAGTGTAGAGTGTGGTGTGTGGAGAGTAAAGTGTAAAGTCTGGAGTGTAAAGTGTAAAGTGTAAAGTGAAAAGTGTAAAGTGTAGCGTGTGGAGTGTAAAGTGTGGAGTGTGGAGTGTAAAGTGTGGAGTGTGGAGAGTAAAGTGTAAAGTGTGGAGTGTAAAGTGTGGAGTGTGGAGTGTGGACTGTAAAAGTGTAAAGTGTGGAGTGTAAAGTGTAGAGTGTGGAGTGTGGAGTGTGAATAGTGAAGTGTAAAGTGTGGAGTGCAAAGTGTAGAGTGTAAAGATGTGTAAAGTGTAGAGTGTGGAGTGTCTGAAGCACTGGGCCTGCCATGCAAATAGGATTCCACACACGACGGATCTGAACCAAATGCTGCGCCTGCCACGCAAAATGACGATGGAGGTCTCCAAAGTGCTGCGCTTGCCACAAAAAATGCAACTCATCTTCTGAAAACGACGCGAAAGTATTGCGCCTGCCACACAAAATGGCTTTCGGCACGTTTGCAAACACATGAGAATGTCACGAAGTGCCATGCCTGCCACGCAAAACCACATTACAACTTGCTTTGACACCGTGAGCCAGGATAGGTTTTGCATGATTTTGCAACTTCCCCCATAGACACTGACACGGCAAGGCCAGAGGAAAACCAGAGACTCGAGACGAGACATGTTCTGGAGCATCAAAACGAGCATTTCGTGCGAGACTTCCTCCAATTTTCACACTTTGTAGCTTCAAAATCGACGTTTTCCTACGAGATTTCTTAGGAACATCAAAATTGGCTACCTGAAAATCGATGTTTCGTGCGAGGCTTCCGTCAATTTTCAGCACATCTCACAAAATTCTACGCCTGCCACAGAATTTGCACGTTGTCACCACTGGACGTAGCCCTGACAATGCGATCCGCAAAAACCACAACACGACTCCTCAAAAGTGCTGCGCCTGCCACGCAAAATGAAGACGGTCAAGTCCAAAGTGCCACGCCTGCCACGCGAAACGAAGCAACGCGACGCTGGAAACCTCCAAAAGTGACCCCTGTTGCAGAACTTACCATATGCACGGCCATACGGCCCTCACACGAACCGTTGCGGACGGCTGCGAACTGTTGCGAACGATTGCGGTCGTAAACGCAACGTCCAGCGAACATACCCTCCACCCAAACGGGAACCCTAGCTACGTATTCGGGAATAACTTTGATCATGTATGTGTATCCACTTCAGATCTATGTCAACATATTTTTTAAATATGTGCAGATGCTGGACCCAGCACATCTAAATATTTATAGAATCCTTCCAGGCTTCTGTTTCTCCCCGCTGCCGAGGTCATCGGCTATGGTGCCCAGAGCGAGTCCCCCTCTTCTGAAGATCTGCCGAGCAGTGCTGTACTCCGACCAGGAGATGTGACACCTGGCAGATGTGGGGATGCAATTTTGAAGTGTTTTTTTAATGAGAATGAATTAGCCAACACAACCGGGGACTTAACCCAAATTTGACCATCAAAAATTGGGGTCTAACTATAATAAATTGGGATTTAAGCTCATGAACAATGGGATATGCATGGGGCATACCAGCAATTGGTAATGGGCACTATCCCCGATCTGCGTAAGTTTCAGTCCCAAGTCTGAAACTGACCTGAAGACACACGAACAAACTCCCAGATTTCTGGACATGCTTTATTCAGAGTGTGATGTAAGAGTAGCCATGCGTGTCAGGTTCCATTCATCGGAGATTGACCTTATTTGGCAATCAGGAAACTGCTCTCCAAGTTTCTGTTGCTCGTTGCGAATCTCTAAGATCTCTAAGATAAACCGATTCCGATGCCAATCCTTCGAGCAAAGCAACTACCCAACAATCACACTGAGAATTTTGAGACTGAGGATTGAGTTTTGTGAGGATACTCTGCGACCATATCGTTGCACTGCAACAACCTCCAACTGTGGGTCAAGAGTTCTGCTTTGTGGCTGGTGCCAGTGAACACGCCAACAACGGAGGTGAACATCTGGGCAGGCCATTGTAGAATTCCATGGAGACAACCTGTGATTCTCTGCAATTCCTATAGCTGACATGGCTGGGCCAACTTCTGCAAATTCATGGGCCAAAGATGAGCCAAGAGTGACAACATGGATTGGATCTGGAAGCAGTGCCAGGACCCAAAGTCAGGGTCGGAAGCTGAGTAAAGCGATGGCCCAGAGAAAGCTTCACAGCAGCGGCGCAGTGGGAACAATCTCGCCTGATGGCTGGGAGGAAGAATCTTCGTTTGACGCCGGCCTTCCTGGCCTTCATGGCCGCGTTTGCGAGCAGGAATGTGGTTTGTCATTGATGCAGCGAGGGACAGGATGGTTTGAGCAGAAAAGTGGGATCGCGTCAAGCTGCCGCCCAGAAACAAGTCCACAAAACATAGCTCCTGGACCTACATAATCTGAACGCGGACGCGTGCCTGAGCCAAACCCATGGTCATTATTGTTTGTCCGAGGCTTCCCGTGAGATGTCTCGCAACATGAAGAATGCAGAAGCCCGCAACTTCCTTGGCAGACCAGGGAATGACAGGGGATGGCTATCCCAAGAATGAACATCACACCACCAACCACCATGTGTTTTTGTCAGGTTGAAAACCATCAGAAAGGGACATTCACTTGTTCTGAAGTGTTGCAAATCCGTGGGATCCTGATACTGTAGTTGAAGATAAAGGGACATTCTCAATGTTATTGCAACGACATGCAATGAAGATTGGGATGCCGAGAAATAGTGCATGTGTGTAATTCATATCAGCAAGCATGTGATGTTGAGGCTTTGGACATTTCATGATACGGGAAACATCCTTTCAAGGAGGGCAGCAGATCAAAACGGCAAAGTGCATTTTACATCAGTTTACATTTATTCGCACCAGATTATATTCAGATAACCGACAGGAGACATAGGACGTCCCTGCAGTTCAACCCTCTGAAGAGCGTGTATCAGAGGTGCTGATCCGCAAGCTCTAGAGCATGATGCCTTTCCAGCACGGAAACTCTGAGGTTTGGATGCCTTACAACAGAGCCAAGAGAAATCCGCATCGGCACGGCTTCCCAAGGATTCATGGGCCAAACATGTTTTCACATGGTTTCAGATGTTTTCACATGTTTTCATCAGAAATGCACATCGTCTAGAGTCTAGAGACACAGCGCTGCTAGGTTGATTCCTGGAACTCGAAGAAATCAAGGTGTGCATATTCTATCGTATGGCAGTCCAAGAGAAGGACAGCCCCTTTGTGCCACAGAAACTTTTCAAACCATAAATTCGATATTAAGTTCAAGATAGTTCAAGTATATCATTGTCGATCCGCACAGCATTTCTTTGGGTATGTATCCAAATTGACGCAGGCTCAACACCGATTGGCCCAATGTTTTTCCTCTTAGAGAATGCTATTCGGAGATTTTGGCGGGCTTTGTCCAAATTCTATCATCCACAACAGCCGTGCCATAGCATTTCCTCCTGAATATCCTGAATGCTCTCAGCATATTCCAAGGTTTTGACTACAGAAATCTCAGGGCTTCAAGACAAGGCCGTAGCGTAGCCGTGTAAGCCAGCGCACGTGGGGCAGAAGGAACGAGGTCGAAGGATTCTATATATGTCTTTACTCACGGCCTTTTCCAATGATTTGATTCCCTGCTGACCAGCAACCAGTTGCGGGGAAACTCGTATAAACTCATGGACATGCTACGAAATGATTGACATGGGATGCAGGTGGAAAGTCTGCAGAACTTCACCAAGACTCTTGCGAAACAGAACGACTTGGAAATCCTGGAAGATCGTATTCAAAAGGCGCACGGTGTATAGTGAAAGTGTGTGAAAGTTGTGTTCGCCTTTTGGGACAGTGGATATTCACAAAGATGCAGCGACAGCAATGTAAACTGCATACTAAACTAAACTAAACTAAACACTGTAAAGATGATTAGAAGATGATTAGAAAATGCAACAACTGCGTTTTTGCTAATACATCTACGAGGCATTGTCACAAAATACAGCATGAGGTATCAGGTCGTTTTCCATCCAAGTCATGACTGTCAGACCGAAAGCTCCCTTCGTGCCATGAACGAGGACTTGTGTTTTGCACTCAGTCAAGCACCACTCTGCGCGTGCAGCTGGGGTGATTAATGGGTATAACTATGGTAATAACCTCCATAAGTTGGGATACAACCATAGAATACCATAGTTATAACTGCTTGGATATAACCAATAGACTCAATAGACCATGGTTATAACTGCTGGGGATATATAACTATGGTATAACCCCCAAAGCAGGTCTATTGGAACTGCGCCCCCAAGCAGCCAAGACAAAAGAGAAAGCATTCAGCATGTTCCCAGCGCCCGAGGTCGCAAAGCTGCGGTCGAAGACTCAGCAATAAACAACATCAGCAGATATGGTTTGTCCAAAAATAGGTGGAGAATGGTGGAGAACATGGGAGGCCCGCAATGTATGGCCATTCAAAAGGGAAAATGATGATCAACCATCAAATTTGGGAGTTTTCCCCAAATTTTTCAAAGAGAACCATATCTATCAGCATAGCCAGCATAGCTGGTCGTGCTCACTTTTTGCAGTAGATATACCTTGATATACCCTGATATAGAATCAATCAATACCTCTCGCCACGCTACTTCAGACTGCAGCCCCGAGGCCACTGCCATGAAATCGCTGTCCGACCGTGTCACGGAGATGGGAATGGAGGCGAGTTGGCGAGTTGGTGCCCCGCATTCAGTGTATTTATTCGACGAGCACCGCCCGCACCCCGATTTTATGAAAGGCTGCGAGCTAGGAGCGAGAAGGGAAATGGTGCGGGTCAGGGACAGCTTTTTGAAGTTGAGGAATATGGTAGCTGGGGATGTGGGGTGTCTAACAAGGGTTCCAAGTTGAGCCCAACACATGCCCAAAGTCGGGGAACATTGGCCCAGTACGAACCCCCATCGAAACGTTGGAAACCAAGCTGCCCCCAAAAAGGGCGCACGCTGGACCCACCATGCTCCAAGTTGGAGCCAATTGGTCACACGTTGCGCAAGTCGACCCAGGTGTGCCCCGAGTTGAAGCCATGTCATGCACATGTATGTCCAAGTCACGTCCAACATGGCGCAACTTGGGGCGGTTTGTTGGGTGCAAATTGGAGCCAAGTGGGTCCAAGTTGCCCAAGTTGAGCCCATGTTATGAACATCGAAACAGTAATCTGGAGGATGTTGTGCCGATATCAAAAATGTGCAAACCACTACCGATTTCGAACATGCCCCCCCGGCTGAAGCGTCACGGAGTCGTTGATTCGCTCGATCGCTCGACCACGTCTTCGGCACCCTCGTCGGCGGGAGCGGATTTGTTGAGGCTATGTAACCTGACAAGTTCATATTCATATTGTTAATTAGCGTGTTTCAGGTTTTCTTCACACGATTGAAGCGCGTCTGATGAAGCACACTGAAGTACAATATTTGATAGGGGAGGGCTATTTATTTTTATTTTTTGGGCAAGGTTTTGTTTTTTTGTTCCTGGTTCTCTGCTTTCATTGCTTCTCTGCTTTTCAAGCTTTTCGTGCTTCTCTGCTTTTTGCTTTTCCTGCTTCTATGCTTTTCTGCTTCTCTGCTTTTCCTGCTTCTCTGCTTTTCTGCTTTTCTGCTTTTCTGCTTTTCTGCTTCTCTGCTTTTCTGCTTTTTGCTTTTCCTGCTTCTCTGCTTTTCTGCTTTTCTGCTTCTTTGCTTGTCCTGCTTTTCTGCTTCTCTGCTTTTCCTGCTTCTCTGCTTCTTTGCTTCTCTGCTTTTTGCTTTTCCTGCTTCTCTGCTTTTCTTGCTTCTCTGCTTCTCTGCTTTTCCTGCTTCTCTGCTTTTCTGCTATTTGCTTTCCCTGCTTCTTTGCTTTTCTGTTTTTCTGCTTTCCCTGCTTTTCTGCTTTTGTGCTTCTGTACCTTTCTACTTCTACTATTCTACTTTTTTTTTTTCAGTCATGTGTTTTTGCTGCTCTACTTCCTGCTCCTCTGCTTCTCTGCTTCTTGTCTTTACAGTCTCTTTGTTTTTCACTTTCTTTTGCTTTATTCTCTCCCGTTTCTAGTCTAAATGAAGCCCTAGAGAAACCCACGTGAAACCCTAAAGAAACCATAAATGAAATTCTAAAGTCTAAAGTAACCCTAAATGAAACCCTAATTGAAACCCTAAAGAAACCCTAAATGAACCCTAAAGAAACCATAAATGAAACCCTAAAGAAACTTTAAATGAATCCTTAAATGGCACCCTAAAGAAACCCCAAACAAAACCCTAAAAAAACCCTAAATGAAACCCTAAACCTACATGAAACGCTAATGGAAAACCTAAAGAGACCCTAAAGAAACCCTAAATGACACCCGAAAAAAATACTAACTGAAACTCTAAAGAAACCCTAAATAACCCTACATGACATCCTAAATGAACCCTAAAGAAACCATAAATTAAGCCCTAAAGAAACCTTAAATGAAACCCTAAATGACACCCTAAAGAAACCTTAAACGACACCCTAAACAAACCCTAACTGAAACTCTAACTGAAACTCTGAAAAAAACGCTAAATGAAACCCTAAAGAAACCCTAAATGAAACCCTAAATGAAACCCTAAAGAAACCCTAAATGAAACCTTGAATGAAAACCTAAAGAAACCCGCAAGAAACCCACATAAACGTTTGAAGTACCAAAATGTAGCAAATACCATGCACATGAGAGGTTAAAGTGCCAAAATGTGGCAAATATTTTGCAACATGGCAGGTTCTAGTTCCAAACTGTTGCAAATACAAGGCAAATAGTACCAGGAAAGAAAACCAAAAAAAATCAAAACCTGACAAACAAATCCCAAGACTATTCTGCACCCTTTGATTGGCAGTTGCAAGGCGCATACCACAAACACCAAGATCAATATGACCTTGGATGAACACAAAGGCCACATCGGCTGGGTCCTCAATGGCTGATACGCAAAAATCACAAGTGCTGAACCCCCGACAGCCCTGACGACCCAGGAGCACTCCAAAAGGAGACTTCCAAGCTGGAGCGTCAGTACGAACTTGAACGTACGAAACTTAACTCCTTTCCGTTGATGTCTTCCAGCATCCGTAGCATCCACATCATGATCAATAACGAAAAGACCATTCATATCTGAGTATCTGAGATTCAGATGGCAACCAGCAATAACATTAACCAACATTTTCACAGTTCTTACACAGTTCTTCTTATTACTGTATCTATTTTACCCCTTGGTGCCGACAATCTGACACAGTTAATTCAATCGTCAGTGCAAGTCACCGTGCACCTGTCATTGGCACGGCCTTATCTTGATGGCTGAGAGATGCACCGTGTCTTTGAAAACTGGAACAAGTGTTCAATATTTTCTTGATCTTGGTTGTGTGCAAATGGGGACGGCTCGTTTGAATGTTCACCAGTGGATGATTTGTAATGTTAAACTAAACAACCAGTTTCAAAAAACAAAAAAACATGGATGTTGCGTGTCTGTTGGCCCATTGGCGCCCCACTTGGCGAGGCTCACGCGTCTCAAATTGTATCGTGGCATTGGAGAAGGAGGGCTGCAGGGAACCATTCCTCGCATAAGCCCAAACTGAGGTGTCGGAAATCCAATCTTTTCAGGAGTTGTATCGCAATATAATAGTGGTTGACAATCATGAAGGATTCTTAAAGGAGTAGCTTCACTTCATCGTTCAATCAGTCACTTTTTGATTTGACCTCAATTTTTTTTCAAGACAACCACAGACACCCATTGGCCTGACCCACAGCCGTTTGCGGTTTGAACCGAGCATCAAGGGTGTGTTCGAACTTCGCGAACTTCTCGACACAGCCCTCTTCATTCACAAACATGGTGCGGAAATCGAATTTCCAACGACAAGGCACCTTTGCACCGCAAGAGTCTGATATTCTAACTGCCATTGATGCAAAGTTTGAAGAGATGGAGGAAACCATCATGTTGGCATCCTTGGTGCCACAGCTACATGACAGGGTACATGCACTGGAACAGATGCTGGCGGCTGAAAAACAGTGGAGCCCAGACAATGAGCCAAAAACAGCAAGCAAACTTGGTCCACAATGGGGGAACGAAGCTTCTTCTCCCCGGCGCATTGCGCCACCAGATGATGAAATCAATGCTGGCGTACACCTTGAGCAGAAGAACAACGCCCCAGAGGTGAAAGTAGGGGTGGAACACAACATCAGCGATCTTACATCTATGACCATTGGTAGCAGACGTCCCAGTGCCCCCAGGGTCACCGATATTTCTCGCTCCAAAGTCAAAGAAATGGATGAGAAGACCTTGGACATCCAAACGAGCGAATATTATTCCTTCGGCGAATCAACGTGGGACTTGGTGATTTTCATTGGCACGGGGGCGCTTGGGCCATTGGGCTCTCTTCAGACCTTCCTCTTGGCGATCGTCAATGTGCTGATGCAAGTGGTGTTTTGTGCAATTGCGTACTACAACTTCACGACGCCGGACATCAATGAGGACTCCATCGTTGACACCTTGAGGCAGGGTTTCGGCGCAGATTTACCCAATTTGCCAAGGTGTGTTTGCTTCTTAAATGGAAAACTCGTCACATTGCCGACCCTGTGTTTTAGTGTTTAGCGGGCTTCTTGAAATGTGACTTGAACTTCTAGCAGATTGACAACCGGCGAAGCAAAAGACCCCAGGGTGCACCAAAAAGAATCGAAGAAGACTTGTTTACAGTTCTTAAATTCAGTTCTCTTTTCAAAATACAATCAGGATTGATTCAGCCCATGTCCAGGTGGAGGAGATCCTCTGGCCATTCCTTTGGCGACTACAGTGATGTGGCGAAAGAGTCCTTGGTCCATCGAGTTTGCAAAGAAGACAAATCCTTGGCATCTTCCGGACTCCAAGTGAACCTAGTGGAGACTCTTGGCATTGGCGACTGGTCAAATGAGCCAAGTCCGAAAGATGGTGCCATGAAAGATGTGGAAGCTGGAGATACATGTAAGGAGTGACCATAAATCGTGGAGGGTGATTTCATCGTGCTAATGTGTGTGTATGTGACCATTTGGCAATCTGATTGGTCAACAGCGTCTCCATTCGCCGCATGTCACGAAAGCCAGCTTCTGCTAGCTGAAGTCCCTTTTGCTTTAGTAAATTATTGGGGGGCTGGAATCTCCAATCGCATGAAACTTCATACTCAACTACCCCTCCCCCCGGCTGGCTGGTTCACAAGCAGTTTCGCCCTGGCTCAATTCTTACCCCTGGGCCTCCAGTTTAAGGAACATCGACAAATACTTGAAGTTGGAGGCCGAGGGTCTCGAAGGTTTCTTCACGGGACAGATTCTGTGCATCGTGGCACTGATCTGTTGGTATTAGATGGTGGCCAAGGAGGCCCAGATTTCTGCCAAGTGTCATGTTTTCGATTCCACAAGAATATGTATGGAAATGGCATCCAATAATTATGGCCGCAAGATTCCACAAGAAAAAATGTATTTTCACTGACTGATCAGCCACATGAATCATACATGAATCAGTGATCGATCAATAATCATTAATGGATCCCTCCATGGTTTGAATCTTTGTTTCATCACATTGTTTCAATCCAATCATCTATCCTTCTATAAATTTAACTTCAGCTGGTTGATGCATCACCTGATTGGTTGTAAAGCTGTCCACCAAAATTGGCCAGTTCCACTGTTTCCAGGTGAGCCATGCCTTGGCTCTGCATCGTGGGATCATGGCGATGCCTCGAGGGCCCACCAAACTCGACACCAGAGAGAATCCCTTTACACAGGTGGGGGAGAAGGGTCCAAAATCCTGACTCAGTTTGCGTGCCATTCTTCCATGGTTGTCAGTCTTCTTTTAGCACACTGTGCCTGTGCTTTTTTTTTGACTGTTTGTTCATTGTTGTTGGTTGTTTCTTCTGGTTTGAACATTTGGGTTGCCAGAGTTCTTGACACTTCCGCACCACCATGAGAGGTCACGCACTATCGCTTGCGCGCGGTGGCAACACGCCGCAAAATCTTCAGTGCCTTCCTCCTTTTGTATCGCTTGGTGGCTGCTGTGCTTTTGGTCATTGTGGGTACCACATTTTTGGTCTATACGGTGAGTGTGACAGAGTTGATCCTAAATGCCGTGGCTTTGGGCATCATCCTGGACATTGACGACCTGCTCTTTGATGCCTTGGCCACCACGCCAGGTCGGCATTTGGTTCATCAGTTGGACCCTTTGCCCATGCCATCCATGCCCCGCATCAGGGGTGCAGATGCCAAGTCGGTCTTCATGAGCATCTTCATTCCAGGGCTGACCATCCTTGTGTACTACGCCATGCTGGAGCCATTTGTTGGAACCCTTACCAGCGTAAAACTTGCGATGTGTGGTGGGAATCAAAACTTTGTCTGGAGCACTGATAAACGCAGAATTACTCACCTGTCACCTACTTTTGGCGGAGGTTGGGAAGAAGAGGAGGAAAGCATCAAGAACCCCGGATCAAGCAAAAATCAGAATTGTGTGATGTTCTTTCAGCTACCGCTTGCATTTTAGATCTGCTATACCAACTTACTTACACATCATATTACCAACTTAAATCATATGGATACATGTATATATTGTCTGTATATATTTTACTACTGTGTGTAGGATCGGGCGTAAAGATTGACAAAACACCACTAGGAATACCAGCTAAAAAGACTGTAATGTCGCTTGTAAATTTGATGGCGATATTGCTAAAGTCAATAAATCTGGAATCACTCCTTTTATTTTGATGCAAAGTGACAATCATTATCGCTCTCTTTGTTCTGCTGATGATCAAACCAGTATTCCGCGTGCTTGGTTACATCGCACTGAAACCAAAAGTCGACAATTCTACCGAGGTGGAGGTGATCAGGCTTCGGCCACTTGTCATTCCAATGCTCCCATTTCGGTTGCCCTGATTCCCCTGACACTCAGCAGGACCTTCTGAGCTTGCCCCCCTCTCCTTTTGTTCAGGATGCGCTTTTGAACCTCCCCGCAAGCCCAGGTCCCAGTTCGGCACTTAGCCTCCCAGCTTCTCACGCTGGCGATCGGCTCAGTCTCCCTGAGAGTTCCCGAACAGGTCATTACCACGGTTGGTGGCTTAGCCAGTAGTGAGTCGGGTCGTGATTCCATTCCCATTCCACGCCGCAGATTGCATGGAAAGCAGCATGTGTTTCGGGACCCCATTTCCCAAAGAAAAGATGTCATCATTCCCCTCCCGGCTACCAATTTGTCCGTGTCCCATAAACCTGACCAAAGCCCCACTTGGAGCTGTCCGGTTTGCGGTTTCGAACCCTTGTGTGTCTGGGAAGTATTCTTCTTACAAAATTTGGCATTTCAAAAAGGCCCATCCTGAAATCCCCAAACATGTTTACGCCCCTGGCAAAACCCGTGAACCTATTGCTTCCAGTGCTGATTTACCGGAACATGCTCGGGCCTGGTGTTGTCCCCTTTGCAAACATGGTCTCCCCCAATTGTCTACGGCTGAGCGCCACCGAGCCATCAAAAGACATATTCGGGAATTTCACCCTAAGGAGACTCTCCGCTCCTCAGGCTTCAAGAAAGGCCGTCACTTGGTTTGGCTCATAGGACCATCGGTGCCTTGGACTTGGAGTTTAAAAAGAATGAGGCGACAGCTAGGGATGCTGCACTCAAAACATGGCGCCAAAACATGCAAAATGTTCAACTGTTGTCAGCCTGGCTGAAAAGTAAAGATGCTCCTGCCACGGGCGCTGTGGCCACGGAAAATGAAGTTGCAGAAACGGTTGTCGAAGAGGCTCGGATGATTCATCAGTACTGGTCTCAGTTTTGGGCCCGCCTTTCTGATGGTCGAGCCTCAGTTGATGGCCGCTGTGAGGCTCTGTTTCATGGAATCCCGAAGAACTCCCCCTATCCTTGGACCGCTCCCACAGGCTTGCAACTGATGGCCACGGCTCAAAAAGCCAAAGGCGTAGGTGGCACAGACGGATGGACGGCGGTCGAATTGAAGTTTCTCCCGCTTGCTGCTTTTGACAAGGTGAGTGTTTTTTTTCAAAAAGCGGTTTCTCATGAAGAGTTTCCCTACCAGTTCAAACAGGCCAGGATGGTGTGTTTGCCGAAACCCTCAAAAATTGACCGTTTTCAAGTTCATCCCAAAGATTGTAGACCCATCACCATCATGAGCACATGGTGGAGGTTGTGGGTCTCAACCATTTGCCACTCCCAAGACATGAAGGATTGGCTTCTGAGAACCTTGGACCCTGCTGTTGCAGGGCTTGGTCATGGCGATATTTACAACTGTTTGATCAAAACGTTTGCCCAGTTTAACGAACAAGGGTACATTTTGGGCCTTGATTATGAAAAAGCCTATGACTGTTTACCCTACTGTACCAACAGGTTGCTCATCGTGATCCTTAAAAATAGGATTCGTGTTTGTAAGGATTGTGTTTCTGTCTTCAACTGCCAAGAGCACGGCCAGCTGCTTGGAACGTCAAGCTACCAACGGGTATGTGTCCCGAAAACGGTTTTGGTGGAAGAAAGGGTCTGGCCAAGGCTTGCCTCTCGCAGGCGGGTCTGACCGGCTGATATATGGCTTAGATGCAATGTCGCGACCGATTCCACCACTCGCTGGAAACGGATGTTGTCTCAACGCCCCGAAAATGAGGAAAACAAAGGCCTGGGAAAGTCCAAGGCCGCTGACTGCAAAAAAAGAAACTTGGAGTCAGGAAAAAAGATAAACGCTCAAAACCCACTAAGGCTGAACTTGCTAGGAACGCCTTGGAGGCCATCGTGCTGCTCGTGTTGGCAAAGCCTGCAGATTGCCATTTTTAACTGAGGTGGTGCAGGTACCAGTGTATGCATCAGGATAACATTGGCTTTGCCCTGCTTCGAGAAGTTGGCTTTAGCAACTCTGAAGCCGCGGCCTTTTCCCGATACCTGCGCGGAAGCCACTTGAACCTGTATCGTCAGAAAGGAACCCCCAAGCGCCGGCAAGGGCATGGTTTGAGCGGGGTAATTGCTGTTTTGGTTACGGTTAGTGGGTGCTCCACCGAAAGAAAACCACGTTCAGCCTTCTGCCCCGTGGGTGGTAGGATGCGACTTCAACGAAATTCCTATTCAAAGTCATTTTGCTCGTGTTGCCAGTGGTTTTCAAGGTACTGCCTCTAGGTATTGCGGCCCCTACTAGCTACCTCCAAAAAGCTTCTTCACCAGTTTGCCCATCACAAAGTTCTTCACGTGCAGGCAGTTGCCACTGCCTCTCTTGCTATGGACCCCTGTCTCGCAAAGCCAAACCATGTTGATCTGCAACAGGTGTCGCCTGACACACGCCTGTCTCAACGTTCGCTCCAGTTCAAAGGGACGGTTGCCACAGTTCAGTGGCGTTCCCAAAGCTATCCATGGCCCAAGGTCATTTGGCTGAAAGGAAGCTCAGACAAGCTCAGGAAACGCTTGGCTCGATGGTATGAACTCCAGCGGCTTTTGGTTTGTGATGCCTCTGACTTATCCTTTGATCAACAAAGCGAGCTGCACAACCTTGCCTAAGCGGGTCCTCCGCCTCTCCTTTAGACTTGGGTTAACTTATCGACTTCTCTGAGGCAGGCAGAAAAAAGGCAGAAGGAACAGAACTCCGACGCTGGAGGCACCGAATGACCAGTGTTCAGTCCCTTTCTGCTTGGTGAAATCTAAAAGGATGTTCCCCCGCATTGTGTGATATCTGTGCAGCTGGAGGCTAAGCCGGACCATGAAACGTTGTGTCTTTTGTGTCTTGCAAGCGGGCACGGCAAAATTGCCAGTCTCACTCCTAGGGCAGAAGTGTGGCTAACGCTGAGACTTGGGGTTTGCATTGTTGTGGGATAAAAAGAGGTTGGCGCATGATGCCATCTTTGTGTAATGCTTTTGGTGCGCTGTCATGGGAACCATCTTAGGGTTCCATGCTTCACTGTGCCCCCCTCAGAAGTCAAACCGTATCAAAATCAGAAAACCACCTCAAATCAGAAAAGGTCAGTTTATTTGATGAAGGTCGCGCCAAAACAATCCAACCACATCCATAAATTAAGGTTTTGCAAAGCGGTTGGTTGCCCAGCGACACGGGCTATACACTGGGGCCCTATACATCTTGCAACACTAGCGCAAATGTATTGTAGTTGTGTAATGGAATGGACTGTAACTGGTGTATACTGTAGCTGTAGCGTAATGAAATATATTGTAATGTGGTGTAATGTTAAACATGTATGGCCCGTGGTTGTTCATGATATGCATGGTTTACATGGAATTCATGGCATGGACGGATATGGGTGGATATGGATGGTATGCATGGATGATATGTTTCGTTTCGGTGGCGTGCATGGATAGGCGTGTTTTCATGCTTGCATGCCAGCATGCATGTGGGCAAGCAGGCTTGTAGCTCGGCAACATGCGTTATATGCTGTATGCACCGAGGACCGATGCCATTATTGAAGGCGAAACTATCGGATATGGTTTGTCTATTGACAACGCTCGCTTTGGTGTCTGGGTCAGTGACGTGACGGTCCTCCGGGATCTCGATTCAGCAGACTTGGATGATTTAATCGAAGAAGGCAACGAAGACTGTGTGGATCTAAGCCAAGGAGAGCCGTTGTTGAATTACCTCCGATCTTGGGCCCAAGTCAACAAATTGTGTTTTGTATTGCTTTATGTATTTCCCACGCAATGTTTCTCTTCTGGTTTAGCAGTTTGATCTGCACATGTTCAATCAAATAGGTTTACATTGATTTACACAAAAGAAATCCCTTGCATGTCCTTTACCTCCATCTCCGTTGCGCTGTTTCGCTCGAAACAGCTGGGCGTGGACCCGTGGTTTCAAGGTTGTTGTTCACTATTCATTCGTGCCGCGTCGAACAAAGATTCGCCGATTGCCCGCAAAGAACAGTAAAGGCACTATAAAGGCTGCATCGTGGTTAGCGACTAAGAGATCCAATCACTTGTTGAAACACATGAACCCACAAATCATATTGTTGCAAATAGGCGAATTTGATTCGATAGACGACGCTTCGTACAGTAATTTACAGCACGCGTGACATTTTTTTCCTCGTTGCTTTTCGTTTTAGTTTTTGGCATTTTTTCCGGAAATTCTTCTGGTTTGGTTCTCGCCTGAGAGACTTCACCATGTAGTGCAGCTGGCCATGCAAGCGTTGGTCAGAATAGAAATCTACATCGAAATGTAATTCATGTTTTTGAGTTCTCAGACTGGACAACCTTTAGAGCGCTTCTATATACTGGGATGTTGGGCAGCAAAATTTCCATATAATTCATGAGGCTACAATATCATCATCTATCCTTTGTTTCGATTGTTGTAAAACTTTTGATTGCTTTGCCTCAAACCTTCCCGCTACAAACCAGTTGTTGATTGCTGATGCGTGACCTTTGGCCCCGTTGGTGCCATGTTTCTGTTCAGCTGCCACCACGGTTGTTGCTGCAGAGTGTGGTTTGTGTTCCTTCGAACGTCTTGGCCTCAAAGAGTCAGGCGCAAACTTGAAAGTTTACGAGATCTCGCAGAGATCATAAGAAGATGTTGCGTCGCAGAAACTTGCAGTATTGTAAGGGGATCTTTGAGTGATGCCCGATGGACATCTAGGAGGTACCTCCAACCCAACGGGGAATTGCAAGCGCATCGTGAAATTTATCCCGCAAGACACCTTGCGTACAAGGATCTTCGAAGAAACCCTGTGTAGAAATGTTGGATCATACTCTTTTCAGTGCATTCATCTTCTTTGGGATTCCTTGAAGGGAATACACACTTTTATGACTTTCATATACGGTATGAACAGTACAACAACATACAACAACTATGGATGCCTGACATTACCTGTTCCGCCTTCCCAAGGATACTTGCTGGGCAATGAGAGCATTCAGTCGTGTGCAGATGTGGTGCAGTACTGTGGCTCACTCACCAAGATGCCCGAGTTTTCCGTGGACGGTGGCAACGCGGTTGATCCAATAGCATGATATCCTGCCAAGTAAAACAGGTCCAATAAGGCCCGTAAGCCGTTTACACCGCCTGTGAAAAAGAAAGCAATCAACACACATTCGTACACGCCCAGACACACACACACACCCTCTTACTTTAATGTTAGATGATTGCTAAGTTAGCAGGCTTTGCAGCACACCATGATTTGTTCAGTGAATGAGCCAATCATTTTCAAGTGGTGAAATTTGATATGGCAGCGAAATCATTTGCACATCATTCTTGTAGAAGAGGAAGTTGAACATTTGAAGCTTGGCCGCTTGTATGTCCAATGTGGCACTCACTCACTATGACCAGCAACTCAACGTCATACCTGCAAAGGGTGGTGGAAACCGATTCCGCTCTGGTGCCTGAGGCAAAGGGTGGTCTGCACGGATGTTGTGTTCGGAAACGTGCGGTTGCAACAACCCGGGTGGAGAATTCATCAATGTACAAGGCTGTCCATATCTCGATGGAGAGTGCAGGCATGTGGATACATTTGCAGAATATCAAAGCAGTTCCTCCCGCGGCAACATTGAAACTATTTTTTTGCAGTTTCCAATTCTTGCCGACATACTGGATTCCAACGCACCGGCAAACATCGTAAACACACACACACACACACACGAACCAATAATGTGTCATGTACACAAACTATGGTTCCTACAAACTGCGTGGTTTTGAGCTCCTAGAAGATACTGAAACTCGACTTGTTTTTTACAAAATCTTTCGGATGTCTTTGCCTCCTCCAAGTGACGTCTGCTTGAGGTGGGCTCTGTCTAGAGAAGAGTGTGGAGACCCTGAAAGACTTTGCTCCATGGAAAGAGTGGATTAAGGCCATTCGCGCATATGGCATGGAGCCTTCAGATGCTTTGGGTGACAAGGAAGAGGCTTTGATCTTGGCACAATCCATGGAAGACAATGGCTGTGGCTTTTTGGCCAACTTGAGCGCGCAGAACATGTCACTGGGGGGTTGCTTCAAATGGAGCAACAAGTTTGATTGGGAGTTCAAAACGGTCGAGTACTTCTGCCCACTGACTTGTAGATGTACAAAGGATACTTCTGATGAGACAAGCTGTCCGAAGCCTTTTGGCAAGAATTGCGATGAGCTCAACGACTGCTTGACTGTGAACCAGCAGCATTTCTGTCCAGGGTTCAATACACAGGTCATTGAATTTACTATCCTCTATGATGTTGCCTCACCTCAAGCCTTGAAGCTCGGTCTTTGAAATCCTGGATTGCAAGAGCATTTTCACAATCTTTAATATCTTTAATGTACTTTACTTATTTCTTCCGATTTCAAGTGAATTTCAGTGATGAATATAAGCATTCTTTGATTGCATCCGACAGTACAGTGTTCGACTTTGCTGCTGCGTTCTCAACGTATTCCTCCGAGCTCAGGGGTGCGAATCTGGAAGCCGCCCAGCTAGCCTTTCAGACATCCATCGGGCAATACGCAGGACATTCCACTGCACTTGATCCAAACACCGTGGTGGTCGATCCTCGGGCAAAGACTTGTTGCATTTGTTTCTTGAAGTGATTTCTTCCTTTGGACAGTGTGGCCCTGTTGGTGACCAGGTTCGGTTTTTGCAGAGTCGGTGGCCCCCCAGGAGTGCGCATTGACAACCATTCCTTAAGAATGTCCAATACAGTTTAATAATGGGGAGCTATTTATTTGGGACATTTTTATTTTTAGTTTAGTTTTTTTTTGACTCCTCCCTCCTCCCTACTGTGCTGCTTTCTGCTTTTCTGTTTCTTTTTTTTTTTGCTTCTCTGCTTTTTGCTTTTTTTGCTTCCCTGCCTTTCTGCTTTTTTGCTTCTTTGCTTTTCTGATTCTACGCTTCTCTCCTTTTTTGTTTCTGCTTTTCTGTTTTTTTCTCCACTGCTTTTCGTTTTTTTTGCTTCTATGCTTTTTTGCTTCTCTGCTTTTCTGTTTTTTGCTTCTCAGTTTTTTTTTGCTTCTCTGCTTTTTTGCTGCTCTGTTTTTGCGATCTCTGCTTTGTACTTTTTGTGTTTTTCTGCATTGCCTGATGTAGTTTTTCTACTTGTTTTTTTGTTGTTCTTCTTGATTGCAAGTGAAGCTACAACTACATTCAGGACAGCATCAACAGCACAAACAACAAGAGCAGAAAATACAAAATAGCAACAAGAGAAACAAGAAGAACAACAAGAGAACCAAGAACAAATACAAAGGAAAGGAGCAACACAACTAGAAGTTGTCTCGGTTTTTTCTTTGGGGTGAGGCGTTGCGCCCTCCCCCTCCCCATGCCCCTTTGTTGGTGTAAAGACAATGAGATGTAAATGAGCGGTTAACAAACTCGGGGTTCACAATGCTTCAGAAACTATCAAAAACGGAAGGTCGTCATGCAAATCGAAGGTTGAAGTTCATAAATGCTGCAAATATCATGTGCAAAATCCTGCAAATACCATGCAATATGAAAGGGTTTCTCTTCCAAATGTTGCAGGTGCCATGCAGAATGAGAGGTTCTATCTCCACAATGCAGGTTGACGTTGCAGAATGCTGAACATATTATTTGACCATACCACGCAAACTTTATTGTTTGTTTCTATATGTCAATTATGTCTTTTTGGCCTTTATAGTTTTGCCCGTTTTCTTTCTTGGCTTTGCAAAAACTTTACGGGTTTCTTGGCTTCATGGCTTTGTTGGTGTTCAGCGCAACCAAAGCCACAAGCGTAAGGAAATCACAAACACGGCCTACCGGCCTACACCAAAAAAAAACAATCTCAACAGTTGCCGTTGGTGTGTTTCTCCAGCTACACCACCACCAACAACAACCACAACAGCACCAGTAATTAACAACAACAAAAAAAAACCTATTATTACAACAACAACTTGAACTACAACTACAAAAACTACAGCAACTACAACTGCAACAAGAATAATGCCAACCCAGGATCAATAACCCCCTGGGCCCCTAGTTTACTAATTGGAGGGGTACCATTTATACAAGGGAAACATGACAATTTTAGGAACCCTCCATACTAATCAATTGCGGGGTTATTCATCCGGGGTGAACACTCACAAAACAAACAAGAACCCACAACAGACAACAACCAAAAACCAACAACAACTGGCAAATAGCATGCCAAATGGAAGATTCCAGCTCCAAAATGTTGCAACTGGCAAGCAAAGTGGAAGGTTCCAGCTCATAAATGCTGCAAGTAGCATGGAAAATGGACGGTTCCAGCTCCGAAATATTGCAAATGACTTGCAAAAATGGAAGGTTCCAGGCCCCAAATGCTGCAAATAGCATGGACAATAGGCACAACCAGAAATCCAAAGAACATTCCCTAAACTAAATTTCTTAAGGAAGTTCCAATCCCTTAATAATTGTCATGTATTCCGCACCAAGAACGGATTGAGGAAAGTAGGTGTCGGAAAGATCATTGAGAACAGGTGGCAGAATTCACATTGAATGGCTTGAGCATTTATTGGCCTTGCTTGCGATCATTATTTGCAGGCATTCATCTTTGTATTGGTCCCTGCAGAAGGGTAGGCCTTGTAGAGAAAGAACCTTTGCGCTGTGTCTAGAATTGCATCACTGGAAGATTAAGATATCAATCGGATGGGAGAGAGAAGAATTGTTCTTCGTCCACTGCCGGCTGGGACTGATATCTTTTGAGCTGGCTGCAAAGGACACTTCTCTCCCCGGACTTGCAGGGGCATCGATCTACCTGATAGACTTGGAGAACATGAATGTGGGTCAAATTACATCCTCTTTATACTCCATCCCGCTTCAAAACTTCCAGGCAACCAGTTTCTGCAGGTTGCGATGGAAACTGTGCGTATTGCAATGATATTATGATGTTCCCAAAGCAATCACAATCCCAAGAAATTGCCATTTGTGGAATTCAAAGATCAGTTCCTGATGCCACTATTTCATACATACTATTTCCAATATTTCCACTATAGAGCATTAGGGGTGTGAGAGCATGGACGTCGAGAAAGGGTTGAATCAAGTCACCACTTCTGCACATTGAACCTGTACCACTCGATGCTTGGATTCACGGGCGGTGTGAGCAAAGCTGGTGTCCCTTCAAAACGAGCGAGTTGCTGACAGGCTGCCGTCAATGCCAGCCTGACATCTTCCCAAGTGACTCTGGATCAGCTTGGGCTAAGTGTGACCTTTGCAGGACACGTGTCAGCACTCAGCACTGCTGAAGGGATCTGAAGGGATCTGAAGGGTAGGGAACAGGTTGCTGAAATATATTGAAATTCGGTGCCCAACGGCACCCGGTGCTCCAAGGAGATCCGGCACAACGGCCTGGCAGCCGCAGCAGATGAGTTGGCCCCAGCTAAGGCACCTCCAGATCCGTGACAAATTGCGGTTATATAATAGTAACTAATATTGCTTAATAGTGATCAATATAGTGATTGAATGTGATTGATAGTGAGTAATAGTGGTGAACTTGGGATGCTTCAAAAATGACACTTGGACCCAAGACATCCTTTGATTCCTTCAAGCTCTATGTGTTTCTGGAGGCAGCAAGAGCTGCGTGAACGCGCCAAAGAGTGGATGAGTTTTAACCGCTGAAGTTTAGGAGAGTTTTTGTGGAGAGCCACCGCGGACCATGATCAACAACTGGGAACAAATCAGAATGTGTATATATTATATAGTTATTATATATATATAAATAATTTCCCTGTGGCTGAAGAACAAACCATGAACTGACAGCCTTACCAATTATGGTATGCCTGGGAAACTTTCTCAGTTGGACTCTCCAAGAGATTCAGAGCAGTCCGTGGATCTTTGCGCTCCCAGTTTTGAAACCCGACATTTTTCGCCCAGAAAACCAGGCCTTCCCGGGAGGTTCAATTGGATGCTGGAGTACCTCCCAATGTCCAGGGCTTAGGATTGATGAGCTGTTCCCGACTTACTCGTGGATTTGGCTCTTCATCACGTGACACACACGCATACATATATAATCACACACATATATATATGTATGTATGTATGTATGTATGTAATGTATGTAATGTATGTAATGTATGTAATGTATGTAATGTATGTAATGTATGTATGTATGTATGTATGTATGTATGTATGTATTTATGTATGTATGTATGGTAATGTAATGTAATGTAATGTAATGTAATGTAATGTAATGTAATGTAATGTATGTATGTATGTATGTTGTGTATGTTGTGTATGTTATGTATGTTATGTATGTTATGTATGTTATGTATGTTATGTATGTATGTATGTATGTATGTATGTATGTATGTATGTATGTATGTATGTATGTATGTATGTATGTATGTATGTATGTATGTATGTATGTATGTATGTATGTATGTATGTATGTATGTTTATGTAATGTATGTAATGTATGTAATGTATGTAATGTATGTAATGTATGTAATGTATGTAATGTATGTATGTATGTATGTATGTATGTATGTATGTATGTATGTATGTATGTATGTATGTATGTATGTATGTATGTATGTATGTATGTATGTATGTAATGTTATGTAATGTATGTATGTTGTAATGTATGTTCTGTATGTATGTATGTAATGTATGTAATGTATGTAATGTATGTAATGTATGTAATGTATGCGTATGTAATGTAATGTAATGTAATGTAATGTAATGTAATGTAATGTAATGTAATGTAATGTAATGTAATGTAATGTATGTATGTGTAGATAGATTGATTCTAGTAGCTCGAGCACGGTTCACGGAGAAGCCCGAAGGGCAGCTCCGAATTTTGCTTACTCAGCTGGGGCTGTCGTGATTCTGCCCAGGATCCGCTTTTAAATCAGCGGTGCGAAGCGCACCGAGCACAGCCCAGGGCCGACAAATCGTGTGCACAACGACGAAACCGTTAGCTGAGCGCGCCAGCCGAGAACCATAGGGTAGCAAAATGGTCCCTGATGTCGTGGCGAACATCGTGATTCAGTCTGCTGGTCTCTTCCTCTGGCACTGTACTCTATACTTATTATATAATCTTATATAATCTTGTACACAATAGTTGATCTGCAACCCTGACCCTGACTACATCTACAGCTCTCTGACACCACCCTGACATGCCGGCGATTTTATGATTTCGACAGTTGTTCCAAGTGAAGAGACTTGTTCCGCCAAAACTTGCAGCTGTTTGCAGCTTGGACTTCCTCAGGGATCCTCAGTGGCATCCGAAGGGCTATTCATCCCCATTTCGTTGGAGAGAAGCGACATGGTCAAGAAGGCCGCCTCAAAAGGCAAAGGACCCAGGCGTCAGGGCACTGGGCAGGAGTCTGACATTCTCACTTTCATCGATGAGAAGTTTGAAGAGATCGAGGAAACCATCGTCTTGGCATCTTTGGTGCCACAGCTTCATGAACGTCTCCATGCTGTGGAAAAGATACTGAAGATTCAGAACAGCCCCGGTCTCAAAGAGGCTGTAGGATCCAAGTGGAAGCAGCTGAAAGAAGAACATCAGCAGATGGGTCCAAAGTGGGGTGATGCAGCTTCTCCACAGCGCCTTGCACCACCAGATGATGAAATCAATTCTGGTGTAAACCTTGAGGAGAACAACACCAGCGATGTGACACTCGGGGTGGGACACAACGACGACAAACTCGGAGTGGGAGACAAGGCCGACATCGAGGACAGCAGTGATCTTACATCAATGACTCGTACTCTCACTGAAAAACGTCGGGAGAATATGAAAAGGATCGCGGAAATGTCAAAGGCGAAGGTCAAAGAAATGGATGAGAAGACTTTGGACACTCAAACAACCGAATACTACACCTTCGGTGAATCAACGTGGGACTTGGTGATTTTCATTGGCACGGGGGCGCTTGGGCCATTTGGCTCCCTTCAGACCGTGCTTTTGGCAATCGTCAATGTGCTGATGCAGGTGGTGTTTTGTGCAATCGCGTACTACAACTTCACAACACCTGACATCAATGATGGCTCCATCATTGACACCCTGAGGCAGGGGTTGGTTGCATTGGCGCCGTTAGGCAAAACCATTTTCGGGGCATAGAATGAAAAACCATGAAAAACCAACCTTTCAGTTGCCAACTTCCCAATGTTAAACCCAGCCATAAACCACCATAAACCTATCTGCCTGCCTGGGTCCGGTTGAGTGTGACATCCTTTAGGTGGAGAAGGTCATCTGGCCATTCTTTCGGGGACTACAGCACTGTCGCCAAGGAGTCGTTGGTCCATCGGGTTTGCAAAATGGACAAGTCCTTGGCATCTTCGGGCATCCAAGTTGACCTTGTTGAGATTCTTGGACACCTCTCTGTTGGAAATTCCAACAAGAAATTCGGGAACCGTAGCACACATATGGAAAGTCAAATTGAGATTGAGATTATGACTTTTGAGCATTGACTCCACACAACATATCTACTAGCCGACTCTAAGGAACATCAACAAGTACTTGAAGTTGGAGGCTGAAGGTCTCGAAGGCTTCTTCACTGGACAGATTCTGTGCATCGTGGCGCTGATCTGTTGGTATTTGATGGTGGCTAAGGAGGCACCAGATTTCCGGCTGGGAGTTCCTGGAAACTTTGGGGTGTCATTCTGGATTCATGAGCTGTTTTTTTGGGGCGTTCCCGTAGATGCGAGACAGTGCGCGGAATTGCCCAAGGTAATTTCTGAAGCCACTTGAAGGTTCATCATTTTTCGAAATCTGCACAGGTGGCACGAAACAAACTTTAGATTTGGATCATTTTAGATCAGCCCAACATGGGTTCAATGTACCGGTTCAAGGCATGCGATGACCTTTACACAGCAAAACATTAGAGGATGTTGTCATCACCTTGTGGGCTGTGTCGAGCGTGTGTTGCCACGCAGCAATGCAAGCGGATTTTTGGGACCTGAAAAACATTGAAGAATCGACCAAAGAGACATAGATCATCATGGATCTATATAGATAGATCTATATAGTACATAGTACATTGAGTAAACATTGGCCCCCTAGATAAAGCATGGTATAAACTGATAAAACTCCAATAGCAAAAAACTTGCAACATATCAATTGCCCAAAGTTTAAGCATTGCGAAACAGCTCAAGATTTCTGGCATCCAGCATCCTGGTGCGCCAGGTGAGCCACGCCTTGGCGTTGCATCGTGGAATCATGGCGACGCCTCGAGGGCCTACCAAACTCGACACCAGAGAGAATCCCTTCACCCAGGCGCGGCTGAAGGGAACCACAGGAAACCCCCAAACAGATCCAAACAGAAGATAAAAGAAGTCCCGAAGGTCATGATATGTCATGAAGCAGCAACCGTTTGTTGTTTGATTTTTCCCCCATTAAGAACGAAGTGTTGGATTGACACACAGCTTTGTGTCAATCGTGCGGACCGTGAGAGGCGGTACACTATCGCTTGCGCTCAGTCGCCAGACGCCGCAAAGTCTTCAGTGGCCTTCTCCTCCTGTACCGATTGATGGCTGCGGTACTTCTGGTCATTGTGGGTACCACGTTTTTGGTCTATACGGTTAATGTGACAGAGTTGATCCTAAATGCTGTGGCTTTGGGCATCATCCTGGACATTGACGACCTGCTCTTTGATGCCTTGGCCACCACGCCAGGTCGGCATTTGGTTCATCAGTTGGACCCTTTGTTCATGCCAGGAATGCCCCGCATCAGGGGTGCTGATGCCAAGTCAGTCTTCATGAGCATCTTCATTCCAGCGCTTACCCTCTTCGTGTACTACTCAATGCTCGACCCATTTGTTACAACCCTCACTGGTGTGAAAACTGCCATGTGTGGTGGAAATCAGAACTTTGTATGGAGCATGGACAAACGCAGGATCACACACCTGGCACCTACTTTTGGCGGTGGTTGGGAAATCGAGGAGGACAGCATCAAGAACCTTGGGCCTTTTTTCTCTTTAATTGTGTTTCGTTTTTTGCATTGGCGTACGTAGCATACAAAACGATACGTGGTTTTACTCAGTTGTTCGATTCTATACATTTGAATACCCTGAATTGGACTAAAAATCATGTTGGTTCGACCATGTTCTGGCCACACTAATGATAGGAACTGCAGTGCTTGACACAGGCCTAATTGAACAAAGCACCAGGTGCCTTTTAGCCACAAGTTTACATTTGTCGAATTCGGAATATACGACTGCTCAGTCAGTTGATGCTCAGGACAGATGCCATTGTGGAGGGTGAGACCATCGGCTATGGTTTGGCTATCAACAACACCCGCTTCGGAGTTTGGGTCAGTGATGTCACAGTTCTCAGCGACCTGGAGATAGCAACCATGAATGATCTCATTGAAAACGAGAATCCAAGTTGTGAAGATCTCGGCAATCGGGAGCCCTTATTGAACTATTTGCGATCCTTGGCACATTTTGAAATATTTGTGATCTGATTGTAAAATTAAATAAACTATATATATAATATTATTGTAGGGCTTCGCACACCAGCGATGCCCCAAAGCTTCCTGCTGTTGTTTGTGTTGTTGTTGTTGCTGCTGCTGCTGCTGCTGTTGGTGCTGTTGTGCGGCTTGGAACCATCTGACGACACAAAACTTTTGTGCGCAGTTGCAGTGCCCAAAAATTGTCTTTGTCAAATAAGTGGCGTTTTCACGTTTTTTGCAGAGAAAAAAACATTGTAAATACCACTAAATACCGATGTTTTTGGTGCCTGAGAAGCCAAAAACCACTGTATTTACGACGAACTTTTTTTGACTGTGGGAGCAAAAATCACTGTATTTGCAGGGCTCTTCGACCCTTGCCAAAATGCACCCCGTCGGAGAGCCAAAACACCATGCTAGTCAAGGACGGATGGGCTTGCCTAACGTCGCTTTCTGAAGATAGAAGAAACTAGCCCAAAATCTCAGTAAACGGCCTCCGCAATATGTGCAGCTCCCATTCTTCCATCCATTTTGCTTTCTTCTTTTACCTGCTTCTTTCTCTTACCTCTTGCTGCTGCTTGCGCTTGCAACTAGCTTTCTTCATCCCTATTTTATTTTACGTCTTTTTCTTTCGCTTGCTCTTGCAGCTTGTTGGTTTGCTCTTGCAGCTTGCTTTCTTCTTTTGTCTGCTTTTTCCATCTTTCTCTTGCCTCTTGCTACTTCTTGCTCTTCCAACTTGCTTTCTTCTTCCCTGTCTTTTCTTGCTTGCTTTCTTCTTTTGTCTGCTTCTTTCTCTTGCCTCTTGCTGCTTCTTGTGACAGCCATGCTGCTGGTAATTGTTTCTTTGACGCGCTCCCCCGTGCCGTCCACAGGGGTCGGCGGATTATATAAATATCAGATCTGTGCTTCGTGCATGGACATGGTCACTTGTTGAACACAAAGGGTTCATATAGGTGAAGGCAGCGTCAGAGTCCCGAGGATACTTGCTGGGCAACGAAAGCATTCAGTCCTGCGCAGATGCTGCGCCTTACTGCGGCTCATTCACCAAGATGCCAGAGTTTGCCGTGGATGGTGGAAACTTGTTTCTAGCACCAGCATCCTTTGATTCGGTTGTTGACATTTGTTGACCGTATGATTCTTTAGTAGATATGCAAAGCCCCCATTTTGCTTGTTTTTGTCGGATCTTGCATTGAAGTCGTTCCCTGCAATCCGCCAGATTTCCCGGCAGAACAATTTGATTCATGAGTTTTTATGAACACCACGGCAACCACGGCATACAGAGTAGCCACTTTCGATCCTGACTCATCTGGATTCATAACAGTCAAATTCAATCAGTTTCAGACATGTCAAGTTTGAAGCAATTTTTAGGTATTTGACAATACGATTTGCCTACCTGACTTGATTCGATCAGAAAAAAAACGCTGGTAGCGCATATTGACCTTTCCGACAAAAACGAGGAAACTAGATCTGAAAATCGGTGACAGACAAACCCAGAACGGACAATCAAATAAAAAAACTGATGCATTGGGCTGTGCAGCTGGGTCGCCAATAGAGGTTGCGTTTCTGTCGAATTGGAAAGGGAACCTTTACAGGAAGCCTTTTGTTTGGCGGGTAGAAACCATGGTTTCCTGTGCAAGGAATCCTTAAACTAATCCATTGATCTTATTATATGCTGATATCCCAGTACTAGTACATCCCATTATGTCCCATACACATAATATCCCACTACATCCCACTACATCCCATTGCAGTACAAGGCATAGGATGGTCTGCGCGGATGCTGTGCTCGGAAACTTGTGGCTGTCGCAATCCTGGGGGGGAGCTGATCAACGTCCAAGGTTGTCCATACAGCGATGGACAGTGCAAGATGTCGGCCGTCTATCAGGAATACAAAGGAGGCTCCTTGAAGAATCTTGAAGATGTCAGACAGATTTGATGTTTTCCTACATTTTTCTTAGATGATTTCCTGATTTCGTTCTGGGTGATAGCAGACTTTCTCATGTTTCAGCGTTTTTCAACAGATTTGCATCCAGATGCTTTGTGCTTATCTGGAATGAAACGGTGCTCTGAAGAAAGATCAGATCAAATCACACCAGTTTCAAAGTTGAAGATAAGAGTGCCGTGTTGCCTCGGGTTTTGCCTTCAGGTGGTGTCTGTCTAGAGAAGAATGCATCAACTCTCAGAAGCTTTGCTCCATGGAAAGAGTGGATCAATTCAATTCGATCCTATGGAACCGAGACTTCAAAGCTTTTGGGCGGAAAGCAGGAGGCCTTGATCTTGGCACAGGCCATGGAAGACAATGGCTGTGGCTTTTTGGCCAACTTGAGCGCGCAAAACATTTCGCTGGGCGGTTGCTTCAGCTGGAACAGCAAGTTCTCTTGGGACTTCAAGACCCTGGAGGTCTTCTGCCCACTGACATGTGGATGTGCAGAGTTGAACTCTGCGGCGTCTGGCTGTCCGGAACCCTTTGGTAAATCATGCGACCAGCTCAAATGGTATCAGTGTTTGACGTGGAACGATCAGCATTTCTGTCCGGGCTTCAATACGAAGATCATTAATGCGATGATCATGTACAATTACGCATCAACTGATTTGCTGTATCACGATGAAACTTCAGTCAGTTTGTTGTAGTTCGGATTCCAATATGTTAAAAGGTGTGTTTTCGCAAAAAAACACTGCCCCTCCCCATTGAGTCTGAAGATCGGGTGCCACATTCCATCCATTAATTTGGAAAACAATGGTCCCCAAACAACATGGCAATACTATGGGGACACCATTTTCAGAACAATATTATTCATAGTAGGCTAAATCCAATTTTTGGGTCAGTCAAAAGGGTAAACCCATGGCCCATCAAATTTCACCGTTTTTCACAGCTCAGGACTACCAACAGACAAGTAACAATGTCGGCTTTTCAACAGGCGGTAGCTCAATATGCAGGTCATACGGAGCCCATCGACCCGGAGTTGGTGGTAGTAGACCCTCGGATTGGACTGTTTCTATTTGGCTAAGATTGGCTAAGCATTCCATCAGAACTTGCGTCAACAGCATTGGCCATTCGAAACTATCACGTTTCAATTGAATTGTCATTAGTTTCAACTTGTTTCAACGCCTCTAAATCAAGCATGTCAGAAGACGCTAGCCTTTGTAGAATGAGCATACCACGGTTACCCAGCCAGCACGCCTGCTTTGGCAATCGGGGTTGGTGCAGGAACAGAAGTTGTAACGTGTCGGACTTTACTTTTCACAACCGTGTTTGAACTGACTCCACGCCTTCCCATGAGTGCACTCAGAATGACAGAGAGAGGAAGCTTGTTCATCTCCGTCGATGTGCGAGATTTACAGACAGATTTACATGCAGATTTGCTTAGGACCATGCTTGGGATGGCGTAGCATGGGTCCAGATCTATTTGCCGGACCCGCAGATGATGAATTCCACTGAGATGACTTCCTCTATATTTTCAACTCCGCTTGAAGATTATCAGGCCGGGTTTGGTTGAGCTGAAAGATATGGCTATTTCATGATGTAGGTACGCACACCTTGTGGTTCGGATCCTATACACGGACACACACACACACCAATCAAACAAGAGGCACACACTCACACAAGCACAGCCGTTTCATGAGTATTTTTTTTTTTACGAGAACAAGACTAACACACACACACACATGCATGAACTTGCGTGCTTCTCAACAATGCATATGATCAATTATGAATCACATTGAATCATGAGTGAGCATATCAGCATATAACAATTGGATAATTTCCCTCTTTTGTGGGATCATTATATTTTATCCGATATACAAGAAGTTGAGCGGCTGCGATGCCCATTTATTGCGCACGGTGTTGTTGCCATGACGGGTGCAGCATGTACTTTGCAGTACACAGCCACCATACAGTCACATCATGTCATATTTGAAATATATGAACGAAGACGAAGTAAGCATAAGCAAGCATTTGCTGATCCCTCTCTCAGACTCTCCCTCTGGATGTATATGTACAGTACGATCCATTCTTGCCCATATGCTACTGTACTTGTTCGGGCGGTTCACGTCTGTGATTTTTGAGGCTGCGGTGAATGCCACTCTGACAGCCTCTGGAGTGTCTTTGGACGATCTTGGGATCATCATCACTCATGCTGGAAACCTGTCAGCAAAATACCCAATCAGGGGCAAAAAGACTGACGTGTCAAATGTTATGTCTGCAGGGAGTTTGTTGGTCTTATTCGGCATTGTTTGATTTTGTCATCACTTGTCGTGGTTTGCAAACGATATCAAAGAATTCATTTGCAGTTTTCTGTGGTGTTTTAGTTGCTCATGCTGCGCATGTGGATGCTCTTGCAAAGGACCAGGGGTAGACTGCCATTGGATTGAGGCGATCCCGCTGGCCCAAGTGGTCAATATGGCTACAACTACGGCCCTCCCAACTTCTACCGCTAGGCCGCTATGTATCCAAGACATGATCCGCGTTGGGATGCGCAAGGATCACAAGGACAGTCATGTTAAGTGGCATTCAAATCTGAATGCTGTGCAAATGCCTGGCAGGCCACAGCGAAGCGGAGCAAGAAGAACTCTTGAGAAGTCTCTTCGCGAGACATGAAGAGTGTGGGTTGCGGCTGGGGAGGCCGGCGTCTAATTCTTTTATATAAGGCTTGAATCTCCAAGAGATTCAGGGCCAACTGTGCTTATGGACCGCAGGCCGCTTGCATTTTGGGCAATCTGTTGCGAAGCAGGTCAAAGCCGATTGAACCAGGCAGAGTACTGGTATTGATCATATCGTATCTTATAATTTAATGAAATTTCACATTATATCATATACAGAATACAATTGGAAACAACTTCAATGATATATTTGGCTTAGCCAGAGCCTTGAGGATCAATTTTCCATTTATGGTTATCATGTCCTATCCATATTATATCCTAGCCAAAGGAAATTTAGTTCGAAAACTTCCAAGTTACGGACGAATGTCTAGGGGCAGTCTTGTCATCACGTCAGCCAGATGAAGCAGGAGGAGTTCGTGTATGGCAGCAGCAGAGAGTAACAGTTCGGTCATCGGCTGTGTGCCTCCATCGCGGCGATGTTGGGCGACTGTTTCAAATACGAAAAGCCGCCCTTGGCTTACGCTTTGAAGCAGTCAAACACATTCGCAAGCACAAAGAGTATGAAGCAGCTTGGGTCCAGGATGACATTGAGCAACAGTATCCGTGAACGAGCTGGTCGTTCGTTCGTTCTTTCTTGCTTTCTTTCTGTCTTTCTTTCTTTCATGTTCTTTCTTTTTGCCTTCATGTCTTCATTGCTTGACCTATTGATTCAATCATGCTTTCATTCGTTACTTCATTACTTCTTGAATTTTGTTGCATTCTTTCATTTATTTCCTTTCATTTCATTTCAGTGCATTTGATTTTAGTTCAGTTCAGTTCAGTCCAGTTAGTTTCTTTTCATTTCCTGTCATTTCATTTCAAGTCATTTCACTTTAGTTTATGTTATTTCTTTCCTTCCTTCCTTCGTTCGTTCATTCATTCCTTCCTTCCTTCCTTCCATCCATCGATCCATCCATCCATCCATCCATCCATCCATCGTTTCATTCATTCATTCATTCATTCAGTCAGTCAGTCAGTCAGTCAGCCAGCCAGCCAGTCAGTCAGTCAGTCAGTCAGTCATCCACTCATTACATCGTTCTTTTGTTGAGAAACTCATCTCACAAGTTTTCCATCTCACAAAGAATTCCTATAGGTCCTCTTCCTATAGTCACTTCCTATTTTCGAAATTTCCGCCCCGGTGCGGGCCGGGCTCTAAGAAAGGGATTTCAACTGGATTCCGTGCAGGTCTGGTATACTTTCCCAAACTCTTATGTGGTGCCGCATTTTGAGCACTTCCCACGTGTCCATTTGGAAGTGCATGTGGCGCCTTTGCCATACTTGACCAGACATGAACAAAAAACGTTATAACATGTGCAAAAAGGACTTCGGACCCGACGGTGGTGGTGGTGATGTGGAGGTCCACAGCAAGCCTCGCATGATGTTAGTAGGTACATGCGGATACATGCAAAATATCATATTTATATATCATATATATTATTATATCATATATATCATATATATATATATATCATATATATATATATATCATATATATATATATACATACAGAATACAGATTATATATATAATATGTATATTAATTAGCAGTATGTATTGGAGATCTGTTACTTGAGATGCCCAGAAAATGGGACATGCGGTGCCCATCACAGCAGATATGCAGGAGATTGCCACGAAGACCAGCGCTGCCGAGACAGACGCGGTCAGTGCTCGCGTGAGTACAGCGAGCAATGCCATTCAAAGGCCTGGCTGGGCATAATTCTGGGGATATGGGGATGGGTCAAAACCTATTAGTATCAATTTTAATGGGATGAACATCCATTTACCAGCTGTTTTGTGGTTCACTAGGTACCAGGGTTATGACTCATAGCCATATATTCAGAACAATATTTTGCAATATGGGGAGATCATCCTACTATACTCAGAACCGAAAGGGTGTAAAACCCAATCATCCCAACAATTTGGGGATATTTGGTCATCATCATCATCATTGGGATCGTCATTGGGATAAAAAAGAACAAGTAAAGAACATCTAGACCCGAAACCATAAGAAAACCCATCACCTTCAGCAAATACGGAGGGGTCCTATAAAGTAATTATCCCTTGTTAACCAATCGAATAAGATAGATGGCATCATCAGTGGTGTGGTTGTCGCAAAATCTTTGAATTAAACCCGGAAAACGGAGGCTTATGAACTTTGTCTTCTTCAGATCCATGCGTTTCGACGGATAGGATAGAAATGGCTGCTGCAAAATGGTTCCCTTTCGAAATAAATAAGGAACCTTCAAAGACCAAGAAAAACCAAGGGAATTGTGAAAAGACCGATGCTTGAAGGATTCAAAAATCATCCTACAAATTCATCCCATCATTATCATAAGTTTCATAATCAATCAAAATATAGATTTAGAAAGTATTTTGGTTTGGTTGCAGGAGCAACATCTAGGAAACCCCTTATTTGATGCACAATAAAATAGTTTCCTGATGTTTCATGTAGAATTTTCCTTACATAATCCCATATCTGCGCGATTGCCACTGACTTTCGAGGCTTGAGACGCTGGCGACCACAAAAGTCTCCACTGATACCTTTGAGCGGCTGCAGGTACCAACTGTTGGGCATGAAATTGTGGAATTTCTACTTGGGTGTGAAGTTCGGGACAAACCACAGCTACAACCATGCGGTTTGAACCCACAAGTTCAGGTAAGATCCACTTATGACTGGAACTGCACCCCAAGTACCCCCAGGAAAATGTTGATATCCCCATATTTTCGTATGATCTCTCCTTGGCTTAATATGACACTAGCATGTAATCGGATATGTGTAAGGCTTTCCCACAATTTTTTGGCAATTTCCAAGGGGGAACATAGTAATATATAGTAATAAACCATCAAATTTTCTGTATCCTGCAGCAAGATCTGCACGATACCTCGTTTAATGAGCTTTGTGAAAAAATAACACAGTGATGGGATGAAGTTCTAATATTTCACAGGAGAACCCCTTCTCTTTAGTGAAACAGTGCTGGAAATTCCTGTCCAGGCAAGGATTGACACTATGGAGGCGCTGGAGATGGCTGGAGCAACTGGGGTATCTGGGGCGATCACCGTTTTTTCGCGCGAAAAATGTGGAGGGATGTGGTTGGGAAATGGTGAGAACACCCAGAACTTTTGGGGATCTCGAGTTTCTGCTTGCTCTGGTGGTCATTCTCTTTCTCGGTGCCAGTGTTCCCAGTTTTGAACAGACAGATGTTTGTGTGCAGCAGTCCCACAATAGCACCTCTTGACCCAGAACCGTATGGATCATAGCTGAGAATGGACCCACAAAAGGCAGGTGATTATTGGTATTAAGATGTATTAAGCTATCTTGATATGAAGTCATATTGAACCATATTATCATAGTGAACCATCCATTCCTGGTCAATTCCCAGAATGTTTTTTCTGTAAACCTGCAGGAAGCCTCTATGTTTGGTGCAATAAGGCCCCAATTTAACCAATCCATTGATCGATCGGTTTGACCCAGACCCGAAGACTTTTAATTCTTAATCCCAATTCTTGATAGATAAATCCAAGTTTTTACTCGTTTCTGTAACCCAATTGTTGCTGGCTGAGTCCCTTGGAGATCCCAAAATTGCCTCTTGGCTTGGATAATCTTGGAGGTCTCCGTCATCAGGAAGGCGGACAGCGAGACACTTGGGAAAGTGGCGCAAGCCGTGACGGAACAGGCGCGAAGTGGAGTGGATCAAGGGGATTCCCGGACATCAAAAATCGTGGTTTAACCATCCAACACAGGGATTTCACCAAGTGGTAATCTTGGACAAATCATCAAACTGTGTGATTGAGCCAGCCAAAATGGGGGATATCTTATGGGGTATTTGTATAATGGGATCTATTTCACCAACGATATACTCATGATATTAGGGTCTCTTTGAAATGGAGGATATCAACCATGGTCATCTTAATAAAGAACATGACGATAAACCAATGGATTTAAAGGCACCCTAGTTTGGACAAACCCAGATAGAAAAGGGAATGCCCCTTGGAGTCTCTGGGATCCCCTGAATTGGTAGGGGAAACATATGAATATAATATCATCCACTTCTATCTATTTTGGGACCATTTTACCCTTCCTAATAATCTTGTGCTCACGGGTGAAAGTGAGGTGAACAAAAGCTCTGAGCTTGAAAGTGACTCTAGTATCAGCCCCAAAAACACCTACATTGATTATCATTGATGAAGCTGAAATCTGCGAGGCCCGACAACTGGAAACAGTGTCAAGTCAAGTACGCGATCAAAACGGTCGAGTCGAGGCTGGAGTTGTGAACTGGTTTCCACAAAACAGCCAGGCAGAAAGAGATGCACTTCTTGATGGAAATGACTCTTCGTTTCGGATTTGTAGCACACACGGGCATGTTTATAGATGTCTGCTTCATGATTTTTCATCATACATCTTTACATATATATATGTATAATATATGATATGTATACAGATGATACATATACTATATTTTATGTATATATATATACACAAACATATATTACATACATACGTTTCATTAATTACATGGCACCATGACTCCAGAAATTTCCCGGCGACGTCCGCTGCAGGTGATCGAAGGCCGCACGGAGACGTTGAAAGATCAGCTGTTCAACAAGGCCGAATCCAACAACGTCCCTTGGGCGCAAACATCGAGGGTCACCTCGGGTTTTTCTACAAAGGGGACATTTGGAAGGGATTCAACTAAGATGGGATATCTGGGGATGTGTGATAGGGATATAGTGGATACATTTTAGCAGGTATATCAGTATATCATAGTATATCAGTATATCTGACGTTTGGGTGTGGGTATATTCCCCAGAATGGGAATTTTAAGGGGATGATGATGATATGAACATGATGATAAACCACTGGATTTAGGGATTCCCTATTTTCAGACAAAGCCGGTTGTCGTTTTTTCGCTGGTTGGTTGATCAATTGTGATTATTTGAAGGTTCCCTATTGAACAATTAGTACTGTAGCTACTTGCTACGGAATAATGCGGGTAAATGATGAAACATTATAGTCAATGGCGTGCCAAACTGACTCCAAACCTAAATTTCTCATTTGAGGACATCCGACGTATTTTCATTGTAACCTCCATGCCATTGATTGCAGTTTTTGTTTGATAGATTGCTGGAAAGCTTTTGTTTTTGTCTGGAATTGTTGGGAGAGTGCTGACTAAGTTACAGCTTCAGCTGGAATATTGCCACCAAAAATCCGTTTAGAAGCCAACTGCTTTAGATTTGAAAACATCTGACCAATGCAGATGAGAGGTTTGTTGGTTGAATCCATAGCAGGAGGTGATGGGCTTTTCTCAACTTTCACCCATTTGCGAAGCACGAGGTTTACACTGTGGATGGAGTGGATGGGATGCTGCGAGGGTACTACAGTCTGGTACCTCAGTTGGCCCAAGGACTTTGGGTTGTATTTCTCAAGAGACTGACAGACGTTCCACCCTGTGGACGTTTCTGATGTGTTTGCCTTCTGCATTGAAAGACATGAACGGCGAAGAAGGGAATGCAGTCTGCATCTTTCAGATCAGTGGCCTGTATGTTGATCTATACAAGTTTCTTCGGAAGTATGAAATTCCCAACAAATCCCAGCAGGATGCGAAGCAGTGCAATGCCCAACTTCTTGGTTGCCTGATTTGTTTCTTATTCACTTTGGATGTCATTGGATTGTGTTCTGAAATTCAGATTTCCACAGATGTCCCATGTTGCATTCAACTTTTGGGTTCACCAGAGTTCACCGTGCTTCCATTGGGATGCTGAAAAGCCCATGGCTTTCTACGCTTTCTTTTGCTCAGATCGCGAAGAGATGGATGCACTGTTGCCTTGGGCTTAGAGAAAGAGCGCACAGATGGCCAAGACAATCAGCAACTTTAGGAAACAGTTGAAGAAGTAAATACTGTAGAACTAAGATAACAAAACACACGGTTGCATAGCATTATATATAGCTACATGCTAAGTATATTTCAGTAATTATAAAATGACAAGTACGTACATCTGTATGTATATATACAAGGTCGTTCTTAGAACTGCTTGTGAGAGGTCATTACTGTGGGTCCATTCAGCAGGTGCTTTTAGACAACAATTCAAGTTGCTTTGTGATCATTACGATCCTACAAGCCATCAGTTTCGACCTTACAGCTTGAGGAGAGGTGGGGCAACCCACCACTTTCAAATTGCAAACTCGATGGAATCTGCCTTGGTAAAAGGCAGGTGGCAATCCTCTAGGGTTGCCAGAATATACATCAGTGATGGTCTCAGTTACTTGCCAAACTTAAAGATGTCACCCAGGACTACTGCTTTAATTCGACGTTTTCACTTTTTCAGCCATCACCTGGGGTGAACGCGTCGCATAAAATCTTATAAATGCTTGGAAGCGTGGAGAACTCACTAAGTTTTTTGCAAAAATACGTTGATACATAATATGAACCTCTACCACGAGGTACCGTGATAGCTCTCTACCATGAGAGCTCATTTCTTTGGCACAGGGTCTTCTACCATGAAGACTTTCAAAGTTGTTTGCATGAGATGTTTTCAAACTTCGGGCGAGGCACGAGCCTCAGTATCAAAGCCTGCAGCTCTTGCGACAAGAATGGAAAAGTCCGAGTGCCGATCACAATATATAGTATATATATATATATATATGAGCCCGGTCCCCGGACCCCCACCCCCCCCCATGGTATCCCCCCCCACTCCTAACCCCCCCACCCCCAACCTAGTATTTGCATGTTATTTGCACATATACATACACATGATATGTAGTATATGGACATAAGCATGTACTCCTCATTCATCATGCTAGAAAGCAGACCGAACGGTGGCGCCACGAGGTCTCGTATCTGGTGGCGACTGGGTGATGTGGGCAAGGCTCCCAACAACACTGGGCCACGACCACCCACGAGGTGCTACCGCGCTGCCGTGCTGCCGCAGATGGTTCATCATAATTCCCAGCATTGATAAGCTATATATAAGCTATATATATATAAATATCTATATTTTATATATAAGTCAGTTTCATGAGAGCTACAGGCTTTTGAGCTATTCCCATATCTTGACATGTCCGTTCTAATTATTCCTATTCCAGTTCATTGCTTTTCAACTGTGACTTGATGCGACATGGGTGGAGAGTTGAGACCCCATGAGCTCCCCTCTTAACAGGTAAGCAGTCCAGAGAAGCGCTGCAAAAGGCACAGATGACGGGAAGATGCTTGATGGATGCTATTGCTTTCATGAGTATTGTCAGATACTGTTGGCGGTATAAGTTTTACTGGATTTGGTATATTATGAATATCTTCTTACAAAAATTGTACGTATGCTACTTTTATGATAATATATATATAAATAAATATTAATCACAATGTATATGTATATTACAATATACAAAAATTGTACGTATGCTACTTTTATGATAATATATATATATAAATAAATATTAATCACAATGTATATGTATATTACAATACATATATATACATGTATATACATGTATATATGTATATATGTATATATGTATATATGTATATATCATATTTATCTATCTATCTATCTATCTATCTATTTATCTATCTATCTATCTATCTATCCATCCATCTATCTATCTATCTATCCATCTATCTATGTATCTATCTATCTATCAATCAATCATCCCTACCCTGACCCTCTTAAAAATTGATTCTGAGGGGGGGAGCCGTACTGAAATGTCATTTTAAAATTCCATTTTTGCAATCATGTTTTCTCTATGATCAATATTCCTCATCATTCCATGTCATTGGCAAGCAGGTGAAAATTAAATATTGCGCTTAGCTCCGGAGGCGGAGGAGCTAAGCACATGTCAGACTGAAGCAGCACATGTGTAGGGATGGCATCCCTCCAAAAAATTGCGCTGCCGTGATCATACTTGCGCTTAGCTCCGGAGGAGCTAAGCGCAAGTATTTTCTAACCAGCTCCAAAGACTTGTTAAGAAATGTTACTTTACAATTCCATTCGAGGGGCTGGATCACTATCCCAGGGTTTCCAAGCCAAAAAAGGTTGGTTTTGTCCCCCCCCCGCCCTCCCCCTCTATAGGGGTAGGGATTATCTATCTATCTATCTATCTATCTATCTATCTATCTATCTATCTATCTATCTATCTATCTATCTATCTGTCCATCCATCCATCCATCCATCCATCTATCTATCTTATCTTATGTTATCTTATCTTATCTTATCTTATCTTATCTTATCTTATATCTATCATATCTTATATCTATCATATCTTATATCTATCTTATCTTATCTATCTTATCTTATCTTATCTATATTATCTTATCTTTCTATCTTATCTAATCTATCTAATCTATCTAATCTATCTAATCTATCTTATCTATCTTATCAATCTTATCAATCTTATCAATCTTATCAATCTTATCTATCTTATCTATCTTATCGGGAAAGGAAATGCAGGGACGGAATTTCCTGCTGAACAATAGAAGTTGCATTTGGGGTGGTGGGTGGACTTCACCACTGACTGGGCCATTTTGGCTCAAGGCGTGTGGTGTTGTCCACCCACTTTTTTTTTTTACCCGTCGGTTTTCGATGGGACGCCTTGCGCATGGCTTGGCCGGTGGAGCTGGCCGCCTTTGATTCATTGCGGGCTTCGCGAGCCTTCTTTGGAGTGGAGGATGCCGTGTGGACGGCCTTCACTCGTGCCGCTGGGGGCCCGGGGGACGACTTCCGGCTCCTGGCAGCACTGCCGCCAGCGGCCGTGGCAGCAACTACAGAAGCTGCCACCCTGGAGACCGGCGAGCACCTGACAGTGGTCCAAGCCGCACAGTTGGGGCTGGTGTATACCGTCTTGCAAGGCGGAAACTGCATGTGGACTCAGGGCTGGACCTTCGACACTGGGTGGATCCAGACCCATGGGCGCAAGCACCTCAAGGGGTGCCAAACTACATCACGGAACCCAAGGAAGTGATGAAGGCCACGATGGAACGGAAGACGAAGTTCTCCGCAATTTTGGACCAGGGGGACGAGTCGGAGTTTGTCATCTCGTCGGAGGAGCAGAAACAGAGATGGCTGGAAAACTTCGTTCGCCAGACAGGTGGACTCCCCTTGGAGCAGGAGGAACCATCCACAGAACAAATCTCAGCATTGCTGAGGAGGATCAATGGAGGTGGGGCCCCATACGCCGACTTTGCAGTGTGGCTACCGTATGGGAAGAAAGCCCACAGAACTCAAAAATACAGGGCATACATCCCTGTTATGGGCGGCTACATCTCCTACGACCAATGGAGGGCCAGCTTAATTCAGGGTTTACAGAACAGCCCTCCTGATGCTCGACACCCTGACGATGGCTACGTGTGTGGCGTACGAAGCTCACATAGAGAAGCTGGACAGGCTTTATCCTGGGGCCTGGCATCTCATTGTCGCTGCGGACGACTTGGGCCGCTCAGAGCACCTGGTGAGGTTGCGGGTGTCTACAAACATGGACATCGCCAACGGCACGAAGGAACCGATGGGATGGTCCCTGGAGAACCCATGGGGGCCTGGTCATGCAGCACTTCCGACGGTTGGCAACGGCAGAGTTCTACGCCAAGGGGCAAGCCGACTTGAAACAAGAAGTGGAGGACCTCAAGGAGAGGAGCCGCAAACGGGAGAGGTCCCCTCGGGAAAACGACACGGCGGAGAAGGAGTACACCAAGACGAAGGAGGAAGAAGCCTTGCAGTCGAAGGCAGAAGAGTCGGCCGCTTCAAAAGCCAAGGCGAAGCCCAAAGATGAAGATGAATACACGTATGAGTACGAGACTGAAGAGGACGAGGACACGAAGGCCGAAGTGAAAGAGGAAAATGAAGAAAACCCATGAAACCAGGGGTAGGGGGCAGAGGCAACTATGGCATGCTAAAGGAGTCCAAGGCGAAGGGGAGCAACCCAGCCAACCTCAACTTTGTGGGAGGTATGAGAAACCCCACAGAGACCGTGGCAGGCATGCCAGGGGCCCTCAACCTGGGTTTGAGGATTTTCGCAGCTTGGGAGAGGTTCTACAAGAACAACACGAAGGCTATGGAGATGGCGTCCACGTACGGCACTGCAGACTGTGTGTTCGACCGGGCCACAGTGGAGCGATGGAGAGCCGAGCTACGCAAGCTGACGGGCAGCCAGGGCAAACCAAGTGTGGACCTGTAGTCGCGGTGGAGGTTCAAGTCCCCATTGGAGTCCGACCTCATCAGAGCCTGGACCAGGAGAGCGGGTGACCCGGACACCGACTTGGCCGACTGGGTGGAGAAGGGGACACCTCTGGGAGTGAACTTAGAGATCAAGCCGAGGGGCATCTTCCCACCAGCCGACAAGGAAGGGGAGCCGGAGGTCATGATGGACGCCAGTTGCCAGATTGCCAGAGGGGCCGTCACCAACTACGCCAGTCATTGCAGACAACCTGGACGACACCAAGGAAGAGATCAGAAGACTGCTGGACCTCGGGTACGTGATGAAGGTGTCCCGAGACCAAGTAGATGAAGACTTCTCTCAGGGCACCGTGTCCAAACTGGTGATCATCGTCAAGTTGCGACCAGATGGCACCCGAAAGAGACAGCTGATTATCGACCTACGAAGGTCGGGGGGCAACAGCAAGGCAAAGCTGGACGATAAGATAGTGCTCCCAAGAGCGATGGACGCAGTTGCAATGATCAGAGCATTGCACAACCTTCACCCCGACTCCCCGACAGCTCGGTGGAGGAGCAGAGGGCGAGGTGGGCAAGAGAGCTCACCCTGATCGACGTTGCAGACGCCTTTCCCCACCTGCCTGTGCACGAGAAGGAGCTCGAACATACCCTGACACCCGACATCGAGGGCGACGGCTTCCTGCTGTTTAGAGCGCTTCTGTTCGGCTTTCGGACAGCCCCATTGTTGTGGTCAAGGGTGGCGGCATGGACGTCTACACTCCTCCAATCTTGCCTACCTGCCGAAGAAGCCAAACACCAAACTTACCTTGATGACTCCCTCTGGGCACTGCAGGGCACTCTGGCACGAAGGAATCTGGTGTTGGGTTTCATCCTGCACACCATGGCCGCACTAGGCTTCAAACTGTCAGTCACGAAAGGTGAACGAGGTGCTTCAGTGACTTGGGCCCCTGGCGGACCTGAGGACAGTGACGGGCAAGCTGTCCTGGCTTTCCGGGGTTCCACCCAGAACCAAGTGGATCCTGAGGGTCTTCTATGCCGTCATGGCGGACAGGGAAGAAGAGATCCGCCCAGGGAAAGAGGCGTCAAGGAGGGAGGGGCGAGCCGACCCCAGGAACAAGAGCGGCCTCTTCGTTGTCAAAAGGCTAGAAGGGGCCAGGCTAGCACTCCTCCAGTACCTCAACGTGACGAAGGATCGACCATCAAGAAAAGTTTCACTGACGGGCCGCAGCATGGCAAGGGTGTCCATCATCACGGACGCCTCACCAGAGGGACTGGGCGCGGTACTGGTGATCAATGATCGAGTCATCGACACAGTAGCGTCCCCGGTCACAGAGATGGACGCGAAGGCCCTGGACTTTGAGCTGGGCTCGTCGTCGTCGCAGGGCGTGGTGGAAGCTCTAGCCATCATAATGGCCCTACAACACTGGGGCAACAAGCTGGCCGGAATGAACGTCCAGATCACGATCCAATCGGACTCGGTGACAGCCTTGGCAACCACTCTTAAGAAGTCGGGGGCCTCGGCAGCTCAAGACTTTTGCGGGGCCGTGCTGGGTGTGTTGCTGGAACGCTATAGGGTGGAGGACACCCGGCTCCAACACATCCCGGGGGCCGTGAATAAGGTGGCTGATTATCTCAGCCGTCCCTCAATGTGGGACAAGTCCCCCAGACCACCCGAGATCAAGGAAGGGAACATCTCGGCGAATGTTGTCAGGGTGACGATTTTTACCCTTTGCCAACCCCGGGCAGACGCCCAGAATTGTGGGGCAAGTCGGACGACAAGGACCCGACAGGACCCTGGATGGCTTGGCAGAGTTGAGCTCATTTCAAAAAGGGCGATAACCAGGGTTAGGGAGGAGCTTCAACTTTAAGTTTTGGAAAAGGTAGTTGTGGTTTTCACTCCGTTTCCCTCGGTAGCCCCCTTTTTGGCGCTAACATGTCCCCTCGGACTCCTCATGGGCTGGCTATGCCTGCGTTGCTGCAGGAAAGCGCCGGTTTGGCCCGTCAACGAGGGTGGACGCGGGACGAGTCTGGGCCTGGGAGGCTATGAACCCGGGTCATCAATTTCAAGACTACTCAGATCATCCGCGACAGCGTCACCAGAGCCAAGGGAGGGCGCATGGACACCCCAATACGGGCCTAACAGGACTGGTGAACCGCAGAACACGGGGAACCAGATCCAGCTGAGACCATCAATGAGAGAGGTTTTTGACCGCAACCGAGATGGACAGCGTGGAGGTGACGAAGGTTGGAACCAAGGGCCAGGGATCACCATGGGGGAAGTCTTCGGTAGGAGCAGAACCCAGGTCGAAGACCAGAAAGGGCCGAATGACGGTCCTACTCACCTGGCACCCAGGGCTGCAATGGGTGCCAAATTCTGGAAGCTGGAAAGGACTATCCTGGTGAACAGAGAACCGGTCCAGGACGAGGAGTACGGCACGAAGGCAACAGCACCATGGATGCCAGAGTTGACAGAAGAGACACCACAACAAGGGAGGGGGCTATTTGGGTCGACCCCGGCCCTTACAGTAGCAGAGTTTTGCGCATAGCATCGGATACCTGCAAATCGGTGTACAACTTGTGGAGCCCGAAGAAGACGTTGAAGGGGCAACCCAATGACAGGGTGGCTATGCCGAAGCTGGACCTCGATGGGACGGTCAAGCCTCACGGAAACGAAAGGCTGCAAACGTACTCGAGCTAGCCAGGAGAGCGAGGCGAAACAGGACGGCAATCAAGGAGTTGGAGGAGGACTTCAATGCCAAAGCGTCCAAGGCCACGAAGAAGGCGATGAGGACTACGATCACCAAGATCTTGAAGGAGGCGCGAGGAACACTACCGTGCCCCCCCACAGTCGAGAAGCTGAAGGTGCTGGCAGGTGCGCTGAAGCAAGCAAACTACAGAGCAGCAAGTCAGTACTTGGGCGAGTACAAAGTGATGGCAATCGAAGAGGGGCATTCATGGCCGGAACAACTTGAGCGAGCCCTGAAACTCTGCAAGAGATCGACGACTCGAGCTTTGGGACCCCGAAAGAAAGCCAAGGAGGTTCAGGTGAACGAGACGGGCAAGGAATTCGCACCAACCTTGACCAAGAAGATACCAAAGATAGTTTCCCCTTGCCCGTGAACTCTTTGAATTTGGTGTCATCTGGATGCTACGCGAGATCGAGCTCGCGGAGGTGACGAAGGAACATCTCAAAGTTGAAGTGGAGCACAATCACAAGAGGGTGGTATTGACCATCCCAGTGTCCAAGACGGGCCAAGAAGCACTAACCACCACGAGGATGCTCCAATGCCTGTGCGAAGGGGACGAGTGCTCCACGGGATGCCCTCTGCGCATCTCAGCCATGCTAGTCTTCGGCATGGAAGACAACGGAGTTACCTATGCCGCCTTCACCAACAAGAAAAAGCGAGCCAAGAAGGCCCAGCTGGTGAAAGAATGGGTGAAACTGTATGGCGCAGGCACGACAGGGCATTCAACGAGGAGAACACGAGCTCTACGCTACATCCGCCACGGATGGGCCATTCCACAGGTAGCCTATCTAGGCCGCTGGAAGTCAGATGTGATCTACCAATATGCAGCCGAATCTCTAGAGAGCCTACCTGTCAATGCTAACAGAGCCTTCATCAAGAACCTCTACGGCACGAAGGAACACAATGAGGCCGGGCCAATTTGTTACAAGCCCAAAGACGTGGAGGAAGTGCGGGACTATCTCCTGGCCCTAGCCGCAGAACTCCAAGAAAGGGCCCTCCGTGCTTTGGACATCGAGGTGGAAAATCTGAAGAAAAGAAATGAAAAGACCCCAGGAAGACTTCCACCTTTTGTCCAGACTTTGGGCAGCGGAATGACCCACCACAATTGGAACATGACAAGCTGCACGCCCCCATTGGCATGGAGAACTTTGTGTGGGTGGCATTATCACAAGGCAGACTACATGTTCACGATGACCGACGAGGGCACGAAGGTCTGCAGAAAGTGCATTGAGATCGCGCAGCTGCAGTCGAGGTAAAAGATGTGCGACCAATGCACATATGAGCCAGCTCTCAAGCTGTCATGGCTCAAATGGCTGTGACCAGCTGGCATGGACCCAACAGGCTCCACCAATCGCAAAAGATCTTGGAGTTTGGTTGCAGCTGAGATTGTTTATCTTATCTATCTTATCTATCTTATCTTATCTATCTAATCTATCTAGAATCTAATCTATCTAATCTATCTAATCTATCTAATCTATCTAATCTATCCTAATCTATCTAATCTATCTAATCTATCTTATCTATCTTATCTATCTTATCTAATCTAATCTATCAATCTAATCTAATCTAATCTAACTTAATCTAATCTAATCTAATCTAATCTAATCTAATCTATCTATCTAACTTATCTTATCTAATCTATCTATCTATCTATCTATTTATCTATTTATCTATTTATCTATTTATCTATTTATCTATTTATCTGTTTATCTATTTATCTATTTATCTATCTCTATATCTATATCTATTTCTATCTCTATCTCTATCTATCTCTATCTCTATCTCTATCTCTATCTCTATCTCTATCTCTATCTCTATCTCTATCTCTATCTCTATCTCTATCTCTGTCTCTATCTGTCTATCTGTCTATCTGTCTATCTATCTATCTATCTATCTATCTAACTTATCTTATCCTTTCTATCTATCTATCTATCTGTCTGTCTGTCTATCTATCTATCTATCTAATTAATCTATCTATTTATCTATCTATCTATCTATATATATATATATTTATATTATATATATATGTATACATATACACGCATATCCATACATATCCCATTGAAAGATGACATCCGGATTTGGCCAGATTGTAAGCCCATCCCATCGAAACATGAAAGCCCATTCCCAAGCCTGGAGAGGTGTGCGACCTGGCCGATAGGCACTTGCATGTGTTCCAAATCAGGCAGGGAAACGGGACTGGGAGATGGGACTGCAATGGGCTTCCTATTGGATTTCATGAAGTTTCATTAGGAATCCGATGGGATGATAATGGATGGAAGATGACGGAAGATGCTGTGCAAAGATATGGCCATGTCATGCCATGTCAATATTGTACTTTTAAGCATCCAAACTCTCTCTCTCTCTCTCTCTCTCTGGTTGATCCACATGATTCCACATGCTTTGGACGTGCTTTGTTGTTGCGCAGGTTGGAGACATGGTCGGTGGCCGTCGGGAGAGGCAGGAAGAAACAGTGTGACACAACTTGAACCCCACAAACCATTTGGTAGTTGCACGAGAGCACATCAGAGAGCCAATAGATGTGAATGCCAGAAGGAATCTCTGCCATGGTTGCTTGCGAGGCGCCGTTGCTTGGAAAAGGCTGCAACACGCAGCTTGAACCGAGTCAAGCTTTCGAACAAGCGAAAGCTCGTGCATGGATGCTCTATCCATCGTTTCATGCTACCTATCCAGACACATCAAATGTTGTGACAAAAGATTGCCACAGGACGTCCATGCACTCGGTCTGGTGCTGAGCCAAAGTAGTTCGTTCCTTTCACAACTGTACCTTAACCGGCAAGCTGGTCTTTGTGCTGGTGGGGAGATTGGTCATTTTATTTCGGTGTCACAAAATTGGTTGTTTCTGTTGGCAAGTCCATCAACGCCATGGTCTCCTTCACTGCACTTGCTGCACTAAGTTTGCAAATTTCAGTACGGCAGACGTCTCAAAGCGTCAACCTAAACTTGATGTTGACCCGGTTGCTTCAGCACTGTGGACTCTCCGTTTGAGGTGAGTCCCTGCTGAGATTGTCTAAGCGACAAATTACTTTACTTCGAGGAAACCCCAACTTGACAAAGTATTTCTGAATATTTCTGACATTGTTTCTGACATATCAACTGGAATTAACTATGGCACATATAATTATAATACATATCATATCATACCATATTATACCATACCATATCATATCATATCATATCACATTTCATATCATATCATATCATATCATACCATATATGTATATACATATTCTGACATTCTATCTAACATTCTATCTGGCATCTATTCTGACATTGTATCTGACTCTCTATCTCGCATCTATTCTGACATTCTATCTGACATTCTACCTGGAATCTATTCTGATATTCTATCTGGCATTCTATCTGGCATCTATTCTGATATTCGATCTGACACTCTGCCTGGAATCTATTCTGATATTCTATCTGGCATTCTATGTGGCATCTATTCTGACATTCTATCTGACATTCTACCTGGAATCTTTTCAGATTTTCTATCTGGCATCTATTCTGACATTCTATCTGGCATATTTTCTGACATTTCTTCTGGCATTCTATCTGGCATATTTTCTGACATTTCTTCTGGCATTCTATCTGGCATCTATTCTGACATTCTATCTGACATTCTATCTGGCATATATTCTGACATTTCTTCTGGCATTCTATCTGGCATCTTTTCTGACATTCTATCTGACATTCTACCTGGCATCTATTCTGATATCTATCTGGCATTCTATCTGGTATCTAGCATATATTCTGACATTTCTTCTGGCATTCTATCTGGCATCAATTCTGTCATTCTATCTGGCATCTCTTCTGACATTTCTTGTGGCATTCTATCTGGCATCTATTCTGACATTCTATCTGGCATACATTCTGGCATTTATCTTGGCATCTTGATCTGGAGCTCAGGGTTCACCAGCGCGTGTCGGGTCCATGCGTGCTCAGACGGAGCTGGAGTTCGCGATAAGCTTCTGGAGCGATTACTCCACTTGAGCTGGCACTGGCTGTGACATCCGGGTCGGTTGGTGCCACGCAGTGACGGCAGTCTGGCAGAAGGAGGAGGACAACGGAGGAAGAGGAGGACGCGAGGAGTGAAGGAAGGAAGGAAGGAAGGAAGAAAGGAAGGCGCACCTTTGTTAAAGCCTAGAGACCCTCACCTGGCAAGGGGGGAAATCTAAGATGATTCAGCACATGACATCGGCAAGACAAAACAGTAGCAAAACCATTCAGTTTCTGTGCCAAAGCAAGCGGTGCCCTGTCCGTGCAGCTGGAGCTTGAAGAAAAAAGGTGGCGTGCTCAGCCAGCGGGGCAGCTTCGTACAAACCCAGTATCCGTTGTGACGTGCAGAGTTTTGATCTGTTTTGGACATCAGCACTCCCAAAGCAGGTTTTGGTTTTGGGAAAGCTTCCAGGAACTCTGGTTTTTGTGGCAAACACATTTACAACAAATAAAAATCAAGGTTTCCTCTGGTTTTTCGTGTGGTTCTTCCCATAGGTCAACCCAGTCAAACATTCCCATTCCGCCCTCGCATCCATAGCCGTTTGGGAGCGCTTACTGACGTGCTCCGGTTCTGCAGCAGTGCGGAATGGGAAAGGCGAAGTTCCAACGTCAGGGTACCTATGGCCCACAAGAGTCTGACATTCTGAGTGCCATCGATGAAAAGTTCGAAGAGTTGGAGGAAACCATCATCTTGGCATCTTTGGTTCCACAGCTACACGAACGTCTGCATGCACTGGAACAGATGCTTAAGATAGGAACCAGCCCACTTTCAACGGCTATCCAAGAAGTAAAAGCTCGCAAAGAGAAGGAGAGACACAAAGGGCCACAGTGGGGTGACACATGTTCTCCCCTTCCAATTAGACCACCAGAAGATCATGCGAATGCTGAGGAGGATTTAGACAAGGGCACAGATAGCCCTTCCCACGTGAAAGTGGGGGTTTCCTCGGACGCAGCTGCTGAGATCAATGACCTCATGGCCTTATCTCCAGTCAGGCGGCGGGAGGTCAAGAGGATTACTGACATTTCTCGATCCAAGGTGTCTGAGATGGACGAAAAGACCCTGGATACGCAGACCAGTGAGTACTACACCTTCGGTGAATCCACTTGGGACTTGGTGATTTTCATTGGCACTGGGGCACTTGGGCCCTTGGGTTCAATCCAAACCATCCTCTTGGCAATCATCAATGTGCTGATGCAGGTCGTATTTTGCGCCATTGCCTGGTTCAACTTCACATCACCTGATATCAATGAAGATTCAGTTACGGACACCTTGAGGTGCGCAGCTTGACACGAGAGTGTAGTAATTCACAACATTGCCAACGTAGGTGCATGATTGCACACTTTCACGATAAGAGATCCGCTCCAAAATGCTTTTAATTGAGGAATTTTCACATCCGATGTTCTTTACATCTCATTAGAAGGCCGAGTCCTGCAATATGCATTGAAATTGTTTCCGTGCACCTATCAGCTAGGTTTGTGTTCGTGTGGCGCTAGATATCGCTAAATACTTTTTCATAGCGGCCATTAAAGTAAATTATTGTCAGGCCCGATGCTTCCTTTGCCTCTTGCTTTCCCACCCAGTTAGTCCTGTGCAATTTGGGCGTCCGCACAGACGGCCTATAGCCGAAGAAGAAAGATGTTTCCTGCGGATCATCCGTTTTTGGTTTCCAACTGGATCCGTGGTCTTGGCGCTTGCTCCTACTCTTCCCCCCGGGGGTCTTGTCGAGTCCAAACGTGTCTCTGCGGCTGCTCAAATTTCTCTCTGTTGGGCGGGTTCGCTTGTCTTACCAAGGTTGTTTTTTTTTTGTGCCCGTGCTCCCCCCTCTATGTCTCTCTCTGCAGTTTGTCACGCACCTCCACGATGGTGACTGCGGGCTGTGTATGTGGACACAGTACAAAGCGTGATAGAAACAGAAGACGACCACAGTCACATACGTGGCTATCCAGTACAATATTAATGTGTCTCCTGACCGTGGCTAACGCTGACCCACGGCAGGACGGCAGGAGCTTGCAAGCAATGAATCCCTGGCCATGGATAACTTTGACCCATGGCAAGGAATAGCAATTCAGGCATGCAATGCCACAAACATGCAGTCTCACCAATTTGATGCACAGGCCATTTGGAAACAAGCCGTTTTGGCAGACCAAAGGGCAAACAAAGCAAGCAACCTTTCGATCCCAGGTAGAGGCGACCTTTGCCAACCACAACTACATGGGAACACCACGCCGGCACCTGAGAACGATTGGCAGCTACAGGCCGACACTACGGTGGACGTTGCCACCTTGGGCCTTCTACTGTTACTGATTTGTTCCAGCGCCACAGCATACTACACCGGAGCCATCGGCAGTGTGCCTCCAGAGTGACGATGGCGGGTCATGTGTGTGGACATGGCACGAAACACAGAAGCAGACAGTTTTCACCCAAGTCACTGCTGTGGCTATGTTTCAGTTTCACTTTAATTAGCTGTTTGACCAGGGTTAACGCAAACCCCTGGCAAGCACAGGAAGCATATTCCCGTCGTGTCCTCCCAATCGACGGGGAACAGCACGCAAGCAATTCAACGCAGCAATTCAACACTTGCTTAATTGACTTTGCACAACCAGCCATTTTGGCTGACAAAAGAGCCTACAGGGCAAGCAATGCAACAGGTCTATGTAGTAGTCCTTGTGACTTTCCACTTTAGCTACCAACTTCATGACTGAGTTGGACACAAGAGTTATGTTCGTTAGCATGGTGGTGGTCTATGTGATCTCCTTTGAGCTGGCCTTCTTCCTGGCGTGTGCTACCCATACCAGAAAGCCTCGTAGACCAAAGAAAAGGACAATGCAATCCATACATCACCACAAGGCTACCAAGCAGAAAGGCAAGTGGCTTCTACACGCCAGGCGGTGTGGAGCAGCCAGACACCGACAAGCCCGCCAAGCGGCACATCGACTAAGCAGACTTCGACGACGGCAGTGGCAACTCACATGCAAAGCAATCATTACCAAGAGGATGATACGATCCTCTCACACAAAGTGGTTTGGCAAACCTGCTGAGCGCACGGCAGTTTTCCTTTCACCACTCCAACCTTGCAGCAACATTACACCACACCCTGGCTGGGTGGGAGGCAAGGGTGCAGCCGAAGCAACGGTCACCCGACACAGGCCACTACACACACAGCAAGAAGGGACGCCAACCAGATTCGTGGTTCCAAAGGCAGCCAATGAATCTACCCTTCCCAGCTTACAAGCTAACCACCATGCCGATGCCCATCCTCACTGGGTGGGTGGTAAGGGCGGCGCTGCAGCAGCAACTACCCGACGCAAACAACAGCACAAGCAGGTCAATGATGAGCCTTCTTTGCTTGAAGCGGTTGAGGCTACAACTCGCACAATTCGATTGGGGCTCCTCCAAGAACAACAGCTGCTGGGCGCACTGCAGCAGCTACTACATCGCTACGATGTCAACAGCAATTACCAGGAGAAACAGCAAGACACACGGTGCAAAACTACTCAGGAGCAATGCCAAGGGTACAGCATGAACCTTTGGTCACACCAGCGTGGTGGTCAGCAGTCTTACTACCCAACCACCACGCAGCAAAAGCATTGGAGTACTGACGCTCCGCAACCGGCAGCATGCAAAGTGCAACTTCGCCAGCCACAGCAACAGCAACGTCACATCCAAGGCTTCATCACCAGTGAGTGGCAACACATCCCAAAAACTCACTACTTCAGAAATTATGCTATTGGATGCAATCAGCAACGGCAAAGACCTTCCTGGCAATATCGCTGAGGTCGATGAGCAACAATGAGAAGATATCACCGATGCCTGGCAAGCCTTCGAACCCTCAGAAGGCTTCACCCTTTTCTGGCAGGGCAACACGCCATCTGCAGAAGGCAGCACCAGACGAGTGCGGGCGCAACTTCTCGGCAACAGCCAGTTCGTTCCAACACAGCTGGTCCTACGCAGCTTCGGCACCAACTGCCCTTTTCCCAAAGCAGCCACCATGGCCAAGATCCCACAAGATCTCGCCACACAAGGCCGATGCTCCCTTCGCATCACGGCCCCACAACACTTCCGGCAGGTTTTTCGCAGCAGCAACAAACCAGATGAGCCCAGCCAGATTTTAGCCGAAATCTCCAACTGGCAACTCCCCGCAGCAACTCTTGGTCAGCTCACGGGCGGAGACTGGCAACGGCTTTGGACCAAACAAGGCAACCACATCCAGGGCCACATCAAAGTCAGAAACGCCCTTGCGGAACAATTGTTGAAAAAATCAGGTCACAAAGCCATTTTCTTCACCAAGACGGGTGCAAGAGAGGGGCAAAGCAAGGTCCAATGGCATAAACGCCAGCAAGAAGAGACCGACGAGGACTACTTCAGAAGAGTTGCCAACTTAGCTAGCGGATCAGCCATTCGGTTCCGCACAGGAGGTGCCACTGACCTTGGCACTGACGGCAGTGATACCACCAGCAATGGCCAACGACGTGCTCATTTTGAACTCCAAGGATGTCCAGCCAAATGGGATGACCAAGATCTCATCAGCTTCCTTGAATCCAATCAGTGGGCCGTCCATACTATCCACAGCCAAAGGAAAGGTTACAAAGGTTCCACCACATGGATGATTGATGCCACGTGCCCTGTCAACCCAGATGGGGGCGACAGCTTCTTCTACGAGGGGGACCTCTTCAACATATACATCTTTCCCAGAGCGCCTGGGAGACGCAACAACTCCTACAGAGAACCTCTGCGGGGCCCCGAGCAAAAGTGGGGCACTACAAAGCAGCAACCAAAAGACAAAGCCGAGCCAGAAGAAAGACCGGGCAAACGACACTGCCCGGCTATCAGAGGAGAACATCCCGAGGCCTCTGAACACAGAAGCCTGGATGCAGCTCAGCCAGCCGAAGCGGCTCAAACCCAACTTGACCCTACAACTCAATCCCAAAAGAAGCGGGATGCTCCGGAGCTTGACCAGGCCCCTGCCTTGCCTCCGGACCCTGCCAATCCCGAGCACATTGAGCACGCCATTGCCAGCGGCTGGCAAGAGAAAGATAATGGTGGTGTCGGCGACTGCTTCTTCCGCAGCATTATCAAAGCTGAAAAATCACTGGAACAACAAGGTTGAAACCGACCAGCAAATTATCCAAAAAGCCGCCCTTGACTTACGCCTTGAAGCTGTGAAACACATCCGTAAACATCGCCAAGACTACGAAGCCGCCTGGGTCCACCACGACATGGAGCGTCAATACCAGCGCGCAGGTCAACCACCCCCAAAAGACTTCGATGATTTCCTGACTCAAGCCAGCAAGAAATCCTACTGGGCCAACGAACACCTGATCCAAGCAGCCAGCACCCGCACCGGCATCCCCATCGTCATCTGGCGTGCCTACACAGGTCCTTCTGAACCTACTGCAGAGGTCAACTCCGCTGACGGCAAAACCCCTCAACCTCAACCAGGCAAAAAGCTTTGGCACAGAGGCATTTGGGCTCCTAGCTTCAAACAAGGAATTGCGGCTAGCAATAACAAATGCAAGGGCATCACCCTCATCCTGAGAGCCAATCACTACACTTGCGTGCTTCCACCTGAGCACCAGCAAATACCCCCCACCCCTTGGCTCCGTCAAGTTCACTCTTCCCATCCCAAAAGCGAATGCCCAGGCTTGACGTTAATGCTCCGCGGAGGCATTACACCTGCCTTCTTCCGCCACGGCCCCAGGAACCACCTGCGGCTTGGTTCAGGGAAGCACATGAAACCGTTGAAAGACAATGGGTTGCAGGTGGTCATGATCCCCCGTCCACCCCAGCGCGATCCGTTAGCTTGACCTCCCCCATGGCTGCGCGATGGGGATGCAGCACTCCCAGAACCACCAACAGCAGCAAAAGCATCTCCACGGCCCATTGGGGTACCAGCACGCCCCAATCCACGGCCAAAGCAACGGGCGAGCGCACCTGGACTTGCCACATCTGTGGGACCACGTTCAACTGTGAGTCCAAGCACAAACTCCACTACACTACACCTGCTTCAACCACCTCAAACTGCCCCAGGGCAAGCCTTCGCCTGGCAGTGCGCCTTTTGCAACTACGTCCTGCCTAAGATCAACAGCAGGACCGCCACCATTTTAAAAGCCCGAGCCAAGCTGATTCATCAGAACAAAGCAGCACCAAGCGCCGCCGAAAATTACAAAAGAGCTCGAATGCAAGCAGGAAGTTCCGTTAAGAAGTTCCGTGACAATGCGAGGGACTACAGCAAAGGGGGCCACAAGATTGTTCAACACCACCCGGACAAAAAGTTCTGGTCAGCCGACTTGCACCAAATGTTGGCGATTCTCCACCTTTGGCAAGTCTTGGGACAAACCATGTGGCGGAAGCAAGCAACAGCCATCCCCAAGCCAAATCGCTGCCTGGCACAGAATTGGGCAGCACAACCAAAAGCAACTCTCCATCGCCTGGCAAACCACCTTGGCTAACGCCAAACTCAACTTCACCAAACTTGTTGAGCAAGGCATAGGGCCCCAATCCAGGCCCAACCCATGGATTTACAATCATTTCCATCAACGTCGGAGGTGGCGCGGGCCTCTGGAGAACCCTTCAAGTTTGGAAACCTGACACGATCCTTCGTGTACAGGAAGCGGGCATCCGTCCCAACGAGTGGGAAGCATTCCAACGTTAAGCACACAAACAAGGTTGGAACACCACCTACCAACCTACAGCACAGCACAACACCTGCAAGTCTGGGGTCCTCACCATGGTAACCAGACACTGGCAGCAACTCCCAGGCATCGGATCCCCGCACGGCCGTGCTCAGATCCTCACCGCCTGGGTCAATGGCTTCGCCATCATCAACCACTGTGCACCCCCTGGCAGCCAAGAGGATGCCGCCACCTGCATCCTCGAAGCAGCAGCGCAGCACAACCTCTACAACCAGCACTGGGTCAGGAGATGCCAATGGTCCACCGGACCCTCTCCATTCACCCACTGCAGCAGCACTTTCCACGTTGGCGGCTGACTTCCACTCTGACCATCAGCCCACCACCAACAACGGCAGCACTGCAATTGACTGGTTCGCATCCAGTCCTACCACGAGCAGCACATAGCTCCAGCAAGAAACAAGCTCCATTAGCGATCACATTCCCATCACTCTTCAAGTGCATCAACAGCAACAGGCCAGCCTACAACGTGGTCGCCTCAAGCCACAGCCGCGCTGGCCCAAGCCCAGCCAGCTCAACACCACCCAGTGGAAGCAGCAGCTTCAAAACGCCTGGGATGACATCTCACATTCTCCGCAATCAGAACAACTCCAGCAGAGCATGCAACAAGTACCAACCCAAGGTGGTATACAAACTGAATGGAACCTCTACATGCACTTGATCACGCTTGCCTAAAAAAACCAGCAAGCCCTTACTACTGCAGCGGATAACCACAGTGATGCTGATGATGAAATATGTATGTTGTTGTTGATGGTGATGGTGATCATGAATCATGCTGATAATCATCGTGATGATCATGGTGATCACGAAGAAGAAGAAGATGATGAGGAGGAGGATGATGATGATTATTATTTTGGAGTTGTAAGCGAACACATTGTGGAGTTACACGCGAACTCATTTAGGAGTTACAGGCGAGAAATCGCCCTGGCCGCCGGCACTTAGCGACACTATACCACCCTGACAAATCAGCGTGGGACACACCTAGCCCAAAAGCATTGCCCATTGCCTTACCATGATCCAAAGCACTGGCAACAGTTCCCCGGTAAAGGGGCTGCACACAACAAACAGAGTTCGAGCTCCTATGGTTTGGCTTGCCACATCTTCCCGCAGTTGTCGAAATTTTCAAAACAAAAAAATCCTTGAAACAACACGAGTTGACACTTCCTGGAACCGAAACTCCACCCTCCCTGTCACTTGGGTTCGTTCCCGGCAAAACACAATGGCACGGTGAGTCTAAAACCTTTTTGTTCTCCTCGTCGTCGTCGTCGTTGCTGCTGCTGCTGCTGCTGGTGGTTAATTCCAACCCTCTGTTCCCTGACGCATTTCCCCTTGTTCCATCGAGGTCGGCTGGCATTATATGATATACAGTTCCATATACAACGATTTATAAACATTTTAAAAGATACTACGAATAATAATGACACTGCAGTAGCTTAAAAGTATAGAACTATATTTGAATGGAACTATTCAAGTAGATTTGTAGATCAAATGAATAGAGAAATAAACATATTTATCTAGATAGATAAAGAGATAGATGGATAAATATTTGTGCGTAAGAGTCAGTTTACATGGCCAAACGACATTAAACCACGCCAAGCAACATGTCAGGTGGAGGAGATCATCGGGCCATTCCTATGCAGACTATAGCCCTGTGGCCAAAGAGTCGTTGGTTCATCGCGTTTGCAAAATGGACAAGTCCTTGGAATCATCGGGGATCCAAGTTGACCTCATCGAGAGTCTCAGCAGTGGATATTTTCGGGTTTCTTTGTTCGCTTTAGGATGGCGTCACCCAACCACAGGGACAACGGTATTGCATAGGGCAGACCATATTAGTGGGCCATCACGCTATCGAGTGACACTTCTGTTTATTTTCAGAAAGGCTTGTTGTGGGCGCGCAAAATGCAATGATTTCCCCCAATTTACATTCTTTAAAATTTAAAACAATATTGGCCTTTTGCTGTCCATACACAAACCAGTTCTAGTGGAAATAGAGCTTAGAGTGGTTAACCACCCAAAATGAAACCAAAAAAACAAAAAACAATGTTTGGGGACTACTTGGATCTAGGCATGTTCAGACTAGTCTGGAAAACATTGTTTTTTTTGTTTCTTTGTTTTTTTGGTTTTTGTTGATTTTTTTCTTGGTTTCTTTGGGTTTTTGATTCCTTAGGATTAATCTAGATTAATCCAGATTAACCCAAACCAAATCTGATTCATTTTGCCCCCAAAGCATTCTTGTCAAATCATTATTTAAAAAAATGTATGCTAAACTTGCGCAGTATTCCTTGGGGATGTGCAATTTTCCTTTTCAGGCGTGAAACCTTTGGGGATATAAAATATGTATTTGGTGAAGGAAACCGTTCCTTCAACTAAAAGGTGTTCCTGTCCCAGTAGAGCGCAGCTGGAGTTCTTTGAAAGGAGTGTTACATATTTACAAAGAAATGGTGTGATTGAAAGGATTGTTACATATTTTCAAATCATTGTGTAACTTTCAAAAGAGGCAACTGATTCAATTTTCTTTTTGGTGAGTAAAATTGTTCCTTCAAACAAATGGTGTTCCTTCCAAACAGATGGCAGCTGGGTTTCTTTGAAAAAAGTGTTGTTTTTTTAAAGAAACGGTGCAACTTTCAAACATAAAGGCCAGCAAAACTTCTTTGAGAGGAATGTTACATCTTTAAAGGAATATTTTGACATAATATTGTTTCTGTTGTTGAAACTAAACTGCTTAACCACGATTGCAACTTTAAATTAAGTATTCAATCTTTGAAAAAAACAACATCTGCCTGAAGGAATGTTACCGTGATAAAGGAAGAAACCAGGAATACAGACACTTAAGAACACAATACACATCGTAGATAACACATTGTTTTGAAAAGAATCCAACCTTCACAAACGATTTCTTCCTGAAAAAACATTTGACTAGCTCAAAAGCAACCACCAGCTTGTAAATGACAACAACTTTTTTGGTTGAAGTGGATGCTGTGTAAGGAAAACTGCACTTCTTTGAAGAACCTCATTTCTTCAAAGCATTGTTTGCTGGGAATGTAGCACAGGCATACAACTTAATAGACTATATACAGATAATTTCTCTTTGGGTAATGAAAGAAAGGAACAAAATCTGCATTGCCTGATACTGTTTGCAATTTTGCCTTTAGCTCAATGTGTTGCATTTTCTTTGGTCAACTGCTGCGCTGCGCAGCTCAAACTCATTCAACATTGTTATGTACTTCCACAGCTGTTTGAAAACACCAGGGAGTTTCCTTAATTGTCTAACTGAAATAGGCCTTGTAGATGAATTAAGGTTGTTTTTCAAAGACGACTCATTTTTTTCACAGAATGTGGTATTGTACCACATTCATATGGAAACATGACAGTAGTATATCCCTAGGTTTCAAAACAATATATTTCCATTTTTCACGACCTTTGCCACACAAAAATAAAGATATGTATTGTTTATGAGAAGTACATGACCTGAACTTATCCACTGTATATAATTTTACATTTTATGTTACATACATATTCTGTTGTTCTAAAGGAGTGCATTTTACAGTTGAATATGTGTTTTTCTCTGGGTCAGGCCTCCTCCTTTCAAACATCATATTTGATTATGACCATTTCCCAAGAGATACAAGAACATGAGGAAAGCCTACTTTCCAGCGCTGGCAACAAACCCCTCTCTTTATTTTCTGTTGGAATTGGAATTTGACCGAAAAACAACAAACAATTTGTTTGTTTGGTTGTTGCGGCATGCCAGACAGTGCCAATTTTGCCAGGAACATCAACAAGTACCTGAAGTCCGAGGAAACAGGTCTTGAAGGCTTCTTCACCGGACAGATCCTGTGCATTGTGGCCCTGATTTGTTGGTACCTGATGGTGGCCAAGGAGGCCTGGAGTCACTCAACGCTATTGAAAATGGTGATTTATAATCGATTTACCATGATTTACCTATGACAAATTCTGATTTTCCACTATTTTCCATAGTTTTGCTGGTTTACCAGAGGGTCAATTCATGTTATCACCATCAATTTCCACAGTTTCCAGGGTGCCCCGTGTAGGTGAGCCATGCCTTGGCGTTGCACCGCGGGGTGATGGCCGTTCCACGTGGTGCGACCAAACTCGATACGCGAGAGAATCCCTTCACGCAGGCTGCGAACGTGTGGGAATATGGATGGCTATGCTATGGCTGAGGGTTTGATTAAATGATGGACACCCAAAAAAAACACCAAGATTGATGATTGCAATATTGCGCGGTTAAAGCGTTTGAGGTACGATAAATTGATTGAATCCAGTTCAATTTTCGGATTGAAAAGCACATGAGGCTTGTCACACTGCGGATCTAGCCAGCTTGAAGTTTTCAGTCCACTGTTTTGGCCGTTTCTTGTGACTTGTGGTTGTTAGTAATGTGCTGGCCCTCAGGTAACTCACTATCGCTTGCGCGCAGTAGCGTTACGGCGCAAGATTGCCAGCGGTTTTCTACTCCTCTATCGCTTGCTGGCCGCTGCATTGTTGCTGTATGTGGGTACCAGCTTTTTGGTTTATACAGTAAATGTGACAGAATTGATCCTAAATGCTGTGGCTTTGGGCATCATCCTGGACATTGACGACCTGCTCTTTGATGCCATGGCCACCACACCAGGTCGGCATTTGGTTCATCAGTTGGACCCCCTCCACATGCCATCCTTACCGCGCATCAGGGGTGCTGATGCCAAGTCGGTCTTCATGAGCATCTTCATTCCAGCGCTTACGATCCTGGTGTACTTCTCGATGCTTGAGCCGTTCGTGGGAACTTTGGATGGTGTCAGGATTGCCATGTGCGGTGGAAACCAAAACTTCGTGTGGAGCATGGACAAACGCCGCATTACACAGCTGTCACCGACATATGGTGGAGGCTGGGAGGAGGAGGAAGGGAGCATCAAGAAGCTTGGAATAAGCTTGAAGCAGACTGAGACTGAGAAGATTTTCGGGGAGGCATCTTGTTGCACTATGTTATTTCTTATATACAAAAACAAACTTTTGGATTGTGGCTTATATGAAGATGAACCACTTGTAGTTTCTACTCAAAAGCTAAGGTGCTTTGTTCCATCATCCCTGCATTTCAATGTGCCATCAGGACAGATGCGATTATGGAGGGCGAAAGTCTCACATCTGGTTTTACGGTCAACAACTCCCGCTATGGCTTCTGGGTCAACAGTGTGTCACTCAGTGTGCTGACGCTGCTCAGTTGTTCGACTCACTTGGTTTGATTGTAGATTCGGAAGATCATATGCCCCATCACCTCCCCTGTATGTCACCACTGTCACCACAGTCACCGCAGTCACGGTACCGACATCGTTTCCCACATCTTTGTGTGGGGCTCTTGTATTTGGTTGTGCACTCCCATCCGCGTCCGTCCGCCCCGCCTCTTCCTCCCCGCCTCCTCCTCCCGCCCCATGTCCTCCCACACCCTCACACCCACCCACGCACCCACGCACCCACGCACCCACGCACCCACGCACCCACGCACCCACGCACGCACCACCCCGCACCACGCACCCAACCCACGCACCCACGCCCACCCACGCACCCACGCACCCACGCACCCACGCACCCACGCACCCACGCACCCACGCACCCACCAACCCACCCACGCACGCACGCAGGCAGGCACGCACGCACGCACGGACACGCACACACACACACACAGACAGGCACACACGCCCCACTAGGGGGCAAAGCTTGTTATGGCAAAGATGAGCTTGCATTGTTGTATGAAAATGTGCAATAAACTATGCCTTGTGTTAGAAGGGTGTACACACACACACAGCTTACTCACACACAACTTTCTCACCCACACAACTCTCTCACACACCAAAACTCTAACACTCTCACACACACACAACTCTCCCAGACACAGCACCCTCACACAACTCTCTCACACACAAGGTTCTCACACACAACTCTCTCACGCACAACTCTCGCAGAACTTACTCACACATGACACAACCCCCTCGCACACACACAACTCTTTCACACACACACATCTGACCCCAACAGCTCTCTCGCACGCAACTCTCTCATACCTACCTTTTCACACTATCTGCCTTCCACCATCTCCAAAGAACTCACACATACACGTACTTTTATCAAATACATTATATATATATACATATATATATAATTATATATATGTATATAAAACCTTCTCACACACACAACCTTCTCACACGGAACTCTTTCACTCGACCTGTCTTCTGCCATCTTTGTGTCTTTCCTGCCTTTCCTATCCCGTGTTCACTTTCTTTTGCGACTTATTGGAAGAAATTGACATGTGGGCTTATCCGGTCCGGTATTTTTTTCGTTCAGGTCAGCCTTCCAGGGAACTTCCAGGGCTGAGTCTGGCTCAGGTGTGAATGTGCTGAGTGACCAAAGTGTAATGAGCCTGGACAGCATGGTGGACAGTGCCAACGGCAACTGTGGGGACATTGGGAATGAAGAGCCAATGCTCAACTATCTCCGCGACTTGGTGATATCAAACACTAAACTGGACTGGTCCTGGCCCCCCCACTAGGATGGGATGCCAAAAGATGTTACACGTTTTTTCCCATGAACTCTGCAAACATCAATCAATGATGACCGCTCACCCTTACTTACCCCAACTCTTTGGGTTGACACATGAAATACTGTAATCATCTGTTCGTCAATTGAGTCAATTGCCAGCGGTCAGCTCACACACTTGGAACATGTCTTAGTCTTGAGTCTTGAGGATACTTCCTGGCAAATGATAGCATTCAGGGATGTGCAGATGCAGCACCTAGCTGCAACTCAATCACCAAGATGCCGGAATACGCCGTTGATGATGGCAACCTGGCTTCATGGAAAATTGATGAAGCCTCGTACCATCTTGACATATTTTGTCCCCTTTTGGCAACTTTCCGGATTCTTTTGTGTTTGACAAGTAGATTGTGGAATCCATTCGACCCGCTGGTCTTTCTTTTCGAAGCCAAGCGATTTATCTTGGAAGAGCTACTGCTTCATGATTGTTTTCTTCAGCAAAGGCAGCTAAGTTTAGGGCCTGTGTCGCCCACTGAGGTAAAGGATATGCTGCAAGAATGTTGTGTTCTGCAACCTGTGGCTGTAATATACCGGGAGGAGAGTTCATCAATGTGCAAGGTTGTCCATATGGTGATACCCGAGCCTGTGATACCACTACAGAAAAACAGAATTTCGTCGCAAGTCCCTTGGAACATGTTGAATTGATTGCATTGATGTTTCGGAGTCTCTCAAAGACATGGAAAAATAATGCAAAAAAACATGATGTCATGGTATATAACGAGTTGAATTTCCCAACTCCTTTGTCACCTGGAAGATTTGGACATATTTGGAAGGGCCTGGAAGTTTGAAGTTTTGGTTCGCTGGGAAAAATGGGTCATAGGGCTCCCTTGACGTCTTGTCCTTGTATTTATGGGGCACCCAAGGTGCAGTCTGCGTGGAAAAGAATGCATCGAGTCTGAGAGCATATCCTCCATGGAAAGCCTGGGTTCAGACCATTCGTTCATATGGAAACCAGGCATCAAATTATTTGTCTGCGAAGCCTGATGCCCTGATTTTGGCACAGGCCATGGAAGACAATGGCTGTGGCTTTTTGGCCAACTTGAGCGCGCAAAACATTTCGCTGGGCGGTTGCTTCAGCTGGAACAGCACGTTCTCTTGGGACTTCAAGACCCTGGAGGTCTTCTGCCCCGTGACTTGTGGATGTGGGTCAGACAGCCCTCGAGGGTCTGGCTGTCCAACACCCTTTGGCTACACCTGCAGTGGCGGAGAGGTGCAAGGATGTTTGACTTGGGATGGCAAGCATTTCTGTGAAGGGTTCAATGCCGAGGTTCTTCGCGCAGACATCTTGTTTTCCATTGTTGATTTCCTCATGGCGCAAACTGACTTGGTTTCGTCAGTACTTTTATTACTTTTCTACCTGAAATGTCCTTTGTCTTCAAAAGTCACGAAGCATACGGTTTAGTTAGTAGTGTCTGAGAACTTTGCAATGAGGAGTGACTATGCCTCGGAAATTATGCTCGCGTTGCAGACAGCACTTGCGCAGAAAGCAAGTGTTACACAGCCTGTTCACCCACAGACCATCCAATTGGATCCTCGGCTAACACACCGTTAACACAAGCAGCTCCTCATGGCAGGCTGCTGCCTGGGAAGACGCAAAGAGCACAAGAGGAGTATACAAGGTAACAGGTGACAGTCGTTCTGGAATGGACCAAAAACATTCTGGGACACCAAACTGATCAGACTGGAATGAAGCCTGTTCTTGGTACAGACATACTCATGGCATCCTGAAAATCTAGGCCTGATACAGGAAGCAACAAGCTGTGGAACACAAGGCCAAAACGCAGGTTTCAGTTGCTGTGGACAAGTTTAACCTGCAAGCACCCTGCTCCATGCCCATACCCTACTACAGCTTTTTGCTCGTATGCTTTGACATGCCAGCATCATTTGAGTCCCTCTGAGCATCCTAGGTTTTCCGGAAAAAGAAGGTTTAGAGTTGCCATGAGTTGCCACAGCTTGCGGTGAGGTTTCGAGGATTTTAGGGGATTTAGTCCTGGGATGTCCTGGGTGTGCTGAAGCTTTTGAGGCTACAAGAGGGCTACAAGCAAATCGTTGATTGTAATGAGGCGGATGCCATTTTTCTTTGCGAAAGCGGTCGAATTTGCTTGTAGCCGTGGTAAGTGAAAGCACCTCGAGCTTTCTTTGTGCAGTTCCAACGTTGGCTCAGGAACTTAACTTTGATTGGGAACTTTCAGCGAAGGGGAAGATTTGGCTGATAGAGGATGGAATGAATGCCACTGAAATGACTTCGGCACTCTTCTCCACTACACTTGCAGACCTCCAGGTGCGGGACAGGACTGTCGATAACGATTTTCAAGCAACGTTTATGAGAGAAACTGAGAAACCTCCTTGTTAGAGAGATTCAGAAACCCAGAGAAAGAGTAGGCCAAAGTAGAGAAGAGTAGGTAGGAGTAGAGTGAAGAGTAGAGTAGAGTAGAGAAGATTGGAGTGGAGTAGAACAGAGATGTCAAGCAGGGGACAGCTGAGTAGAGATGTCAAACAGATGTCAATAGAAAGGGATGCCAAAAGAAAAAGATGTAAACAGAAAACTTTCTCAAGGCACTGTTGTTCTGACAGGCATTTTGTAGGCACGTGCCTCTGCCCTTCAGGTCTCATGAAGCCTCCGCCCCCCAGCTTTCCCGTGAACTTGTACAACTGCTATAATATTTCTAATATAATATATATATATTATGTATATGTATGATATCATTTACCATCATATCTCATCGAAGCAGATCATACTAGTATGATATAACTCAGTATCCATCAATCGTTGATCATTACGCATTTCCAACGGACATCAAAGAATTGGCAACATCACAGTGGAAGCGAGTCAGAGGTTGCACAGGTGCATATGATGGCTGGAACATCCCCTGACGTTCGAAGGGTTCGGATTTTGTTTGGGCACGGTTCAACTGTTCATTAACTGTGGCGCAAGCGAAGTTCAGCTCGGTTTAGATTTAGTGGTGCTCCTTTGACACTCTTTGAATTTTTATGTTTCAGCAAATAGAGGTCATACCTCCCCGTCATTTTGGGGGAATCCAGTGGTCAGTGGTCATCGTGAGAGGTTGCAGTCGATAGCAGTTTGCAATCCTTTGGAGTGCCAGTAAACGACTTGGGATTTGCCTTGACATCATTTAGTGCTTTGGCAGCAGGCGGCAGCAGGGATACCAGGTCTCTGAGAGTGAGGTACTGACCTCTGGGCTTGGCAATTTTACACTTGGATACACTTAGATCCACTTTGCTTGGGAGTTGTGGGATGGTTGACGCCGAAGGTGCCCCGGATTTTCTTTCACCATTCTTCCTCAAAACTCGCTGTGTCAGGTAACATTGTAACATTATGTATATAAGCAGAAATTGCTTCAAAAATGTTGCCCCAGCACCTAATGGAAGAAGAAGACAGGTTTTGGGTGGTTCCAGTCATCTGCGGAGCTGAGTTCCATGCCCTGAGCTAAGGCAATCCTGATGCCATTTACGGCCCCTACGGCGCAGATGGTTACGGAGACGGCTATAGCCTGCTCAATGACATCCGGGACAAACTCACTTAATATCATTGATACCGAAGGAGATGATATGAGATGCCTGAGAAAAAGGAAAGTTTGAGGGGCACCGGATATACAATTGTCGTCGAGACTTGTTTGGCCACCCCTGAGATGTGCCAGTGAAGTGTTGTTCCTTCCGCTGGACAAAGATCATCACTGGGAGTGCTTAGGAAAATTAGGAAATGATCCGGCTGAGCTGGCTGCCAGAAACATGTATAGATCACTGGTTTTACAATGTTTGGGCATTGGCAGTATTTGTCAAGAGCAGGTTGACGTCGTCACTTTCAAGATTTCTGTGGCCACTCCTTCCGCAGCAAGACCCACGTTAGCCTGCAAAAATTCCGAAGACGACTTGCATGCCCCTAAAATGTTTATCTTTTGGATTCTTTTGTGGCTGGCGTATGCTGGCGTGCATATTCTCGGACAACACCTGGTGCACAACTTCAAATTCTGAATGACGGACCATGCTCCTGAAATACACCCAGAACTAGAACCCTGAATCACACCAGAACCTCTAAAACCCTATACAAAGGTGGTGACAAAGCCGTTGTTTTTTTTTGTGAGAAAATGCATAAAGAATCTCGCCCAAACGGAGTTTGATTGCTGGATCGTGTTTGTTCGCGTGGGCAAATGTGGGTATCTTTTTTCGGACCTGTCATATCAATGTGTTTGGACTCTTCTGACCGAAGGCCAGAGCGAGTCCATGCAGTTATAGTTATTCACTTGCCAGCTATCACATGATAGTCGTCGCCGACATTTGGGACGAAGTGTTGTTTGGTTGGCTGTTTGATGTTGCTTTAGGCTTAAGGTCAAAAGTAGTATGCCCCCTCCTTGCAACAAGTGCAAGAGAGGGATTGCTCAGGAAGCCGACACCTGGTGCCTGGGGTGTAGCTCCCTAGAAATCTCCCAGGGGCTACTACGTCAGACGTGGAAGCACGCTGGGCTGCGCGCCGTGGCCGAAGAGGCGCTGCTGTCAAGCGCGCGCCTGGTGAGGGCGTTCGGGAACTTGGACGGATCGCTGGGGGGGCCTAGCGCTGGGTCGGCCGCCCGTGCGCCTGGCCTCACCACTGCGGCGAAGTCCAAACCTGCAGTGCCACCGCGGTCGCGCAGCCCTAGGCGTGACGACCGCCCCCCGCTGGTCCGGTCGCCGGGCCGTGCGTCACGGGGTGGAAGCGCAGCTCCACCGCGTCCGGAGTCCGAGTCAGAAGACTTCGACGAGGACGAAGAAGAGGAGGAGGAGGAAGACGAGCCTGCGACGGAGGTGAAGAGAGAGCGGGACGGCTCGAGGAGGCCGCCAGAGCCTGAGGGTCCCCCTCCCAGCAAAAGGGAGGCCACTGAACGCAGTGAGAGGAGCCCAGAGGGGCGAAAGGAAGAACGAAAGAAGCGTAGGGAAGGTGAGAAGAAGTCAAGAGGAAAGCGTCGCCGTGGGGGGACGCGCCATCAGAGGAGGCACAAGGATCAGGAGAACCCTTTTCGGAGGAGTCACAGGCGGCTTAAGGCCGACCAACTGGAGCTGGCATCCAACCTCGAGGAAGGGTTGGAGCGGCGTCACTGAAGCAACCCCTTGCTGCCAATCGGCTTGCAATGGCGGAAGCTTCAGATGCCGAGGATTCACCTGCCCCCGAAGGACCGGGGGTGCCTACTCCTGCCGAGATCCGGCAAAATCTGGCTACTCAGCCAAAACCTACAACTCCGCAGGCTTACAATGTGGAAGAGGCAGATTTCTGGCGGCATCGTCATGTACCACCAGGTTCAGTGGTGCAGTTCAGGTCACTTGGAGAAGACAACAACACCGACGAAGGGCTGGTAGCGGTCCTAGTCAAGCGAAGTGTCTCCCAAGAGACTGGCATGTGGCTGGAGGTCGACCTGCTGGGGGCAGAGCAAGAGCAGTGCAAGAAAGCCCTACAGGCATATTTCAGAAAAGGGCGGCGGCAGGTTCACATCTGCTACTATGGAACTGCAGGGGTCTGCCCGGCTCTAGAGGAGAATGGACTCCATTTGAGCCTATTTACATGGTTCCCTCCGGGCGACTTCGACGCTGCTTGGTTAAGCGCTGCGTCCAAGAAGAAGGTCAAGGGAGGAGTCAACATGATGATCGACTCTCAACGCGACGCTGGCGCTCGTTCGCCGCGCGGCGCTCCAGGTATAAGCAGGACCGAAGAGAGGCTGGCCGCCCTGCGGCCTGGTCGTCCCAGGGTCTCTTTTGCACCCGGCACGGCGTTGCCTCCTTTGAGTCGAGCAGGAGGTGGAGATGCGGGTGGCTTCCAGGATGGAACCTCTCAAGAAGGGGAGAGGTCTTCTCCTGCGGCGCCTCGGAACCGGCCCGAGCTGAACTTGGTGAAGGCCGAGGTGATAGACTTGACAGGGAGCCAGCCGAAGGCGAGCAGCTCAGGCAACTCGGGCAAGAAGTCCAAGATGGCCGGTACGCTGGCCCTTGCGGCCGTAGCGCATCAGGAGGCCTCTGTGCGGAAGGATCGAAAGGAGCGCGAGAGGAGCCGGAGCAAGAAAAAGAAAAAGAGGGACAAGAGGAAGCGAAAGCGATCCGAAAGCAGGTCCAGCTCTTCTGCAGGGGACAGCACAACCGAGAGCAGCAGTTTGCTGCCCCCGTTGAAACGGAAGAGCCAGAAGCGTCCCGGTTCAGTCATGAAGATGCTGGAGCAGCAGGCCTTCGATTTCTTGGCACAAGATGGTGTCCTCGACGAAGCGCAAGAGGTGTCGGAGCTGGGCAGCCGCCCCAAGCTCTACACCTATTACCAGCTGGGCTTGAAGCCCGGGCTGGACCCTCGCAGTCGGGACGCCAAGGAAATGGCCCTTCTCTGCAAGGCCCTGGACGTTTTGCGAGAGGGGAAGCTAGATCAGCTCGGCGACCTTCTCGCTGCCAGGCTGATAGCGGTGGATACCGCCACAAGGCAGGGTTGGGCCACCGCAAAGCACCTGGAGATCCTGAACCCGGACGAAGAAGGAACCGCCCCGGCACACATCCTCCTGCAAGCACAGAAGCACGGAAAACAGGTGGAGAAGGCGGGAGGAAAAGGCTCCTGGAGCCGTTCCCAAGGCTGGGGGTCCGACTGGTATGGGGAGCCCCGCCAGAAAGGAAAAGGAAAGGAAACAAAAGGAAAAGGGAAAAAGGGCAAGAGCAAAGGAAAAGGAGGCAGGGGCTGGAACTATTGGGGCACCGGAGACAAGGAAAAAGGCGACGGAAAGAAAGCCCCCGAGGCCGCTGCCTAGGAAGGCTTGAGAGAGAGAGAAGTCCTGCTGGTTCAAGCGACCGTGCAGGAGTTGGCACAGGAGTTGCCGAGGTGCAGACAGCAGATATGAGCCAGGAGGCTGGCGACACCGCTTTCAAACGTTTGAAAGTGCCGTCAGGAAGCCTGGACCAAAAGGAGGCAAATTCCTTGGGGAGTGCTGAGACAAGCCATTCTCGGGCACCCTCGAGCTATGAGGGGTGGATTTCACTTTTGAGCCGAACTGCTGATTTGAAGCAGCTTGGAATAGCACTGGCATGGGGGTATATCAGTGGTCACCTGCTCTTTAGTCAGCAGAGTGCTGGGCCGTCACGACTCCCAGTCTCAGCCCGCCGCACTGGTGAGTTGTTCCCCCTGCCGGTGCTCTGGCCAGATAATTTTTCGGAGGCATGGCAACAGTTCCATGCCCGTAGCTGTACAGTTTTTTCCATTGAATGTTGGGTAGCCCTAAGTTGTGCTACCCTTAATTCCCTGTATGGTTGTCCTCAACTAGAGACTGGCAGACGACCCGGAAAAGTGCATGCAGAAGCCCTGAAGGGCCTTAGAGACAAGGTGGAGAGATTTTTAATTGGGGAGAAACCCGTTTCCTTTTCTTTTGAGAGCGTAGTTAGTGAGTTGAAGGATAGGCGAATTAACTATGTGGGGGAAGAGGTAGCCAGACCGTGTGCGCTGAGCCTGGAGCAAATTCAAAGTAGTCTCCCCCCTGTAGGTCACGGTGGAAGTATCCCGGTGGTTTCCTTTTTGGAGGGGCGCACAAAGTTCCTTGTTGAACACCCGCTGGAAAACTTGATTCCTTTGCGGGATAGACCACCTGGGAGCATGCAAGCACGAGTCCATATTGAAAAGGGTGAAGAGCTAAAGGTGTTTCAGCTGCTGGAAAGTAGGGGCGTGACTTCATGGTTGCCTATTGAAGAGGTCTTTTGTGATGGTTCTGGTGAGTGTTTGAACGGTTTGTTTGGAGTGGTCAAACCAGGAAAGTACACTTGTTCTCACGCCCCTGTACTTCGAGTCATCATGAACTTCATTCCCACCAACCGACTTTTTCAGGTGATATGTGGCGACATCCAACTGCTTCCTCACGGTACAGCTTGGCTACCCCTGGTACTTTGCGAAGGAGAAGAACTTAGGATCTCCCAAGGAGATATGTCGGCCGCATTCTATCTATTCGCCTTGCCGGAGGTGTGGTATCGCTATATGGCCTTCAATTATCGAGTCCCAGGCGAACTTATTGGAAAAACAGCTGGACGGGTTTTCCGTCCGTGCTGTAGGGTATTGCCCATGGGCTGGAATTCCTCGGTAGGGGTTATGCAGATGCTAAGCCGCCAGCTCTTGCTTTCTCAGGGACTCTCAAGCAAGTTGGAGCTGCACCGAGGGCAGCCTGCCCCGACTTGGTTCACTCGAGTAGTGGATCAGGCTTCAACGACCCGTGCATGGTGGCAAGTGTATTTGGACAACTTCATGTCGGCAGAGGCATATTGCGACACGTATGCAGAGGTGGACATGAAACTTCAAGAAGCAGCTATGGAGGCATGGCATGGTACAGGAGTACTAACCGCTGACGACAAACAGGTTTTGGGTGCGTCATCAGCTACTGAGTTAGGGATCAGGTTGGATGGCCAAGCTGGCCTAATGGGTGCCTCTGCAGAACGGATTTTCAAGACATGCCTGGCTACCGTGCGGGTCCTGGAGACCCACGCAAGGAGCCTAAAAGAAGCGCAGGTGGTACTAGGACGCTGGGTCTTCATCCTGCAGTTCCGGCGCCCCGCCATGGCAGTTTTAGCGAGAGCTTGGAACGCGCTGGAGACGCCTTGGCCATCCGTGCGCGCTCGGAACGAGCTTTTGAAAGAGCTTCAGATGCTGCTATGTCTGAGCACCCTCTTACAGATGGACATGCGCAGCGACTATGACGAACTGGTCACATGCTCTGACGCGTCGGAGCAGGGAGGAGCTGCAGCCGCTTCATCAGGCCTCAGTTGGTCTGGGCGCACGCTGGTGAACACCTTGCGTGACCCTCTGGCAGCACCCATCGAGGTACCGGTCTTGGTGGTATCCGCCTTCAATGGCGTGGGTGCGGCATTCCGCATATATGACATATTAGGAGTGCGCCCGTTGGGAAAGATTTCGATCGAAATCAGCCGCGAGGCAAACAGGGTCACGCGAACCGCCTGGCCGGATGTCATGGAGCTCTTGGACATAGAAGACCTTACGCTTGCCCAAGTTCGGCAATGGGCAAATCTCTGGCCACGGGCCCTTGAAATCCACTTGTGGGCAGGCTTCCCATGCGTGCACCTTTCCAGTGTAAGGGCGTATCGACGCAACCTGGACGGAGACGGCTCGCGGCTGTTCTGGAAGCTGCTGGAGCTAATTGGATGGCTGAAGGAGGTGTTTCTCCCCACGGCAAAGGTGAAGTTTTGCGTGGAAAACGTGGCCTCTATGGATGAGGCTGCCAGGAAGGAAATCTCCAGCCACCTTGACGTCCAGCCGGTGAAATTTGACCCATCGGACACTTTGCCCTATAACAGGCCTAGGTTGGCGTGGTGCTCAGAGGAGATCTTCGAGATGGAGGAGCTCAGTCTGTGGACAGAGGGCGACTATGTCCGCGCCTACGTGGAGACTGGTTTCATTCAGGACCACCAATGGATCCGACCTGGCTGGCATTGGCCAGCTGGTCAGGAGCCAGGGGTGAAGTTTCCAACCTTCATGAAGGCTATTGCGCGGGATCGTCCACCACCATATCCTGCAGGACTTTCCAAAACTACGGTACAGGGGAGACATCGATGGAGCGAAGATCGGTTCAGGTTCCCGCCATATCAATATATGGACAACTACTTGCTCCACCACGCGGAGAAGGCACCCAGGCTCTTAGATTCCTCAGAGAGGGAGCTCATGCTGGGGCTGGGCCCCGGGCATACGAGCGCCTGCAAGTCGGCATCAGAGGCAAAGACCAGCTGGAGGCAATATGAGGATTGTCGCCTTAGCCTATGTGGCGACTCCTTTGCCATACCCTCTTTTGGTATTGTGGGCGCTACTTTGCTGGCTGAGTTGGTCCCTCGGATGCGACCGTCTACAATCATCCAGCGGCTGGGCCTTGCACCCGGGAGTTCAGTTCATCCCAGAGTGCTGGTCCCTCTCTCTCGCTGGTTGGCCTATGGAGATAAAGGTGAACCTCCGGTTGCTGCCGACCAACTCGTCAGGTGCCTCGGATTGCAAGTTAATCACACTGGGTCCGACGTCCGAGTGCTTACGGGGGAGCCCATGTCAAAGAAGGGTTCGCACGGATCCATGAGGGCTTGGTGGTGGCAATGGAAGCACCTATTTAAATGTAAATGGGTGAACCCTGCCCATATTAACTACCTAGAGATGAAGATGATCTTGCTGACCTTCTTGTGGAGGTGCCGCAATCCAAACTCAGTAGGAAAACGCTGGCTTCATCTCGAAGACAGTATGGTCTGTCTCTACATCCTCACCAAGGGGAGAACATCCAGTCGCTTGCTGCAGCCTTTATGCAGCAAGATCTCGGCCGTTCAACTCTTCATGGGGGCCACCGCTTTACATGGGCATGTGACAAGTCTGGAAAATCCCAGTGATGCTGCCAGCCGTGCATGACTAGGGGTCACCTCCCCCGGGTCGTGCTGGCAGGCCGCAACAATGCGGATCGAAGACGGAAACGGGCTGGCATCAGACTCCGGGACTTCACGATCAGTCAAAAGACAAAGGAAAGGTATGAATCAGCCGTGGCTCGCGTGCTGCCGTTCCTGGAGGCGCAACCAAACCTGGATGACCTTGACTCTATCCTGGTTGAGTGGATCGAAGTTCAGTGGGTACGTGGCGAACCACTTACCTATATAGCAGACTGCCTGTCAGGTTTACACTTCTTTTGGCCCGATTTGAGGGGCCTTCTTCGCCAAGCATGGCGCCTTTTCAAAAGTTGGCGCCGCATCGAAACACCTTCAAGGGCGCCGCCCATGACCGTTGCGCTGGCTCAGGCCTTTGTCGCGCGGGCCGTGGCGCAGCACAATCTGGCTTTCGCTGCCCTCATTGCAATCGGCTTCCATGGATTGCTGAGGACGGGCGAATTGCTCTCGCTCAGGTTCAAGGACATTGAGGTGTCTACCATGTGCGGGGTTGTCAGCTTACACGAAAGCAAAACAGGTCAAAGGACGGGGTCAAAGGAAGCTGTCGCCTTGCGTGACCGACTCACGCTCCAGCTGCTGGAAACATTGGTTTCCGTGCAGTCTCCTTCCCCTGGCGACTTGCTCTGGCCTCATTCGGCCCAAAGCTTCAGGCAGACCTTTCGTAAGATGTCTGATTACTTTGGTGTCCAAGCTTTGCAGCTGAAACCCTATTCTCTCCGAAGGGGAGGAGCAACTTTTCTCCTTCAAAGTGGGACTCCGCTGGAGGTAATCTTGCTCCGTGGTCGATGGAAGTCCCTAGGCGTTGCCCGCCTTTACCTCCAAGATGGTCTGGCGCAACTTCCTGCGCTAAGGCTCTCCAAAGTGGTTCAAAGGCATGTTGCTGGTTGGGCCGCCGAAACTCCGGCAACGGCCTTCCGGCCATGAGTCGGGGCCATGGAAACAGGGTCAAGAGGCTTGTAAGGTGAAAAATTTTTGCACCAGGCCATACCAGTTGGACCTTGGTTGAATGAAGAAGCCGTCTCACCTCTGTCCATACCAGTTGGACTGGTGAGCGGGCTCAGGAAAGATCGCCATACCAATTGGCGATGCTGTTTGAAATTGAATAAATGTGGATTCCTTAAAGGTTTTTAGACGACCTACGGTCCAGCACAGCCAAAAAGAACCACTGCTGAGTCCCTGATAGTCGTCGCCGACATTTGGGACGAAGTGTTGTTTGGTTGGCTGTTTGATGTTGCTTTAGGCTTAAGGTCAAAAGCCCTCCTACACCCTCCCTTGCTGGTTCTTGCGACCGTGCAAAGGGAAACAGGGTCAAGAGGCTTGTAAGGTGAAAAATTTTTGCACCAGGCCATACCAGTTGGACCTTGGTTGAATGAAGAAGCCGTCTCACCTCTGTCCATACCAGTTGGACTGGTGAGCGGGCTCAGGAAAGATCGCCATACCAATTGGCGATGCTGTTTGAAATTGAATAAATGTGGATTCCTTAAAGGTTTTTAGACGACCTACGGTCCAGCACAGCCAAAAAGAACCACTGCTGAGTCCCAATAATTATAATTAATATGCGAGTTCTGCCTGATTGAAGCGACTCCGGAACCGGAACAGGACCCTCACACAAAGGGGTGATCCAGCATGTGGATCGGTCCTCAGCTTCATGATAGTTGCCTCATGTTGCCTCCCTGCACGTGAAAAAGCGTGTGCCTGGCTTAGAATGGACACGGCTTGGAATGGACATGAACGGACACTTTGGCTTCAATCACCCTCAATTAGTCACGGTTATGTCACTAGGTTGGTGCAGGAAACCGGATTCTGATGCGGTACGGCTCCAGCCCCCATACTCGGCTCCAGCCCTCAGCCATGGGGAGCATCCGGTAGTGACCTCAGAGGTCAATGGATCCGTTACTCATTGGCTTGGTTCCATTTACTATAGGAAAGCCTGGGGTTTACACTCAACAAATTTGGTTGTTCGTTCCTGCAAAATATCCCTTCATCCATAGGAATTATGCATCCATCAATTGGAATTTGGCTGCGGACTAACAGACATGGAGAATCAGATAGTCAAACCATACTGGAAAGCTTGATGATCACCCCTGTATCCATCAGAAATGCCTGCCCTCTCAGGTAAAGAATTCCTGGCGGTTCAGGGCTTAGACACCTCCATGGACGGATGAACTTATCTCAGGAAGACTTTTGGACATGGGACCTTTCGGCGAACCAATAAACTAGCCCTTGCTGCTTGCAAACCAAGTTATGAACCAACTTGGACGGCGATTGAGTCTTTATCAGGCTATGGGTCAAAATTAGGTACCCCAAAATTATGGATGGTTAATACTAAACTAGACTTTTCCATCTGTGGTCCCCTAGGTCTTCCATTTTGACCCACATCCAGTGGGCCCGTATTGTTGGGGGCGGCTCAGGTCACGGACCCTGGCGTGTGCACCCTGCGCTGCTGCTTGGAGAACAGCGACGGGCGGCGGTAGATGGGGATGGTGTAAGAAAATGGAAGATTTGACACTGCAAAATTGCATTTTTTACAGGGAACATATGGGAGAATGATGATGATAGACCAGAAAGATTTGGGGTTAAGACCTATGGCCCAATATGAGTGGGATGAACATGCATAAATCATCATAAATCCCAGCTATTTTGGGATGAAGAGAATGGTACCAGTCCTGTTCTCTTGATTTTGAACATTACCTTTGGATGGTGATGTGCCTAGAATGGAACCTCTTACGACAGGCTGAGTTTGTATGGAGGGATGGCATATGGCAGATTTGAACTTGCACCATGTCCCAACAGGTCCTGACAAGCCTACCTCACGCGATTTCTACTCGCACTCTACTCAGTCGCTTGGGGATTGGCCGTAAGGCCGGTTGACCGTGAGGTTTGATGGTTGCCCTTGATGGTTCCTTGATTTGATTTTCTGTTCTGGACAGTGTATCGGACCATTGGATTTTTCAGGGTTTGCAATTTGAGAAGGACTTGCACACCTTGCTGATTGGTTGGTATTCCAGGCTGCTTCACAGATAAATATACATGCCACGTAGTCCAACCTGGGTGCCTATCGTTGAACTGAGGAAACTAGACGCATTTGACTATACTTTGAAGATCTTTGAAGGCCGATTCAAAGGGCAGAATGCTTGTCAGGCTTTGATTCCAAGTGCCAGTGGGCATGATTTCAAACTACCAGCAACCTTGCAGACGTGTGCAGGTTCAATGGAGAAGCCGCTTTTTCCAGGCAGGACAAAATTTTGGATACCATGCTTCGCTTTCAAAGAGAGTACTGCCAGAGTTTTTACAAGCGGTTCCTGTCATGGGCCACGGCCGTCAAAGGTCCAGTCTTCGTCCAAAATCCAGATGGCAGCATTGCACCAGCCTTACAACTTGAGAGATTGCGGAGCCACCAACGACGCCTTGAGCCACGGGCTGAGGCTCAAGGAATTCCACCAGGTTTCCAGGAACCTTCGGCACCAGGTACTCCTCGATTAGGTGCCACTTGGCGCAAAGAAATACAGCAGTTGGCCCAGGGATGATCAACAGATGACTTTGGGTTCTCAGGGTATTGTAGTTGGGGTAGTTAGTGAGTATTTGGATAGTTTCACAATATGGAAGTCTGTTGGAACTCGGTCTTTTCCATATCTTGACATGTCTTTCTGGATGCCTTAACATAATTGGTTCATGTTCTGCAGCCAAGGGTGGAGACATGAACTTCAACACTTTGAGTTGCGCGGCAGCAATGGAACGCGTTTTTGGCTGCTCACTTTAACCGGGAGGGAACCAAGTGGCTGTACCTTACCAAAAGATACCAAAAGCTTTGCGCAATGAAATTGAGAATTGAGAGACAGAAGAAATGTGCCAACTCAATGATGCATAAGAAACTTGCACAGGATATCACAGAACGGTGATAGCCATGGCAGAAGATACAGAAGTGCTGCAAGTGCCCCTGGATCCAGGTGCTGATATCGTAAGAGTCTTGGCCCGCCACGAGGCAATTTTCTTGGCTCTCATGGCGGGACTCCCAGTGTCATAAGACCCGCACTGCATCATGGTAAACCTTGCATGAAACTCAGGTGTTTCTCCTGAGTGTTTTCAATCAAAATCGACGATGTTCTTTCCGGGCGCGAGGTGATGCACTTGGCAGTGGTGTGTAGCTTCCAGTACATCGAGCTCCAGTGCCAATTATTATGAGTCCAACATGGCGCAAGTATGCGGAAATTCGTACAGGATAACTTCGTATCGTTTAAAGAAAACTTCTTCAGACTTTACTTGGGGATGCAGTTCCAGATATGGTCAGATATATAATCACTTGTAAAACTGGGGTTATATCCCAGTTTATGGGGGTTATTACCATGGAGAATCTATCAAGAACCCCAACTACACCCCCAAGTACCGTCTTTCCTGGGTATCCTGGGTGGCAAACTCGCCAGCAGGTACGAAGAAGATGCCGTGACGGAGCTCACTTTGATCTACCCAGACCTGTCTCCAAGCAGTACTGCCGGCAAGTTTGTTGGAGGATACCATTTGCTGGAACTGAGTATGGATCTCTGAACCTCTCTTGATGTTGATTCAACAACTACTGTACATCGTCAATAAATTCCCGCGCTTGTTGTTGGTTTTTGCCTATTGCATGGATCTGACGGCTCCAAATCAACCAGCAATTGCGTCAATATTATCAGTTCAAAGTTCGAACTCAAATTCCTTCAAGCGCTGAGGCCTTTAATTTAAGCAATGCTGGTATTCGGTATTCTTTTAAACACTTTGGTGCGAAGCACGGTACATGTGGACACTCGTGTGAGAAGCCCTTGCTGTGCGCCAGCCATCCGATCGCTTCACTGGCTGGCGTTCGTTGGTGCGATCCCCAGCGCAGATCGTTCGTGAAATCCCGAGGAAATCCCGTAGTGTTCCAACGCAGCGAAGGTGAGGCCAGCTATTCCATCGCCTTCTTCGGCCTTGGCACCTTATCTTGAACCTATCTGGAACATTCTGGAACCTTCAGGGTGGATGGCAGGATGGACTGTTGTTGGATGGATAATTCTTGACGATTTTATATCCCAGATGATTTCTGATGTAAATCGAGGTTAAGTATGGCTAAATCATGCTAAATCCCATTGAAAACACCGAGATCTTGCGGCTCAAGCGATGTGTTTCGAAGCGCTTGCCGAGGTGTCGTTTGTGCCTGCATGGCAAAGCCTGCTCTTTATGCCAGGCCAGTTCTCTGGAGGATCGGCAAAGTTGGCGGAATGGTCACATGTTTGTGTCAAATTGCAATCCACTGCAATCCCACCCTTGACCCAGAAAGGCTCCCACTGGTCACATGGTCACATGGGGTTTGGTGATGTAGTGATGTATGGTGTGAGCACAACAAAATGCACGGAGCCACATTCCAATCTTGCATCTGAAGTCAGAGCTACCGCAGTTTTTGTCAGACACCATCCACATACCAGTATACCACCAATTTTGCAGGTCGTCACTTGCAAAACGGAGCATACAAATGCAAAAAAAACGCGAATTTGGTTAATGATCCAGTTTTCCAACTATGGGGTTGGATATCTCCACAGAATTGACAGCTATAACTGCTATAGCCCACAACAATGGGACACTCCAACCTCCAACCATCCCACTTAGCATTTGGCATCATTTGGCCATATTTGGCTCATTTTTGCCGTTGCAATGTCCATTTTGAAGCTTTCCTTGGAGGAGCTGGTCACTGCCTTGGCCAAGGGTCACCTAACTTCCAGTGAGGTGCTGAAGGCGTACCGTGCGCGTGCGGAGCTGATTCACCACGCCTGCAATGCTGTGGCCTGTTGGATCCCGGAGGCTGAACAAGGGGCCCGGGAGGCGGACGAACATCTGCAACGCACCGGGCAGGTCTTGGGACCCCTACATGGGGTGCCATTCACCGTGAAGGATCATGTCATGGTGAAACAGACTCCCATTACCATGGGGATGAAAAAGTTGCAGAACTCTGGGAAGACCAGTCGCAGAGATGAGCATTTGGTGACGGTTTTTCGGTCCTTAGGTGCCATTCCATTTGCCAAAAGCACGATGTCTCAGTTACTTGGATTTGCTGAGTCAGTTGTTTTTTACTTTCCCAGTAGTAAATCCACCAGAAATAGGGAATCTATGGGGGACGTGTTCTATTCTTTGGTGATCTGGGTCGCAAATCCCAGGTTGGGAATGACCATTGGAGGAGGCAGTCCAGCCCATGGTGACACCCTCAACCCCTGGGACACCCGGCGCAGCTCGGGTGGAAGCAGCGCAGGCGAGGGTGCCCTGATCGGCGGTGGGGCAGCCCCCTTTGGCATCGGCAGCGATGTGGGGGGCTCCGTCCGGGTGCCGGCCGCGTTCTGTGGCATCTCCTCGTTGAAACCCACCTGTGGGCGGATCTCCATGATGCTGTCGCGGCCGGGAGAATATTTTGTGCCCGCAACTGCTGGGGTCATGGCCAGAACAGCTGCGGATTTGTCTCTGGTGTACTCACACCTGTTGGCCAAAGGTCTTAATGATGGACTGCCGAGGCTGCCGCCAATACCTTTCAATCAGCCTGAGTTCTCTTCTAAGCGGCCGCTGCGAATTGGCTACTACGTGGAAGAGTACACCTTCCCCAAGCCTTGTGCAGCAGTGTGTCGGGCCATGGAAGAGGCTTGCTCAGCACTGAAAGCGCTGGGGCATGAGCTGATAGAGTTCAAACCACACACTGATGGGGTGCTTCCCAAAGAGATGGTCTGGGATCTTGATGCTTCCTTTTACGTTTCATCCAGACCTTACAAGGAGGTAGTCAAGGAATTGAAGTCAGAGAAGAGTGCTCAGACAGCAGAAGAAATCAAATCCCATGTGATCGGTGTAGATTCCGAAGAAGCGCATCCTGATTTGATTGGAATGTTCAGCTCTCATGAGCCATATGCATCCAGGAATGTGCAGCATGCTGGGTCACTGGGTGGTAGCAGCATTGGCCATGAACAGATATATGCCAGCCGTGACAAAATGAGAGAGAGGTTTTACAAGGCCTGGCAGGCTTCAGAGTTGGACGTCTTGCTTTGCCCTGCTTTTGCCACACCTGCTCTGCACGTTGAAGAGGTTCCATATTCTGCCAGCAACGTGATCACAACCCGGGTGTACAATTTGCTTGACATGCCTGCGGGTGTTGTCACTGTCACCTCAGTGAACCATAGTGATTTGTCTCAAGGATATGACCCGGGCACAACAAATCCCGATGTGACCCGAATGGCGATGAGGGCAGTGGAGGACTCTTTGGGTCTTCCAGTGGCCGTGCAACTAGTGACTCTTCCATGGAAGGAAGAGCTATGCCTGCGAGCTATGACAGAACTGGAGAAGGCGGTGGCTTGTGACCAGAACCACAGCCACCATCTCCTCCAACCTGAAGCGCGGCGAAGTCCAAGTTTGGGAGCAGCACCTATTCCTCTGGGAGCCCGCTTGTAAGGCTAAAATGTTGGCAGAAAATGCTGCAGCCAGTGGAAAGACTTGGAATGGTTGCAGCCTTCAAGGTGTCAATATGACTGGGTGTAGGGGCATATAGGGGCATAGAGAAGGCTCTCAGTAGATCTGATTGGTTTGAAAGCGGTAGTCGACGGGTTGGACGACTGGACCTTTTTGGGCATTTTTTAGGCGTTTTTGCCGTTGAGGTTTGCTCTGGTAGCGTTGATTGGTACCCTGGGCCACGTTCTCAGCACGCCACAGCAGATGCCGCCAGAGTCCCACTTTGTCAAGGCCTCTGGCAGGAACTGACAAACATCACAACGCATCATATAAGGACCTAGTTACCTAGTTCATGGGTTCAAAAGCGCGCACTGATATCACTGATATCCACTGATCCAGCGCTTTCGTGTTGTAGCATGTTGTAGCTGTGAGGCCAACTGCCAATGGCCTATTTGGTCCTGCTGGGCGTTGTTGCAGCGAGAGAATCAGCTTCCGTTTCTTTTGTTCCAGATTGAAGTCCAAAACACGCAGCATGGTTGCCAGAGCATGGAAGTCAAAAGGTATCATAGGTAAATCATAGGTAATATCAAAGGCTCACATACTGTAGGGTCACGTATCTATTATCTCTTTGGCTACATTCTTGCTGCAAGTCACAGACATGGTCAGGCCAGGCAGAGAAAGTCACTCTTCCACTGGTTGTTTGCCCTTCTGGTCACCTGACATTGGACATTTTGGACATTACACTTCTCCAATCATGCTTTTAGAATCTTTTAGAGTCTTAGAGGATCCGAACAAGCATTGTCAGATATAAAAATCTGCCACGATGTGGGTCATGGTGGTTGTTGTAACATGTGCACATCATTGCCAGTTTGGGATCCCAATTTTTGACCCTGCCAGATATCCATAGAGACATGCCAGAACCGCTTCAACCTGTTGGTCTTCTTTCTTCGCTTCCTCTCCTATGCCTACGCTCGCTTCCTGCACCAGCCTCAGCTACACCAGTTCCAAAGTTGCAGAACGCAGATTTTACTTTAAATGAATTATATAGGTCTATCATGGTCTATCTAAATTTATCTATCTACTATCTACCAGTACCATTATCTACCTATCTACCTATCTATTTGTCTATTTGTCTATGTGTCTATCTATCTACCCAATTATCTACCTATCAATCTATCAACCTCTACCTATGTACTACCTATGTACTACCTATGTACTACCTATACTACCTATGTACTACCTATGTACCTACCTATCTACCTACCTACCTACCTACCTACCTATCTATCTATCTATCTATCTATCTATCAGTCAATCAATGAATCTTTATCTATTTGTCTGTCTATCTATCGATCGATCTACCTATCTATATACCCAACCAGCTAACTAGCCATCTATCTGTCTGTCTGTCTGTCTATCTATCTTAGTACCGTAATTATCCTTGAGTTTCATTCGGATTGGGTGCATTTTGGAACGTGACCTTTATGTAGTAAAGCGCTCTTCTTCCTTGAGTGCGAGCGATTGGGAATGGATGGCTCAGTGGTTGATGTGTTGCATTCCTGAAGGGCAGCAATGCGATCTTCTCCAAACCACTATCTGATTTGAAACCCATGCTGAACATCCATAACGCATTCAATTCATCCAGGATTCTCTATCATAAGGAGCTCATATTGGTGTAGTGGACAGGACGATTGAGAAAGCATCCTGGAATGTATTTGCAAGATTCTGCAACAGCATATTGACCCCAAGGTGCAACCTGCTGCGGACCATTGATACTCTGCGCGGCGATGCGCTTGTCATAAATCCAGATCCTTGATGCGTTTCTTCTTTGCATGTTCATTTTTTGGAAAACATCTGGCAAACATTGAAGATGTTTTGAATGTGCTCTTGAAGAATTGACATTCCCTCAACAAATCGTGTGCGCCTGTGGGGAACAGAGCATTTCGCCTTTCGTATTCTGAACTCTGCTCTGCACGGATCGATGGATTCCTGCGGATAGCAGTGCTTTTTATTGCGGCGCGGCTCAGATTTGGAACTTGTTGGTTTGCGCATGACCTCAAAAAGAGGTCCCGGTAACTTGGCTGCTTGAAACCAACAACCTGCGAAAACAATGGTGCCAAATCGACGCTTGCTGGAGCTTATCGGGCCAAGAGGGATTTCAATGCAATCTTTACTAGGTTGCACTGACCTATTATTGTGGTGAATTCAATCCCATCAGATTCCTTTTGTCGTTTCCTGCCAAATTTAGTCAGTTGGTGCATGTGGTGCATTTAGACCTGGTGGATTCCAGAAGGCTTTTGTTGCCGCAGCTGAATGCCCTCTCTTTCCTGGACATAGTTGATCTGATACGGCAGAACCCTTGTGTCCCTTCATGGCTCAAGGCCGAGCACAGAGCCCAATCAAGATCAATCAAGAGGAGAAACCATGGAAACCTGAAACTCAGATCGCCATGTAGACAGTGCAAGGTGTCTTGTTGAAGGGTATTTTTCAATGGCATTTGTGCCATCCTACACCCTGCTCTTCAACTGTTGCTCAATGGGCCCACTAGCGAATGACAGCTACTCTTTGAGCCAAGACCACCATACTTGACAAAGTGATGCAGTTGTTTGACCTCTCTGCCAGTCACTCAAGACTTACTTGCGACCTGAGGCCACAAAGAACCCTGGGCCAATCGTTAGGTCTTTCACTGACCCTTGCACATGCTTCTTTCCTCAGAGTTTATTAAGAGATGCAGCCGGGAACCCAGCAAGTAGACTTCAACGGATTTCAAGTTGGGATCAAATGGGGATGGGTTCA